TATTCTCTCCAGTCTACATTGGGACCAAAAGTTGATACTAGAACCTAGCTTAGTAAAAGATTTAAATATCTTGTTGAAAGCATCTATCACTAACTCTTCAAGATACTTCCTTCACCAAAAGGTATTCTACTAAAGGATCTATGGCCTTTCTTAGCTTTAATAATGCTTACTAAAAAGTTAGAATAAAATTCTCCATTCTAAAAACTTATTTATATTAGAACATTAAATTTCTGATGTTCAAAATGAGGAAAAAAAGTATAGGTTCAGTTTAAATATTAAATTATACCAAATTCTAAAAAAGAGTGATTAAAGAACTCAAATCAACAATATCTTGTGAAAAAAATATAGGTATGAAAGTTTATGGAGTCTATCATGTACTTATGATGTTACATCATTAGTTTCAAAATATTTTAATATTAAATTAAACAATTGAATTTAGACCACTCATTCTTCTATGTATAAGTTTCTAAATATTAGTGTATATACTTTAGAAAATGAGTCTAAATGTCATGAACCAAAAGCTATTGAGATTATGAGTCAAGATGTATTAATAAATCACTATTTGAATAAGAGGTGTATTATATGTTTTGGGTTCATATTATTAGATACTCATTGGAATGATTTGAACTAATACGATTCAGATATAGATGATAAGTCTTGATGGGGTTACATATTGATTTCATGTAAGGATATCCTATTCATTTTAATGAATATAACATATTAGTCTCTCCATTATTCAAATTTATGTTTACTTTAGAAAAAATAGACACTAGAAGAATGTAAAAATTTAGAAATATTTTTATACGTCATTTACCCATAAATATCACTTCTTTCTAATGACTAATTAATGAAGAAATATCATCCATGTCTCTTATAAAACCTTAGGCTTTCTATTAGATTCTTTTACATAAAATGTAGAGTGAAATCATGAGATCTTTACTAGTTGGTGAAATTGTGTGAAGGTATTGAGTAGAGGTATATTATTCAAGTATTCAACAATCTCTCTTGATCTATTTAAAGTTGTATAACTCTCATCTTCTACTAGTATTATAGTCAAGAAAGCACAACAAAAATTAAGTCTCAAATTTTGTCCTTCTCGTCAAATTTTCAGACACATTCAAAGTCATCATCATCTTTCAAAAAAACTATTAAATATTATTTTGATATCATTGGTTTTGAGATATTCAAAATTTTCAAACTTTGAGACATTCAAAGTCAGATACATATTAGTTTTTTTTATGTCATTGGTTTTGATATTAAAAATAAAATTTTATTTATTAAATATTATGTTATTTATATGTCTCAAAGTTATATCTAGTAGTCAATATATTTAAGATGATTACCATGTAGATTACCCTTAATGATTTCATGATACTTTTACTAAAAATCGAATTCATAGTATTATTCCTTGAGATCTAAATATTCTTCATGGTAGGAACATATGATTCTTGATCAATGTTTATTGAAGAATAATCTTTTGATAGAAAGATATATAAATAGTTAAATCAATATAGGTAATTTGCAATCAAAATATTGTTTCCATCTATATAGCTAAATTAACCTTAAAATGCAGCATATAGCCTTCCAAAGTAAACATAGATAGTTTCCCACATTCTCAAGCAAATGAGTCATCAAAGAGTTTGGAAAATAAAAAGAACAAATAAGTCTCAACTCAACATCTAGACGATGACACACCAACAACTTACATGAATGAAAACTCAATATAAACATGATTATTTAAATTGATCTTTAATAAAAAAAAAATTCATAGTCAAGTAAGGAAGATCTACTTTAAATTTGAAATCAAACATATGAGAGAATAGAAAAATTCAAATCACTAAAATATCAAAGATTGCTACCACTTTTTGAAAATCAAGAAATTTTTGAAGAGTACCCTAAACATTGTAGACCCTCTAATTCAAAAGGAAAACCATTATAGGATGATAGCTAATAAATAAGGAAAAGCTTGTGAAAAAGAGAATGACTCTCTATACAAAAATCCTAGTAAGAAAATCAAATTCTATCTACTGCAACCATCAATAACAAGGAAAAAAGCTGCATATTTATCTTCATCTAACTTTGGCAAATCAAATGAAATATGAATCAAAAGGAAAACACTCCCCATCAGGCCCTAAGGCAATTGGGTGATGAAAGGAGAGATTGTGGGGCAACAACACAAGGGTTTTATGGAGATAAATTTTAAGATATTGGGTGGTTGAGCTTATGAACATTAGCCTGTATTTCTTGAGAAGAACAATGAAATATCAGTTGGAAGATTCCCCTAAGACTGGGTGTAGCTAGGTGAGGGAATCAATATAAAAATCTTTGGTGTTCTTCTTAAGAGAGAGTTGTAAGCACACACATGTCATACATCTAGCAATGCCAACATAAATGATAGTCAAAAATGAAAATTTGCCAAGAAGCTAGAAACCCAATTCAACCCACTCCCTCTCTTGGAGTTTCACCTATCCCTACAATTATAATAATTTTTAGAATAAATTTGTGATAAAAATACTTAGCCAACTAAGAGTTGAATCAATTAATCAATTGTTGGAAAACTAAGACTACAAATCAAGAAAAGAACTTATAAGAGAAATTCCAAGGAAGCTAAACATAGTAACTAGAAATTGTGATTAGACAATTAATCTTAAAGAAATTCAAGAATAATCCTTACTTTTGGTAGGTGGACATCAATAATATGCTGAACCACTTTAAAATCTCTTAGCCATACACTCATTACTTTATAGGACTTGAGATTTTGAAGAAAACATCAATATGTTCAAAGAGAGAAAAAATAAATTTAAAAGATTAGAATCATATTACTTGAATCCCCCTTTATTGATCGAAGTACAGTCTTAAACCCAAAAGTGGTATCAAAGCATATGGCCAGTACCTTATGATATAACTTACAAGAAACTTCAGTCTACAATGCACCTATGTTCAATAAATCAAATTATGTTTTTTGGAAGAATCAAATGGATATCTTTGTTCTTGTCTAGATTATCAACTATAAAAACTCATTGTGAATGGACCATTGGTGGTAAATAATAGCTTAGCCATATAACACGTACGATTTTTTTTTCAATAAATGCTACAACTAGAAGTATATTAATTAATGATCTAAATGTTAAATAATTCAATAGTGTTGATCTATGAACTTGTAAAACAAATATTGAAAAGATTACAAATTCTTTATGAAAGAACCACACAAGTGAAATAGTAAAAAAATTATCAGCTGTTCATCAATATGAGATATTTACTATGAATGACAATGTGACTATTTTTAGGTGTTTTATAGATTTACTAACATTATAAATGAACATATCCCTTGCAAGACATGAATATGAAAATTTGGATGTCTTTATCTCCTCACTAGAGACCCAAAGTTACCACCATAGAGAAGGCTAAAGATCTAATTAAATTATCCTTATTAAAGGATGAAGTAAGAATAGAAAGACAATTAAAACACTATTGCTCTAAAGTCAACTGAAAGCATAGAACATTTTGAAGATTTAAGAGAAGTAAAGGAACAATTTTAAGGAAAATTAAGGAGAACTTTTACTAAGGAACAAAAAAATTATAAGAAAATCTCAGAACTTTCTAATATTCTCAATAATCAATAAAAAAATAAAATGATGTGTTTGAGTGTAGAAAGCTTGGACATCTTAAATTGTCTAACACTAAGAGAAAAGGAACAAGGTACTCGTGGTGACATAGAGTGATGAAGGTACCTCTTCATCGAAATCAAAAAAAGAATGGAAAATGTATGTTTTTATCTGATGATTTATCTGATGATAAAACGTCTAAAGGAGAATTATTAGAATTGCTTCACAAATTACATAATGTCTTACAGTAGAAAACACAAGGCATGAAAGATCCAAAAACGAGATCAAGGAGTTGAAAGATTAAATGAAAACCATGTCTAAAGAATTTGACTCAAATAAAAAGTACTTGAAAATTCAAAATTAATGAACTGTAAAATGAAAAAATTCAGTCGAAATTACAACTATAAAACCTCAAGAGACATAGCTATGCTTAAATATCTGCCACCAGAGAAAAAAATTAGTAGAGAGGCAAAGAAAATTTGAAAACCTATTTTCTAAAATTCTAGAATAGTCAATGAAAGTTAAATGACATAATAGGAACCCAGCATAGATACATTGATAAAGAGGAAATATGATATGTAGGATAGCCTAGAGAAAGGAATGTAGAAAAACAAATCAAATTTACATATCATATTCCATTATGCAAAAATAAATAAATGAGTAAAGCAAGTAAAATAGAGGTCAAATTCTTCCTTGAGGTCATAAGAGTTAAGAAATTCTCAAGAAGTCAAAATTTTAGAGAAAATAGTAGGATGCAAATGAAACAAAAAGTTAAACTAATCTGAGTCCCTATCTAACAGATTAGAAACTCGTAGAGAAGCAAAGAAACCAGGTCGCACAGTTGCGCCCTTGTCATCTTTTCGAAGGGCTTCAAAGTCCAAGGATTTTGGATATATATATAGATAAGTCACTGTAGGCATGGTTTCGCTCTCCAATAATCAGATAAATACCTTCATAATTCACATGAAGGCTTAGGAATGCCGAAGGGGTGATTCCGAGGAACTTCAAACAAGACGTTGCTTGCGTTGGTCCGGGACGAGAACGGTCAACGTCGAATTCGGAGACCACAACGGCGGAAGACGTTCCTCACGCACCTATGCCACCTTGTGTCGATTTCTTCGTACGTCCTCCAGTAGCGAGTTGGGTGGGTAGAAGATGGGAAATGGAGCAAGCCCTTGGGTCTTTTCGCGCTTGTTTAAAAGTTTCCGTCTTTTCTTACCTCGAAGATCCGATTAGTAAGAAAGAGCCTAAGCAGTCCCAAGTCCCTCCCCCCCCCCACCCGCTAAGACCGTACCGAGCAGTGCGGCAAGTGGAGCGGACCGCTTCCCTACAGATCGACGGGGTGGTAGACGCGGAGAAGAGAAGAGTCTGCGGCTGACTTTTAATTTGGCGGCGATGGCGGCGATAGTCAGCGCCCTGGTGGTCATCGCGGCGGTGATCCTGGGCTGGATCACCATCGAGATCGCCTGCAAACCTTGTCTCGACAGCGGCCGCGCCGCCATCGACCACGCCCTCGACCCCAGCTACGACCCCGACGACGACGCCGAGCGGGCCCTCCTCAATGGCCCACACACACCACCGCCGCCGTGCGCCGCCACCTCTGCCTAGGCAGCCAGAGCTGCGCACCGGTAGATGGGCATCCTCCGTACGCATTCCTCTTTTTTCCCCCATTTATCCCCTGTCCAGTTGTTTCAATTCAAGACGTAAGATTATGAATGTATGATTTCGTTGTTCGGGCATTGGGCCCTGCCCACAACGCGGCTGACTTCTAATTTTCTCGCCCATCAACCAAGAACCTGAAAGTCAACGCATGCAGAAGCGTGACGAAATTTGCTGACAGACCGCCCCACCAGTTATAGACAGCCCACATAAAGCAAGTAAAATAGAGGTCAAATTCTTCCTTGAGGTCTCCCAATTTAGCAATCTACAGATAGATCCTCTGCAGGCCAAGCTTTTGATGGGCATGGGGGTTTAAACTTTTTTCCTGCTTGGTAGCTCGCGGAAGAGCAGGTTGACCTCAGGCGCCCAAATCTAACAACTCTTCATTCCGTTTCCTCGCCCTGCTCACTGCCTTCTGCGACTGAATCCCCAGCGTCAGCCTCTAGCAACTCGGGAGCAGCCTCACCATCGCCATCTCCACCTTCATCTCCATCTTCATCCTCATTGGCGCACAGTTGCGAGCTCACAACCTGACCAAGCAGGCCCTTGTGCTTCAGATTCCCTGCCACACGAGGACTGGAATTATTAATACAAGAGCGTCTGAAGCATATTCAGACGACGAGGTCAATGACGTTGACACCCTCAAGAGTCAAAGCTCCTGCCCTCAGTTCTCTTACAGAAAATAGAGAGCGGGAGAGAAATGCTGTAATAATTTAGGTATATCAGATCTTTGGAATAAGAGATGCGGGAGAGAGTCAATGGCTTCAGACGAACCCATCCAAAAGGAGCATCCATTTGAGGTATTATGAAGCATGGCCTTAACGCGAAAGAGGAAACGCTCCATTGACCTTTTTGCAGCAGGAACCCTGCAAGTGACCATCGTACGTTTTGCACCCCTCTATGGAAAGAAAGCATTGGAACATATTTTTAGCAGAACCATAATTTTCAACAATCCGAGTATCAGCCCAAGAAAAAAAAGTCAACGAAAGAGAGAGGCTCTGTTCAAGCTCACTTTAGCTTCAGAGCACAGTATTTGGATCGTCCGAGTTGCCTTTTGGAGCTCCTTCACCTGCAATAGATTTGAGATTTGAACTGTGAACTGAAATATTAGGAAGGAAAGGAAATCATCTCAACTGAGACTCAGACGAGAAATCGCATACCATTTGGATTACAATATCCTTGTACAGCTGAAAATGGGCCTCTAAGAAATCAAAGGCTGAAGGAATCTCCTTCCATTAGTACACATTTAGGAATCACTAGAAAGAAAAAGAAAAAAAAGAAATCCAAATTCCACTTACATTTGAGAAAAATGTCCACGAACTTTCCTCCGTACTTGACTGCCAGGGCATGCACACTCACCTGTGAAATAAATTATTTCATCCTGTAAATTCCTTAATCATGCAAATCCATCACAGGATTTGCCCGTATGATATATCTCAAAAGTTATGCCCATAGGATGCCGCAGGAATGTGAAATCAATCGGTAAAAGCTCATCAAAATTATTTCAGATGCTTTAGGAACAGATCAGCCAACACAAGGAGATCCTTTAAGACATTATTCCTGAATGAGTTTAATGATAACTCGGTTCATATGAGACATTTCGCCATTTCAAACGGCTGGGATTGTCAAGAAGAAGAGAAACAGAGGCGGGGTCCCACCTTGTCATGAATCTTGCACATATGGACTAATGATACAACCACGTCAACAGACTGCTGGAGCTTCCAGAAGACATCTTTTGCATTTTCTGGCGGAATTTCTTTTCTGTTCTTTGGGAAAATAATTCCCTTGGTCTGAAAGATAAAAAAGTTACACTAAGAAAAGGTAATTTCATATAATCTGCTACCCGACACCACAAAGAAAAGCTGCAATAACATACCAAGTTTTCTAGGACAGCAATGTTTTCTTCATGCTGCACCATGAACCAAACTTTCGTTAGTTCACAGAACAAACTAGATGCTATATTGTTGTTAAGATGGCAATCGCTCACCAATGTCCTGTACCAGACCACAAATGTCGCAGGGCATATTGTTGGGAAGCCAGGAGCTGTTTCTTCTTTGCTTTTAGATCTGCAAAGGGGAGCCTACAAGGAAGATCCGTTTCCTTTTTATCTACCGGTATAAACTGGCGAATGCCACTGCTTTAGCACGGTGTGCAAGTAAGAAACTAGCAGTAGGTAGAGCTATTAAACAGAAGAGAATGTTATCATACACTATCAAATTTACCTGTGGCAAGATTGAGCAGGCCAACTCAACCAGTGCCGTGGTTGTTGACTCAGCGTTTCTCAAGTAAATATGAATTATCCTAGGTAATATGTCCCCCTGGAAGGAGAGAAATCCCTTGTCACAAATGGGAAAAAAAGAATGCAAGCGATATCATCATCAGATATGTTTTCAACAATAATAGGTTGAAGCAGACGACCCTGAACGTTTCTGATGATAGCCCTTACTTTATCCTTCCAGGGATTTTCATGGTCCTCCATCGTCCAGTTGTTAGCCAATAGCTTATATGCAGAGGCTCCGAGTCTTCTTTGCAGCAACGGAAAGACTTCCTGATTGAACATCATAGATATGTTCTTGCCATTTCCTTCCAGCAACTTGAGGAACCTTGGAATTGATTTCACAAGTGATTCCAAGGTAATCAAAACTTCCAATGCAAGATTCAATGAGTTCAGGCATGCTGCAGGATCAAATCACCACAATAAGTGGAGTGGTTTTCGAAAACCAAAGTTTCATAAAATCAAATGGTTTGAAAAATAAAACACCTAGTACCTGTGTTCAAAACACCTTCGAGAAATGAATAAGCACCACAATATAGATAATCTATGTTTCCAGGAGCAGGAGATGGATGAACGCCGAAAATGAAATCATCTGATCTCTGGGTAGGCTGCAAAGCTTCTAGCAGGTCCCTGAGGACAGGTATGCTTGTATAAACAAACAGGTCTCTAATATCCATCATCTGCATCAACAAGGGGAATTATAAATGTTTTATATAATAAAATTCCGTTAGAACAGAGCCATATTAAACCTTTCCATAGCAGTAGAGGACTTCTTGACAGACAAAGCTTCCAACTGAAGCATTCGAGAGCACCAGATATGGCAAGTCAAAGTTCCCAGCAGAAGCATGTTGATCCTTCCAATGTTGTTCGCAAGTTTCAGGTCCTACATGAACTCGTCAATTAAAATGACTATAGTAGTGCTCATTGAATTGGGAGAAATTTACTTAAATAGAAAGCATGGTTATTTCTTACTGTTCATCAGAAGAGAGACAGCATCATCTAGATGTTTCCTAAGGCTTGGAAAGAGTTGTCTGACCTTCCCCAAAAAATCAGTAGCTGTCATGTGGAGTATAGTTGATACTTCAACAGAGGGTGAAGATTTAAACGGTTTGCTTGATGGACATAAGCAATCAAGTTTTCTGTGAAGTTCACGGAGAAGATATAGATGCAAGCACAACTAGTAATGATGGAGGAAGCATCAGTATGGTAGACTTGGATAAGAAAATATATTTACAAGAAAGTACAATGTTGTTCTAACGTTACGGACGAATAACTGATAGTTCATTAGGAAAACTTTATTAAATCAAACGAGAGATGAAAAGGAGATGGATTGAATGAAATCGTCGACTTGAAAAGAAAAGAGGGAAAGATTTCACCTCCGCTGTAGGATCAGAACAACACGAGCTTTCAATCCGCTGTTAGAAACATAGTTAGGCTTGAGTCATTACAATATTCAACCGTGTTTCTAGTCAAAAAGTAAAACAGTCCGTAGCATTATAAACATAACCTTAATCAGATGCAGGATAACTTTGTTAGCACAATTTTCACTCTCCTCTGCTCAGACATCCATATATCAAAAAAGTAAGCCATCAGCTAAAAAGCAGACACACCCCATCAACTTTTAAGTTCATATTTGAGCATTGCTGCTTAATGTACTGTCTTCAAGATTAATGAGCTTTCTGTCATAAAATATTGCAAATACCTTCCCCATGTACTTATGTCTAACAGAGGGGTCTACAAAGACAAACATTTGTCATTGACTGTCCTCAAACGGCCAAATGCCAAGTATCTGGATGAACCTTATAGCTTTTTAATGGACGGCGTTAATTCTGAAAGACCAGATTTAAAGGTCAAACATGAATTTTGACAAATATTCCAGATAGGCCGTTTGGGTCATTAAGATAAATATTATAGTTGAATCTTTTGTCAAATATGGGGACTTGTAGGAAGGTAATACCAGAAAATACACTAGGTGGTTCTCATAGAGGAAAATGTACGGACACAACTACTGCAACTTAAATTAGGTGACTGCAACTTTGTACCTTAGAGAGTGAGAGAATAGATATGCAGTCCACATGCAGGACTCTGAATTTTGATTCCTGGGCATACAACACTGTTGGAACTGCTGACATTTCTATAATCCCCAGATGATTAGGACGAGGTTCCTCATCAGCTGTCTGTGATGTCTGTTCACTAGATGACACTGTGGAAGAAGCTTTGCTGGATACTTGATCTCTTGCAAGAACCCCTGTTCCAAATGCATCAACTATTGTCCGCTGCCTGAGATTTCCACTAATATCTGACTTTCCTGAGATGGTCTTCTTTTTATATTTCCTTTTTTTATTTAGTGAAGCATTTTCTAATCTAGTAGCACATCCTTCCTTCTCTTCTATGAGCCACACATGGTCAATAGGTGGGGATCCAGAGAACTCTGCATCAAAATGGAGCTTGGGGAGGGATATAGGGTACAATTTGAGTAGGCGATTCAGCAAGCTCTCCAGGAACCTGCAGAAAGCAAATTCATGAAAGAAGGTTTGCATGCAAAATGCACTTGATTACAAAAAAATCTTGTAGGAATGAAAGCATTGATACGTTAGGAGACAACAATGCATAAAAGATGCATGACTCCAATTTATGTTGTTCAGATTCTTGAATTTATAACACACGCATTAGCGAAAATAATGGAAATTTCTACACTCTTGATAGACAATTTTGTGTTTGGAAGGAAAAAGTGTTCTTCAATCGAGACCAAATTCATAAAAACGGCCAAATGACGACAAACGTTAAAGAACCCTTTCTCAGAGGACGTTCTCCGAAGAATTTCTTTAAAAAAAATCTAAAGAGCTTACTTGATGAACGATTAAAAATAAGAAATAAGCATCACAACGATGTAGGACTCCAGTTCAATAGTTGTATCTGATACTTGACATGAAGTCTATATCTTACTTCTCTTGAAATGGTTTACAGCTTTACGTTCTACTAGATATTGTATTATCTGTAGGAAGATAATGCCACAAACATTAATGTCAAAATAAGCTATTCACATCTGTAAATATTACATATGCTTAAAATTTCAACAGAATTAGAAAGCCCTCGTTACTACTGAAACAATTAATTACTTGAGTCCTGATATTATTAACGGAATCTATAAGCTTGAATAATAGATAATTAAAATTATACACATTCTAAAGCTAGAGATGCAGGTCAAATCTATGAAGTAAAGGTGAAGACAATGGCTGAAAAACAGGGAAGCAAAACAGTTACAGAATATGCAAATCAGATGAAAGCTTTGTGGCAAGAACTTGATCATTATAGGGTAATTAAAGCCAAATGTACTGAGGATGTAGCAATCCTAAAAGATTTCATCGAGAAAGACAGTATAATTTTCTTGTTAGGCGTAATCTAGAATCTGATCAAGTGAAAATTCAGATTCTCAACAAAGAGGAGGTTTCATGCTTAATGAGGCGGTGGCACTGATTAGAGGAGAGGAAAGAAGAAGTCCGATGCGCAAACCACAAGGCATGGTCAGCTTGGCAAGGGTGGCTAGAGGTGGCAATACTTCAGCCGCAAACATAGAGAGAGCATAAGTTGATGGGAGTGGAAAACCTGAACAAGTGAAGGCCCAGAATCGTAACCATAGGGATACCCTGTGGTCCACTTGCACTAAGAAGGCACATCATACTCGCAAAAAATGTTGGAAGCTCCATGAAAAACCTCTGAGCCGAGAATGAGGAGAGAAAAGAGAGCAGTAAAGGAACAGTGGTCAAGCCCATGTCATGACAGTATATCATAATGAAACAGTGCCAAGGGAGTTGGCTGGTCACAACCAACATGAGGTCCAGAGGGTGAGATCTATCATTGGCAATTCAGGTGAGTTTCATCCTCAATTGGATTAAATGTCCCAGGGACAATTTTTGTTGATTCTTGGATCATTGATTCAGGAGCTACCAACCATATGACCCACTTATCAAATGTTTTTCCAACCATACTCTCCTATGCCAAACAATAGCAAAATTCCCAAAGTTGAGGTTCTTTGACTACTATAGTACGTGTAGGAAATTTTAAATCAACCCTTTACTCTTAGAAAATGTTCTTCATGTCCCAGATGGCCCACAAACCTTGTCTACCCAAATTTTTGCTCAAGAGTTACATTTCTCGATGGTCTTTTGATCAAAATCCTTGTGCATTTTATGGCAAGGACTCGGGGAGGATGACCAGACATGCAAAAGAACGGATAGACTCCACTATCTTGAAGCATCAAATCAGACAAACCTAGCTGCTGTCGAGATGTGTCTAGTATACTGTCTAGTATACCTTAAGTTTTCTATAGTCATATGTCTGTGTGTCTAGAACCTTCCAGGGGTCTGATATAAATACCAGAACCCGCTTCCTTTGTATGTGAGTTTCCCCTTTTCTCAAATAAGAGAAGTTTTTTTCTCTCTACGGGAGCTATGGTTACCTGTCAGCACACCAGATCAGATTCAAATCTTCTACACTAGCTAAGTGCAAATTATCTCATTCTTTTGAGCCTCTTTCATTCAATGAGGAGAGAGTTTGGGTTCACCATTGCCGACTTGAACACCAGTCATTTAGGGTTATTAGAATTATGTTTCCTTCTTTATTTCAAGGCCTAAGTGTTGAAGATTTTCATTGTGACGTGTGCAAACTTGCTACACACAAATGTGCATCTTTTCCTATCATTAATACAAGAAGTTCTATTCCTTTCTATCTAATTCATAGCGATATCTGTGGCTCTAGAGTTCCTAATGTTTTTAGGAGCAGATGATTTGTGTTATTCATTGGTGATCATACTCACGTTACTTGAATTTTTCAGTTCAAAAATAAATCTGATGTCAGTACTATTCTCCCAAACTTTTGTTCCATGATTAAGAACCAATTTGGGGCTGATGTCAAAAGATTTAGGTCAGATAATATGAAGGATTATTTCAATCAAATGTAAACTACGAACTTTCCAATAGAATAGAGTAACAGAAAGAAAAAATGATCATATTCTTGAGGTAACCTAAAACTCTCTATTCCAAATTCCTTTGGGGAGAAGCAGGTGTGATAGCCACTCATCTCATATATTGTCTGCCTTCTGGAGTTTTGGATATAACTGTTCAAAGGTAATATTGTCATTATTCAATCCAAACCTAAAACTTATAAGTAATCTTGTCTCTAAGATATTTGGGTCTGTATCATTTGCTCATGTTCATGATCAACATAGGGGGGAAATTAAATCCTAGGCATTAAAATCTCTCTTTGTAGGCCATTCTCCAACTCATAAAGGAATAAGTGTCATCACCCTCCATTAAAGAAGTTCTGTCTCAATGGATGTCACGTTCAATGAACAAGAATCTTACTTCACCACCTTATCTTCAAGGGAAGAGTCCAATCAATGAAGATAAGGATGAGAATTTATTAGTTGATCTATCATCAATTCCTGTATCTTATACTGTTCCTCTGTCTATGTATCCAACTCCATACCAGATCCTTAATCTATATAACTCCATGCCAAATCCCAAGTTTGAAACTCAAGAAAACCCTCAAGAAAATTCGAATTCTACCCTTTAAAATGTGAGATCTGGTAAAGGAAAGGTGTTTTCAAGAAAGAAGACAGTTGTTCCTTAATTTATGCAAATCCGAGAATCCAAGCTAGATACTTAGAATGAGGTAGCAATTTTTAATTCTCCATTGCAAGCTGAAACCGAATCTCATATGCACAATAATAATTATGATTTTCCCATTGTAATTAGGAAATGGACTAAGCAATGTGCAAAAAAATATTTATCTCCTCTTTCACACTTCTTGTCCTTTAAATATTGTTCACCATCTCATAGAACTGTCTTTGCTAGTTTAAACAATTTTTCATTCTTACCACCCTATTTGAGACTTTTTCGAATAAGGAATGGAAACAAGTTATGAATGAGGAGATGGGGGCATTAAAGAACAAAACTTGGGAGTTAGTAAGGTTGCCAGCAAAAAAGCAATCCATAGGCTATAAATGGGTCTATACAATGAAATATCAAGCAGATAAATTTATAGAGAGATCAAAGGCTAGGTTGGTAGCCAAGGGCTTGGAGACTTTTGTTCTGGTTGTGAAGATGAATACTATCATAATTTTTTTGTCAATAGCCGCTAGTTATGGTTGGGAGCTGCAGCAGTCTGATGTTGAATATACACTTTTGCATAGTGAACTACAGGAAGAAATTTATATGAAGGTCCCACCAGGTTATGGAAATAATTTGAAGGCAGGGTAGTAGAAATATGTTACAGATTTTCTAAAAGAAACAGACAAGAACGCATGGAAACCAACAAGTACATAGGGAACTTGGAAAGGTAGAGAAGTATGTTGTAGTAGATAGGGAAATGTATCAACTCCTAGTAGGAAGACTAAATTATCAATCTCATACATGTTCAGAAATGGTATATGCAGTCAGTTTGATTAGCCAGTTCATCAACAGTCAAAAGGAAGTTCATCTGTAGGTAGCTCACCAAGCGCAATAGTATCTAAAAGAGACACCAGAAAAAGGCATACATAGAAGCTAATTATGCAAGATATGTGGTTGATAGGTTGATAGGAGACCATCTGATTTTGCCTTTCTAGGTAAAAATCTCGCGATGTGGAGAAGTAAAAACTAGAATGTGATAGCACAGCCAAGTGTAGAGGCCGAATTCTGAACAACGGCTCAATATATATGGGAACTACTTTCGTAGAAGATCATCTTAGAAGACTTGAAGATTAAATGGGCTATCCCAATGAGACTTTATTGAAACAACAAGTCTGTGAGTAACATAACTCACAACACAGCATAACACGATCAAACAAAACACATCATGATTGACACACACTTCCTCAAGGAGTAGTTAGATAGTGGATTGATTTATACACCTTGTGTGTTTACACATAGCCAACTTGCAGATGTACTTACTAAGGGTTAAGTATTTTCAGAGTATTGTATCCAAGCTAGGAATGGAGAATGCATATTCACAAACTTGAGAGGCGTGTGGGAAAGAACGTATAATTACGAGTTTGGTTCTTAGTTCCACCGTTTCTTAGTTTCTTGGTTCACTTCTTAACTTGTCAATTTCCTAGTTGTTAAGTAGTTTCCTTGTTCTGTGGCCCTACTACTTGCATATCACAGTCATCTATGATGCAAATGTGAGTTGAGTTTTTCCGCCACATATCCTCCTAGGGTTTGTGCCACTGTTCACAACACAAACCGATCATTACTTCAGAATTACTAGCATTAACATTGTAAGGGGTTAACTTCAAAAAACAATTCTTAGTCAACCATCCACTTACTTTAAGGAAAGAAAGTTTCAAGAAAAAATGCAATTTTCGCCTCTATAAGGGAGGAATAGTAGATGTTTGTAGCACTCCTTCATAGTCAGGAAATAAAACATCAACTTGAATGTTTTTCTCTCTCCTTCTTCCTATCCTTCTCTTCTCTATGATGCTTGGAAGGTAGCCAAAACCTTAAATAACCAGCGTGCAACGTCCACAGAAAGAAGCCTCCTTCATAGTCAGGAAATAAAACATCAACTTGAATGTTCTTCTCTCTCCTTCTTCCTATCCTTCTCTTCCCTATGATGCTTGGAAGGTAGCCAAAACCTTAAATAACCAGCATGCAACGTCCACAGAAAGAAGCCTCCTTCAAGGCTACAAAACTCCATGATGTAGATGTGCTTTGAAGTACACCAAAAAGAAACAACAATGCATCAGGTCCATATTAATAATGTCCAAGCCTTGCTCATCGTCTACACTGGAGTTACTGACTAAAATACAGTTTGCCAAGGGAAATTCCTACACTAATTATAGGATCTTGCTCCCAGCCTCCCAAAAAAACGATTCTTTGGGGTCACCTACTCAACAGCCTGGCATTTTCTGTCTTCTACTCAAATTTCAGACAGGCGGCCACAGGTATGCAGTCAGTAACTCCATCCACATTTAGATAATTAAAAAGCCCCCAGGAAAAAAAAAATCACTGCAAATGATAGTTCAGAGGGATTTGTCCTCTTCATTCATAATGATCCAACTAATAATAGATTAATAAAAAAAATTATACGCGTCTTATGGATATAAAGGAGAAATACGACTGCAGAGTAACCAAAGAAAGACAAGACACCCGCAATCCACCCATCACCATGTCAACCAGAATCTGGTTTGAACCAAAAATCGCTCCCCAAAAACGGCAAGTAATAATTAAAGTGTTCTTTCATCTGAGTAATACATCTTCAGCTAGATACATGTCTAAAAATATAAACGTTCACACTGAAAGGTCACTTAATAGCATTATAACTCACAAGAAACTCAGTGCAAAAATAACTAGCTAGATGAGGTAAATGGTATCAAATAATTAAATGTTGAAATTTTAAAATGAAATGCACCATAGTTTATTTGGAAGTGGAGGATGATGCGGCTTGCATCATCATCATGTAAGCACCAGAGCAGACAAAGAAGGTACAACTAGCTCCTGACCCTTTCATTCTGCGGTTGTTATGCTTTTTAAGGGGAATTGTTAGGCCAACATCACCATGTTTTGCGGGCTGAATCATATCTCATTAACAGGTTTAAACATCTAAAGGTTTTTTTTGTTTTCCTCGTCTTCTAAGCCAAGGCACAGATAGTAGAGATTTTCAGTAGACCTACCACTAAAGAATCAATAAAGGACTACTTGGCAGTGCAACAGATAGAAGTAACTCTCACCATCAACAATCTAACAGGCGGTGGATTTTAATTTAATAAAAAAACATTATGTTCATAAACTATCTAACGAGCATCCAATAAAAGTTCCAAGCCAAGTAGAGTGTAAAAAAAGTTCACTACTTCCTCTACGGGTCACAGAAGAGAGAACCATTACAATAGGGTACTAAACACTGAAAAACGATATTTTTTACTCCCTCAGGAAATGCCTAATTAATGCAACAGTTATTTTGATTATGTAGAACCACTTGCTTTCAATTAGTACTTCCCAGGATAGTGGAAATTAGCACTTTTACAACTTTTATCATTTTTGTTCAAAAATCGTATATCAAGTGATATTTTTTGCAAAGCAGATAGACAAGTTTTTGGCACAATCATTTCATTTTATTCTTGGCCAAATTTACTACTGAAGATTAGGCATGTCCTACTCTTTGCCCTAGACAACCGTAGTCATAATGCTATCTTTATGCTCAAAACTGACTACAGCTGATGCTGCACATGATCCCTGTAATCAGGACAATGTATTCGACATATTAATGTTCTTGATACTCCCGTCATGTTTCTAACAATAACCCACATCCAAATCAAGAAAGCTGTCAAGCTGAAGGTAATGCCCAATTATAATTTTCTGAGAACATATTCCAGTTAATCATTCTAAAAATATTGAAAGAGGCGATTTTCTATCACCCAATGGAAAATGGGCCCAGAAATATTCACCTGGAATATAAGTTTAAACTTCTCATATCAAAAAAAGAATGTATTCCCATATTCGATGATCACTTCCTTTTGCAGAAAAAAACAAAAGGGGTCATGTTTCTCATCTTAAATTTCCTTACCATTAACTAAATGCATTCCGTATAGCATTGACTTATCATATAAATGCAAACAAAAGCGGACATAAAGTAACAATACAAAACAGGTTGCTTTCTCCCACAGGAAAAGTAATATAATGGAAGGGATGTATCTCTTGACAATGGCAAGACCAGCATCAGGGACCAGCGTCAGACATATTCTAAACGTATACATAGGTCTCAAAGATCTTTTAGGAGGTTAATGGCTCAGGTTTGTAGTAACCAAGACAATGATTATACGTACTCAATCACTTGGATATATAACTTCAATAATAGGACTATAGACTAAGAAAGTATCTGAAAATCATTCATAAACAGTACCCTAATCGGATCTATGTAATTATTTTATTTCTAGGGTAAAACAAAAAATAATAATATAATCCTATTCAGAAATAATTCTATATTAAAACGAAATTACTTACACAATGTTCCTTAGGCGTTTTAACAGCTTTTCTGTTGTCTCTTCTCTAGCACCTTGAGTTACACTCTTAGATCCAACATCAACTTGCGAGCTGAAAGCATTGAGCTGCAAATGGCGTTCGAATCAATGCAGTTAATATTTCATACTATCGTCTGTAAATAACAGACAATAATTGGCAACCAGTACAGTTTCTAGTAAATGAAAATAAAGTAACGTACCAACTCTCTTATCCAATTGATGGCATAGTAAAGAGAGAAGCATAGTATCTTTTTCTGCTTTTCTGTCAGCGAATTCCACAGTGACCCATCTAGGTACTGAAGTTTTGCAGAACAGAGAAGTTAAAAAGATCATCAGCCACTTGCATATTTCTTGGTGAGCCAAATGAAGAATTAAAAGTCGAGTAAAAATAAAATTCTATCACAATAAATTATGAGAGCCAAGACAAGTAAAAGAGAGAACGTAGAATAAGAGCATAGATTTTAAGAAATCATTCAATAATCACTCCAAGAATGTTATGTTTAATTCCCAAATGATAAATCAAATAATACAAGACTCAAAAATAAATAACAAATGTGATGCAAATTCTGAATTGAACTGATTGACAGTGAAATTCACCAATTTTTCAAATCATGAATAGAGCGAGGTCAGCTTCAAACAATCCCTCCCCACAATCTTTTGAAAGGCACTAGACGTTACCAGATTTTTATCAATTAACCGCCCTCAGATTGCTCGTAAATGTTCACTCAAACCATAAAAAATAACAGTAATTTTGCTTCCCTTAAGTAATATCATATAATATCATATAAATGTTGAGAATTGACCTTGATTGAGATTCTTGCAGCTTGGAGAATAAAAGGATTCGATCTTCACGATCCTCCTCTCCTAGGAAGATAAATCAGTCACCACTTCTTGGAGCAGAATTTCCACAATCCCAAAATCTTACATCAATTATCTTGGTTTCCCGCTTAGGTACAGGTTACATGAGTTAATGGGCTAGGCCCGTTATATTAGATTTTAAGTGGATCCGCTAACAGTCTAATGGATCCACTTAACATAGGGAATGACAAAGAAGGACGAAAAACACTGTGAAAAGAAACAGATACAAAGGAAAAACAATCCTAGAGAGTTCAACAACTCATAATAAATCTTCACGTGGTCATCTACATAATTCTCCAAGAGGAAAATTTTCTCCATCCACTCCTAATGACTCGCTTGTAGCTTGGTAGAAAATTAAATAACAAACAATGTCAATGAATTTTAAATATTATAATTTTCAGATCTAACGAGTCCATGATCCCATGACTAGGGTTTGATGTGGAAATGAATTCGTTGGAGATGTTGGTAGTTTGTCTAGGGAACCTTCATGGTTCATCCCTATATGAGTCCACTCCAGAGCTCTAGCAGACCGAGAAGCAGAAAGCTTGCCTTAGGTCACATCCATGGAAGACAAGATTACTATCTAGTCAATATGAACATCATTGTAGCCTCACAAAGACTGAGAGGCATTGGCACCCACTTCTTTTATATTTTCTAATAACATAACATTTGAGCACCATACATATCCTTGAACCATAGTTAACATCTTACTAGTCGCAAAATCATTCTTCAGGTTCAAAATGATAACTAAATTCACTTCTAAACTGACATACATGAGTACCAAAAACTCTGTCAAAAGAAAAAGCTATTATTCACACAGATTTCAAATTCGTTCTTGAATTTATTCTTAATTGCATGGCTGTTGACTCAGGATATCTTTTCACTATTTCTCTCTAGTCAGGTGGTGGAAGTCCATGGTCATGGTCTTCCATTTTGTCGTAAACAAAAAAAATGATTTACTGTTGGTGCACCTGGAGCTAGGAGATGCTGGGTCGTAATCCATCAACATGCAGAAAATCACGTCATCTATCTAGTGCAATGGAGCCCTAAAATTGATATACCCTCACCCATGGATGCAAATATCAAAGAGCTCAGACTCCCACAGGAGGAGCACGACAGCTGTGTCAAGAACGCGGCACTATGATTTAATATATGATTAGACTAACATTAAGTATAAACCTGAATCATAAAATTTTTGGAGGCTATTTTCCATGTTATATAGTCATCCTAAAGCAAATGACTTTACTGGCATTAATGGCAACAATATGAGATATGCTACATATATAAAGCAAATGAAAATCTCAATAAGATTTCAAAGTTAATACAAACAAAGCCAGTATCCTCTTATAGTCTTTAATCTGTGGAGCAATAGAGTGAGCTAGCTAATGGATTATGGACTGAGACTTGGACTCTGATTCTAACTGTGTGTTTGGTTTTCTTTGTTCTTAGCATTAAAATGTACACAAATGGTTTGTTGTGATGAAATTCAGGATCTCTAAGGATATATCCACAATTTCACATCTTGAAATGGTTTTGTGCAATCCAGTAAGAAGCGGTTCTGTAGGCTAGGCATCTAGAAACTGTCTTTTACTCCAAAAATAACAAACAATAGCTTTATTATTTCTGTAAAACAATTTTTCCTTCCCATCTGATTTTCTAATGATCCTAGATTTCATTCCAGAATATAATAGATAGTGAAGTTTCACCAAAATTTCATCCCAAAAGCTAATCAGAATACAAAAAAGATGTTCTGTTTTGGGTTACTCTAAAACCAAGGTGCAATTTGATGAAAGCCATTCTCAAGCTTTTCCTTTCTATCCTATTTGCATGCATCTAAGATCAAGAAGAAAAGAACATATCGGAAAAAAAATACTAAAATCAGAGATATGGCACCACCTTTTTTGATGGAAGGTGGAAAGGACAACCAAGAAGTGCGTCAATGCCTTCAAGAGATCCGTGATTTGTCAAGCTTTCAACCTTATTAGAAAAAATAAAACAATTAACATGAAACCCACCAATTAAAATTCATCTCGATGAATACAAGAAAAAGATCACCCACAGTGGATAATAATAGAAGCTGGCCGGGAAGAGTTCTTATGGTTGATTGACTACTGCAGCCAACAAAGTAAAGGTAACACCAACAAAAACTGAGCACCAAATCACGGACTTCAATAAAATGCTTTGATCTCAACAAATAGAAAAGCATACTTCTGTTCTGGTGAAGCAGACAACATTGGCAATATGTTCAAGCATATGACAGATATACCACCATCCAAATTCATCCATGGTTCCCCTGTAAGAAGGCCGAAAGATCAGTTATATTACTTGCAATATTTTCCTCACCATGATTAGCAGTGTTCATTAGACTTTGCCATCATGATGATAAATTTGCATATTCTGGTCTATGAGATACCTTCTAAACCAACATATAAGCCTGTAGACAGCAACTGGCCCCGTTCAAGATCTGTTACAAATACTGATTCAAAATCACCTAGATGTATGCCCATCCTACAAATAGCAACCACAGCATTCATCAGATTGATGGTAATAGCTTAATGCCCAAAAGATCAATCTTCGGCATGGATTTTTTTTGATAAACTCTAACCATACAATATGGTTCAAACTTGATAATGATCTACCATTCCATGATTGCTGGCTTCAGCTTAGCACACTGTACTAAAGCACCTAGCTCATCATATAATAGTATCAAAGCCGATGATTCCAGTTTGCATGAGTCAAAAGACACCCTCAGAAATTCCAGAGCTTCCCCGCCATTTGCCTCCTGAAAAAGGTAGCATTGAGAATGTTTGGAATGTGGTATCTTAGACGTGCATAAAAATGTAGTGTGCACTATGAGACAAAAACAAATGATAATTTTCTATAGTGAATCAACACGGATGACAGGGACAAGAAAATTGGAGTGATATAGGAGACCATTTCTCATATTTTTTGTAAAATATTCTGAGATTTTTTTCATCTGACTGGAAGAAATAATTCTAAGCCATTACACTTTTATGCATTTCATCCATCCATTCTACTTCAACCTTGCCAAGCGTTTCATCATGACCTAGATTCCAAGAGTTGAGGTCTCAATGGCATTTGAGTTTCAATATACCCAAAACACTAAAGTAAAGAGACCATTTCACAGATAAAGAGGATCAAATAAATCACAATAACTATTAACAAGCATTATGCAGATATGAGAGAAAAGAGTTATCCACAGATTCAGAGTATTAATAACAAACTCATATCCTACCCAAGATGAAGAGAAACTTACAGAAGCACTCATAGCCCCTAGAATAGAAACAATCTTTGAAGTTCCAATTATACCCATCTTCTTGTATCTTATATCTGGATTACCAAGCTGAATATGAAAGAAGTGGATTAGGACCAAACATCATATGATTAATGATGACATTGAGTCAGTTTAACACTAGCCCAAGTCTAGATGTTAAGACAGAAATGCAGCAGATGAAAAAAAGACTACAATACTTTCTGATACCTGTTTACGGACAAGTATCACAAGTTCACGTTGAATCGATGCCCCAGGGGAATCAGCATTTATGTGATGAGAAAATGATAATTGGCAAAAAACTTCATAGACCTGTGCACCAAGAAGAACATCAAAATGATATTGCCTAAGAAATTGTCATAAGTGAGACAGGATATTTAATACACAGAACCTTGCGCAAATTGTCATCATTAAATCCTTCCAAATAGTCTAGAATACCTGAACACAAAGCAATTTGAATGTTTAGTGGATAATGAGATAAGATTACGTGGAAGAAGAGTTGTCTGAAAATTACATAGCATCATGGAAACGAAGGTACCATTTACATGAGAAGATATTGGAATCAGCTCAAGAGAATATTTGGATGTCAGAAGTCCCATGGCGTCTAGGGCAGAACCGACTTCAAAATTAACACCAGAACCTACATGAGTGACTAATGAACTGAGAACCTACGCAGACAACATTTCAGAGCAGGGTTAGGACATCTAATCAAAGATATGAGGAACTATTTTTTCTTCATATTAGCAAACTGACAGAGCACATTTTGGTTGCTTTTACACGAATCTTAACATAAGAAATCTATGAGATTTTGAGAACAGGCATATAACATCTCCACTTCTTTTACCCTAAGGTTTACATCTCAGATATCATATACTCTAACAACATACTTACTTCTTGCCTTGAATAAGAATCGTTGAATTCTTCAAAGAGTGATGTATACAAGTGAATTCCAAAGTTTCTTGCCTTCTCTTCTTTGCATGTCAGCAGATGATCGGAGAGTGATATAAATGAGGGGAAATATTCCTGGATACATCATGTAACAGGCAAAAGCTTGGCCTTTAAAATGTCATCTAATTCAAGAATGCATGGGTTTCCTATTGAGGCATGTTGTAGAAACTGACCTTAACGAGGTTCTTTTGCCCTTGAATGCACTGATCGAAAAGACTCTCCTGTATGCAACCGTCAACGATCTTCTTTTTCAGAATCTTCTCAACACTCTTCTGAAAGGAGCCTCCATTCACATGTATGAGCACAAGCAACCACACATCGATGGCCTTGTAATGCTGTGGTTGGTTGAGGCATTTAAGTTCTTTGAAGATGGCGTCACATAGCACCTGCGGTCAGGAGGAGATTAAAATTTAGATGCATCGAAAATATGAATGTCAAAGTAAGTGATAATCTACTATCCCTTACATTTCTGAAACGGAGGCTGGACCTCAGAGTCTCTAGGATTGAAGCCTCGGTCTCATCAGCAATAGATTTTCCCTTGAGCTTCTTGTGCCTGGAGGCAAATGGTTCGGGGACACTGAAAAATCTCAGCTGCTCCCGGATCTGGAAGATTATCCTCCCCACATTCCCTTTATCTGCTGAGATAAGCAGGAATCTGAGCAAGTCTGGCAAGTGCTCTGCATCCACAGTCCTGATGCAGGATAACGCTACGGTAACAACCTTCGGGAACACAAGGAATCTCCTTTGTTAGATCATATTCAGAATCCACAACGGGAGAACAAGAAAAAGAACGGAAACATCTTGCCTAATTGCTGAGACTACATGTTCACCTGGTCGAGTTGTGAACAAGCGAAGTTGAGGTTGGAGAAGGCATCGAGGACAGGAACGACCAGTTCCGAGTCTTCCTGCAGCATCCTCTCCAGGGCCTCGACCAACGCCCCACAGTTGCCACAGTCCCCGATTATCTCCGGCAGGGAGCCGATGATCTCCCTCTTAAGGGGGGAAGGAGAGATGGAGAGGACCTCCATTAACTTCTCTGAGAGCCCCTCCGGGTCCAGAACGAAATCCAACCACCTGAATTGATTAACTATCAGCCGAGCAATGTCGTCTTCGAGTGCGGAGGATGACAAGGAACTCTGCCCATCCACGGTCACAGTGTCGAAATGCTCCGGAAGCTTCTCGAGGAGCAGGTGTTGTAGTCGCGGCTGGAGGGGCGCCACCAGTAGGAGCACCCGGGCGAGGCTCTCTGCTTTGGGCAATGACCCAGTGGTTCCGCAGAGGCCTTCTCGCGCGGCCGGGATGAGAATCCTAAGAACACGCAAGAATCCTAAACCATGTCAGGTTACGGCCGCAGAGAAACGCATTGCATGAGGACGAGTGTAGCCATACGAGGGGCCGTGGGGCGCTACCTATGTAGATTCTGGCTCCTGCTCACATAAGAAGAGAAGCCGGAGAGGAACTGACCGATGATAGGATTTTCCTGTTCAGGAGCACCTTCGAGAAGCGCGAAGCGACATTCAAGGCGACGCCGGAACTTGTGCGTGTCAGTAGGGAGAAGAGGAGGGCCAGAGGCACATAGAGTACACCCCGCGTCGGCGAGGACGGAGAACATCACCCTCAAGTCCTCTTCCCCAACGGTGGCCCCATGTGTTCGTCGGCCATGATCGGCTTGTTCTGAGCGGAGCTGGGAGCCAACCGTGGTGCCGCCGCTGGGTGGCCGAGGCCAGGGCTGGCTTCCCTCAGCAGCCGAGAGAGCTACCGGAGGAGGAGGAGGAGGAGGAGGCGCTGTCGTCGGCGGTCCACCAGTCCTTCTCCTGCCGGTGCCGGAGGCGGAGACGCGCTGCAGGAAGACCATGGAGAGACCCAGAAGAGGCCAGACGCGCCAACTCTTCCCGTGAACAGAAGAAGAACGAGGTCCGAAATTTGAAAAGACGTCCTTGTCTCGCCGACCTCAGAAAATAGTAGAATGACTTCATCTGCTTCGTCATTTCAGACTCCTCGTCCCTCAAATCAGAAACCTTTAAGCTCGGGCCGGCCCGCAGCCCTTCGGCCCTCGCTCCTTCCCCGCTAACTCCTCCCTCGTTATCTGTTACCGAGGGAGATATATAGTTAGATTGATAGATAGAGAAGTAGAGTGAGATAGAGAGAGAGAGAGCAGCGACGGCGGCAGCAAAGAAGTCATTGCTCACTTGATGTGTTCCACTTTGATGGGTGTTTTGTCTCCTTTTACCGAACATTTAATCAGTTGAACATATCAAAAAGGGTAAGATAAGCTCATGATTTAAATGTTTATATGTTTTAAATGTTTTGATGATGACACAATAAATGAAGCATTGTTTAGGTATTTTTATGAGTTAAAAATGTACAAATATGATTCTAGGTATTTCTAAGATAATATAAAAGGATAAAGCTATTTTAGTGTTTAGCTTTAATTAGAATTTACCAAATAATTGTGTAAAATATCATTGAATTTTATCTGGATTTCACTATATTTAAGGTGAAACTGATTTGATTATTGGGCCTGAATTTAAGTTGAAATTGATCTTATTTGGCATAACTTTAAGGTGAAATTGGTTTGATTATTAGGCCTAATTTATAAGTTGTTATTGATCTATTTAATGGACTTTAATTTAAGGTGTATCTAATCCATTATTAAGAGTATTAAATTTTTAATCCAGAATAAAAGCATTTTATAACCCTATAAATATCATAAACATATCTTCTTAAAACAAGATCTGAAACTCAAACTTAAAAAAAAACTTAAACAAAATGAACCCTCTTAAAATTGGATCCAAAACCTAAACTAAACAAATCAGTGTTCATCCATTTAAGATTAAGTTAGTTTTTGGCCTATTAAAGATTCTAAAATTTTCTATCATGACTCTATCTCATTACTCTATCTTTGTTTTTTTTAGATTATCATGATATCTCTCTCTCTCTCTCTCTCTCCCTCCGTTTTTAATGGAAATTACAATAAGGAATCACATTTAAATGAGGAGAAATAGATGGAATTATCTCATGAAGAATCAAAGGAAAAAACAAGGAGCAACAGAAGAAAAATTGCAACAAAAACCAACATACAAATAAGGAAAAATAGGTGAGAGATTGTAATGGAAAATGAATAATACATCACAATGAAAACAAGGAATGAATTAGGCAAATAAATAGTGGATCGAAATAAAATTTGTGGCATACCAAATTTCTTTAGAACTTGAAATCTAAGAAGATAAAAATAGAAAACTTCTCTTATCTGGTCTCATGAGATGTAGAATCTAGAAGAGAGGAGTGGGGAGCTTCTTTACACTTAGCTATGTAGACTTGTGGACTTTAGAAAGGGGTTTAAGAAATTTTAAGATGCTTAAAATTGTGAAATTGAATAAATTGTTGAGTCTAAAATTTAGTGTCTTTTCATTAGGAACTTAGTAGAACTCAAAGATGAAGTCTTCAAAGAGTGAATGTGAACTGGGAAAATAATTGTTGGAATAGTAAAGTCAATTGAAATACCAAGAGAAGGGGTAAATTATGATTTTTAGAAGTTTTATCTAATTTTTGGATTCATGTTGGATTACTAGTTATACTTTTCTATGTGTAAGTGGATGTGTTGATACATGCACTAAAGTAAGATCTTCATCATTCTCTCATTAAGAACACTGAATTGTGTATATTAGTTCATCCTTCACCTAACTATTTATATTCCCACTTGGAACAACCCTCTAGTGTTAACTCTTACACAAGTTTCTTAATCTCAAACTTTTGTAAATTAGGAGATTTATAGGGTTTCACATTCACAAATGTGCTTTCTTGATGGAGGTGGATCATGTGAGCAACTTCTCAAAAGAGTGGTAACTTCCAAGTGATGTCAAGATGTCATAATACCTTTATTACAGTCATTGCTTCAACTCACTTGATGGTGTTGATTCCTCACTCTTCTATCGTAGTTATCTAATGTGATTTAACAATCCACTAGACATGTTGTAGTACCTTTGTGAGAATATGTAAAAATATAATTAATTTAATTAGATTGAGGTCACCTTAAGAATAAAAATGTGACTTAATAATAATAAAGTGCATCATGAGTCTACTCTAGTCAACCTCTATTGGTTCTCAAGTTCTCAACAATTGTATTTCTAATATCACATATATATTAGTAGGTTATAAGAAGAAATAATTTTCAAATATTTTAGCCCTTACATCTCTTTTTAATATTACTATGCAATAACAACTCTCTTTTGTAAATTCATCTTTCTCAACTATCACTCTAATTCTTTATCAACACCTTGTAATTAGTTGTTGATAGTAATAACAATAATTCTTCAATTAGATTTTTGATCAAAAAATTATAGGTGGACTCATTGTCAATTAATATTGTGACTGCTTTTTGACTCAATATATATATTGAGCTTCATTGCTCTAAGTGTTAACAAACTCATCACTGAATTCGTAGAAAACTCTATTTTAGGTTCTCAAATAATGTCAACTACTTTGTCAAGTTTTCTCATTGCCTTAAGTCAGACTCTTGTTCCATTTCTTGCATCATGATGAGCTATAATTCTTTCTTACTTTGATGTACACACACATATATCCCATTACAAGTAAAACAAAGCCCTTTTATCCTTTGATCCCTTTGGTTTGATCTCCTTGGTTTAAGTGTTGAGTTCTACTTCTTTTGATGTTTCAAATTTTATCTCTCGAGAATCATTTCTTGACTCATGTGGTAAAATATTTTTGGTCTCTTCTTGAGTCAAAAAGAGTCCTATGTCATTATAGTTAGACAATCAAACTTGATTCCTCCAAAGTTCATAATAACTATAATGTAATATTTTTCTCATTGTTAGTCTTGGCAATGTCCATGACGTCCCCTAATCTTTTAGAATTTAATGGCTTAATCTCAGCTTTGATCTCCTGCTTGAGTCCCTTGATGAATATGCCATTCAGTGCTCCTCTAGGGAGACATTTGATGGTGGAAGAAAGTAATTCAAAGTCACAATGGTATTCATTGATAGCTCATATGAATGTTTAGATTGATTAGACTTAAATCACTGCTCTAATATCTACTTTATATACTTCCACCTTTTAAAAAGGTTTTGTGCCTCCAACTATTTGTACCAAATGAGTGTCCTCATCTTTGAAATTCATATTAGGCAACTTTAGCTTGTATCCTTAACTTTTTAAAGTTAGCATAATGTCTAGTAAATAGAGTTAGCATAGATCTAACTACTTTGATCACCTCTCCCAAATGTTAACATCTTTGAACACATTTCCCATTGCCATGCTTTAGATTGTTCAACTCTAGGTGTCCCTTACAATTACTCGTCATTGTTTCACTTGGCTTCTGATGAGTCTCCCACAATTGCCTTGCCATTGCCATGATTAATGTTGATCCTAACTTCTACTAGGAGTTGAGACATCATATGTGATAATATCCCCATATGTCGCTCTTGGGTAGAGAACATTCATTCCATCCTTTTTTTTTGTTTGAGTTATTCTTCCATGGTAGGTAACCAATGCACCTCTTAAGTTTTTCAACTTCTTTCTCTAGATTTTTCATATCTATCATAATTCTCATTTGGTGTAATCCTTTTGGAGTTATTGGTCTTAATACAAGATAATGAGAAACCCTAGGAAGGGACAATGTAAATGAAGGAAAATATTAGATAAAATTAAAATTACAAGCTAAAAGAAATAAGAAAACCAACAAAAGGATCCTTGACTTGGGATACTCTAGTTCTAGTGAGAGATCAATTGTAGATGACTTCTCTTACTCTTCTAGCAATCAAAAAATTATCATTTTCAATAATTGTAACTCCTCAATCCTATGTCTTAGATTGCCCCTCTAGTTATGTAAGTAATTATATCTTCATCCCCTTTATTCTTTCTATGATGATAAGCGAATTGAGCCATAGGGCTATAGACTTGCTTGGGGCCCATAAGACAAATTAGATCCCTATTACATATTATGCTTCCTCAGTCCTACTTTCATGAACTTGAAGAGCTCGTATAGATTCTACCCTATAATAAATCATGACATCAAGTTTATAATTGATACTTTTATTTACTTACTCTACTAATTCATCTCTCTATGTTTCTAAGTACTTTAATACGACTTTTTTGCAACATAGATATGTTGGCCTCAGTGGCTACTTGATATCACTAAGGGAGGTCAAATTTATATTATTTTATCATTTTTTACCTTTGAATCCAATTCTATCTATTTAATAGTGCTTTATGTTGATACCTTTAATTTTGATAATTAAAAATGGAATTTATTAATAACTTATTATATAATCTTAATGTCTAATGAAATATTTTAAAATATCTAATAAATTTATGATATTATTTTTATTTATTGAATAATTATGATGTCTTTACTAATGATAAAATAAAACATTGTAATCCATTAAATTAAGTTATTTTTTATGATAAAGGTTATCAATTGAAAAAAAATCTAAGTCATATGGTATCAAATGACATGTGGAATAGTGCAAAAATTTACTTCAAATTATATATGATTTGTTCACCATAGAAGTAGAGCATTTACCTATTTTGTATCTTTTTCACTTGATATTAAGTAGGTTCTTTGAATTATCACATAGATTAAATCAATAAAAGAACAAAGAATGAAGCAAGTATTTTAGTTTAAATATATTATATCAATAATAACGTGTCACATACTTCCATAGACAAAAAAAAGGAAATTTTAATGATGTAGATTTGATGTAGATACCCATCTATTCTCTATTTCGAACTTTGATTTAAGTTAAGAAAATCTAATTTGAACTTGAATTTTAAACACACGAAAATAAGGAGATTTGAAGTTTGAAAAGTCCAAACATCATTATTATATATCCTAGAAAATTGTAAATTTTTGAATGAGTAATTTGAATATTGTAAGTCTAAGAAATTATGGAAATTAATATAGGACAAATGCTTATTTATTGGAGAAGAATTATGGACTCAAAGATCAACAAATAAATGAAGACTCGATGCTTATCATTAAATTCTTTGTGCCACATTTATCATTGATAAATAAAAATATTCAATATGGCAAATGATTAAGTCATGTATTATGATTATTTTTCTCAGCTAGGCCTTATGGTAAGTGGGTAGTGATGGGAGTGTATTTGACGAAGACATGAGATGGTGGTAATTACATTTGCCGTAAGAAAGCTTGTCTTTGTAGGAATGAACTTGTATGCTTTATACATTGGAACCTACTAAAATTAGTGTGTATTATTGAAGATGTGTAGATTATATGATGATTTGTAACTCATACTCAAGCTCAATCATGTTGGGGTAAAAGAAGGCTAGAGAATGATGATAATTTGTCGATTATCATGCCTTTGATCTGGTCATGATCTCATATTAATTTTTCATCCCTATCATTGATGAGTTATTAAGTTACAAGGAGAGATTGCCATTTTGAAATTGCAAGTTACGATATCACTAGATCCACATGAGGGTCAATCGCATTCTTATAACAACTTTTCATACTCATGAAGGTTACTACGACATTACGATAATATCATTTGATTTAAAAAATACCTCAGTCACTTTTCACATAATTGATGATCTGAATTTTCTATGATTACTAATGAAAACCTTTATTTGTATTTTTTATGACATTTTAGTGAATAGCAAGGATGAAAGGAACATGAGAGTCACTTGAAAATGATGATGAACACCTTATCTCAATAGCAACTCTATTTGAACAATTAAAAATATATTTTTTCACTAAATAAAATAAAAATGTTAAGGCCAATAGAAGGAAGGTGGAGGTAATGTTAAATTGGCTAACCCTTATATTCACAAACTCTATCCTAGTACTACCTCTCCCTAATTTCTCATAATTGTTCAAATTAGAGATCGATGCCCTCAATAATTGGCCTTGGAATGGTTAATGCAAGATCACAAGTCAATTATTTACTTTAGTAGATTGTATCTCCTAAAAATCAATTAAAATTGATATATAAAAGGAATATGATGGTGGTGACCCTAATTGTATGAAGACGATAGCACTATCTCTTAAGCCATTAATTTATTGTCTATAATAATTACTTTATCTTAATTTTTGTCTAGATTAATAATACGTAAAACTAAATTATCAGAAGTGACTAACTAAGATCATGATATATGACTTCTAGATCTTTTGCAAGGTTGAAGCTAATATTGTCTTGAATCTTACAAGTAACTAAGGCTCACACACTCTCACTAACAATGCACATTACACTAGCTACACAAATATTAGTAGATAATCAACAAAGTTATCCCAAACTACCATGAATCAAGATGATGCTGGAATAAGAAATCTGAGAATGAGGGCATTCATGGTTCCTTAGAATATATATAAAAAGGATCACTCAAGATTACTTATAGGACAAGATGAAAAAAGATATCAAGGGCTATATACAATTTTTGTGAGGAATGTCAATGCAACAAGTATGAATAATCTCTTTCATATGCTAGCATTTTGCAACCTCTCCCTACTCCATATCAAATTTAGGAGGAGTTGACCATAGATTTTATTGAAAATTTTCTAGAGTCAAAGGAGTAAAATACGATAATAACAATGGTGGGCAAGGTTGGTAATTTTATTTTTTTTCTAAAACATACATTCTATGATAAGGAATTGCCCAAGATCTTCATGTAGTAAATTATTCATTTATATGGATTCCTAAAATTAATTGTCAATAATTAGGATATTATCTTCACCAGCCAATTCTTAAGGGAGTTATTCTAACTACATGAGAGATTTAAAAAGATGAAATTCATATCACCCTAGAATTGACAATTAGACAAAAATAGTAAATCACTATCTCAAGACTTCTTTAAAATGTTTTTCATATGATAGGCTATGTACTTAGAAACATTACCTAGTGCAGGCAAAATATTGGTACAACAAAATGTATCATGCCTCGACACACTTCACACTGTTCAAGGCCATTTACAGTCACAACCCTCTACCCCTCGTACACTACAACTCCTTAAAGACTAGAAGGGCTTCTTCATGAGATTTAAAAGAGCACATTAGTCAATTACATGTCAAGATAAAATCTACATTCAATAACAAATGATGTGACATCCAATTTGATATCAGAGATCAAATATTCATCAAATAGCTGGCATTATTGCATATAGTCACTTACTAACTAACATTAAGAAATCTACCACTTATATGATGACCCCTACCTCATGATTAACAAAGTGGGTCCCATTTCAATAGTTGCAACTCCCAAAATTAATATCCATTCATCTTGTCTTCCATACATCACAACTACGGCACAAATTAAGTGTAAATCCCCCAACTTTCACCGTGTGGACCAAATGTCTCTAATCAAGAGGAGAAATGATGGGCCCTTTGGGAAAATCTAATCGACCTGCAGTCTAAGTCACTTATTAATGCAGAAAAAAGAAAGGGGACAAAGATGTAATTACTCGGAGGGCTTGAGGGGTGATTTAAGACATAGGATCAAAGGAGGTAAAGATTATTGAAAATGCTAGTTTATTTGTCATACGGGTGAGCAAGAGAGGTGCTCTGCAACTGATCTCTTGTTGGAACTAGAGTATCCCCAAGTTAGGTATCCCCTTTTGCTGGTTATCTCATTCCTTTTGATTTGTAGTTTAATTTTGCCCAATGTTTTCCTTCGTTTCCACTGCCGTACCTCAGAATTTTCCATCATTGTCAAACTCGAAATAAATCTGTTATTAAAAGTGATCAAACTATGATGTAGTATTAATTACTAGATCAAGGAGGATGCTGAAAGTGAGAGCATATGCAGGCCAAGTTTAGTAGTGACTGATTTGGGATAGCAATCACTAAGAAGGCTCATCAGAGGCACAAACACATAGGAGACTTTGGGAGAAGACTACTCTCTCTCTCTCTCCCTCTCTCTTTCTCTCTCTCTCCGTATGTGGTCATGGTCGTTCTTCAAGGCCCAGTTAGCTGTTTCTACATGAAGGCGTGATGGGCTCAGGATCCATAATAACCATCAGTTATTCTATCACCATACATCCCATCAATCTTGTATACAATTATGGGGTTATTCCGGGAACAAAAGGAACAGGGGGCTTGGGCTTCCTTGTTTTCTCGACCAAGACTGCCTGGGTCATGAGGACTATACCTGCAATAGAGGCCGCATTCTGAAGTGCACACCTTGAAACTTTGCAAGGATCCACAACGCCAGCTTGGAGAAGATCCTCAAAATGCCCTGTCATCGCATTATATCCAACATGCCATTCACTAGATAAGAGCTTCTCAACGACAGCCCACCCGTCGACGCCGGCATTGGAAGCAATCAATGATGCCGGCGCCAGAAGTGCCTGAAGATTCAGTTAGTGACCACAGGTTACTACTCGACCGAAATGAATAGAAAACAAGTCTATGCTTGGCACGCGCTAGTGCAAGAAATTTGACTGCCGTCATTGCAGTAGAACTCGCTAATTTGATTCTGATTTTAATGACTAGAAACGGCAACTCTTACACTAATCGTCTTGATCTTCTGCATCTGTTTCGAGCAAAGAAATCAAGGTGTCCACCCAAAAACTATGCGGCAACATAGACACAATGGGGGCTATTTTATGTGCAATAATTTGAAAACAAAAACAAAAATTCCTACGTAAAAGAAATGGTGGCTGCAATCTCATAAATGCAGGGAACAAGATTCGAGAAAAGATGACAGAGCTAACCACATAACTATTCTAACACAAAACCTAAGTAGATCAATTTGAGAGGAGGGAGCTTCTGCTAGTAAAGATATAACAATAAGAGGAATTTTTTCCAACTTTATCTTGAAAAGAACTAAAAAAAAGCGATATGTTGACAAACGATCACGTCGGTACACATTAAAGAGCCCATAATGAGCCATATTTAGTTTGTTTCATTTAAAGAGCTTATGTCTACCCACCAGCCATTCTTACGTTTTTGGCATAATCAGTGCGTCTCAGGCTGGCACATGCTTCCAAAAAAACTAAAAGCTACTCGTGATACTAACACAAATTGGAGGATAGCAGGTCGATTGTGGGTCACTATTGTCCTTGCTCTAGGCTGCAAGAGATCCCCATCAACCCAAAATTTGATGGGATAGGGATGGAAAATACGCGCACAAACATTGATTAGATCTAAACATCGGCATAAACATAATGCAGAAAGTAACAAGACTGTCCTTTTTCAATGTTGATAATGAACAATTTGAGGACTGCCCTAAAAACCCACACTCTGCTCTGGCCTAAGACACACTATCTATCATCAAAACAGCAAATTCTATGCTAATTCACTTACAGTACTGATTTTTTTTTTAACTTGAGGAAAACACTGATCATGTAAGAAAAAAATTAATAGTTGATCACTATTGTCCACGAAGATCTACGGCATCATCCATCACATTGTATCATTCTGAAAAGAATGGCCATGTTCATCACATTCCGAGCAAAGAACGCATGATAAGAAGTCATATTTAAGAGTTTTCCCTAATATGTTTGACTTATTCTATAGTATTGAATACGTGTCAATCAAAACGGATCTGATTTGTGTTAACTCAAGATTATTGCGTGTATATTGACTGTTGTTATGTCAGTCTCCCTAACTTGAAAGCATTGCGTCGTGGCCAAAGTGGTGTTTAATACAATTCTCAGCCAAACTATAACAAAGAATGATCATTTTTTTATTTGGACATCAAACAAAATCATACCTCCGCCACTATGTCAGCACCAATCCGCTCTTCTGGATCTTCAATTGTTTCCTTTATTATGGGAATGTGTTCAGAAAGATGCACATATGTTGCTCCACCACCTGGTGCTATACCTTCATCAATAGCAGCAAAAGTAGCATTCTTCGCATCCTCAATTCTAAGTTTTCGGTCTTCATATTCTGCCTCAGTTGATGCACCTACCTGAATATCACGGTCAAACCATTAAAACACAAGCGAATCTCTCACGAACAACAAACCGAATAGAGTTGAAAGTTATCACACATATACAGAATCCAGGATAGGAGCATACAAAATTAAAAAAACCATACAAAAACTATCAGAAAGATAAAAAAATCAGCGCCCAGAAAATAAGTATATGAGACTTACTGACATAAATTTCTTATATGATAAATTCTGTAGTTTTTTCAATCTCAAAGGTTCAATAATTAAATCACATGACAACTTGGCCAACAAATAAACTATACTCTTCACCACAAGCCAAAAAATTTATATACAAAATTGTTCTTCGCACCTTGATTACTGCAACTCCACCTGAAAGCTTTGCGACTCTTTCAGAAAGCTTCCTAGAATGATAAGCACTGTCGGTTTCTGACAAATCCTTTTTTATTTGTGCAATTCTTGCCTGAATTTCTGCTTTCATTGCTGGGTCTGCCACTATAGTAGTGAAATTGTTTGTAATGGTTATCTTCTGAGCAAAGCCAAGTTGATCGGATGTAGCACCTTCAAGTGTCAACCCCAAGTCACTAGCAAGAAAATCTGCTCCTGTACATCATCACAATAATACTGAGTTCAAGGAAAAGGGAAGATGAACTGCACTTATGATCCTCAGGAAAGAATGAGGGAAAGATTAATGTTGAGTTTAAAGGTCAGACATCAGTGACTGATTCCTAAGATTGTATATTTGAATTAGCCATCGGCAATTATTTATCATTACTACGCCTTCTTTTGTAGGTTACAAGCCTGTTTAAGATTAAAATTTGTGAACACAACACATGTTTATGCCATGTTATAATTATAATAAGACAACATTAACTAGAAAATTCTTCTGAAGAATCAAACGTCAAAATTAGCTAGAAAGCGGTTCAACAAGAACAAGGTAACACAATTATTTTCCCAGAATGTATCCTTTGAATTCTATTTTTATCTTTTATCAACTTCTCATTCAGAATAACTTGCATCCTTGAATGTTCAAAATTATGTTATTCAGGGTAAAGCTGAGGTAAACTTTTCATCACAGAACAGTTGCTTGACTAATAAAGAAACTGGATTTTTTTACATGAGCCCTTGTGGCAGAATCTATTCAGAAAACTTCTCTTGATCTATCTATTTTGACAGTTCAGGTGACCCTGGAAAAGGACCTTCTGCAATCATTGGGTGGAATTTCCTCCCTCCCCCTCCATCTCTCTTAACTTTCTGCCTCCATCTCTGTTGGTATCATTAGTCGGTGGAAAGCAGGGATGAGTAGAGTGGAACCTAAGACTCATGGAGAGACTACACTGACAATTCAGGTGTCTGGCGATCACATTCTGGTCTCGAAGCAGAGATCAACCAGGAGCAATAGATTGTGCTAAAATCACACTTGACTCACGTGTCAAAAGCTTAGACTATGAACAGAATCGCAGAAGAGATGGGTAAGTTACACAGGTAAATGAAAACAAGCTGAAAGATATCATAGCCTGCTGCAAAGATGTTTGACATGATGAATTGAAAACACTCTTTTAACGGTTATTAACTTGCAAACCAACTAATGCACAGATAGTCAATGCCACAGATGATGAAGATAACAACGGCATTCATATACCTATCAGCAGAGCATTCAATAGCATTCTCTAGACAAGGAGTATCAAAAAAGGAGGCCACTAAAGAAAAAAAAAAATTAACATAATTCATATTGTGATTGTCAATATGATCAGGAATCTGCACTTTCACTCTGAGAAATTTCTGATCCTCATAATAAGTACAATGATTTAACGGGGAAGTTTTTAAGTGCATTAATGTATCACATTCTGACTTTCTGATTTGATGATTATGGCTCCAACCAATGGACATGAACATTTCTGTTTGATTTATGATCTATAATGTGACTGAATGTTGATACTTGGACCTTAAATATCCGTGACATCTTGACTAACTAATCAGTCAATTGAATGCATTGACAACTGTGAAGAAGAAAAGTAAAGAATAAATAAACTAACTCAAGGAGACACATACTTCCTAAAAAAGTTATGGTATAACTGATTTGGAACCCACCATCTATCCCCAAAAACACAAGTAACAGCTTTCACTGCTCACCTTCATACACTGAAGGACAAGAAGAATATCGATCAGAAGGGTGTAGCTGAGCATCTGAGGGACCTCATCAGCCATGAACTAACGTGATGGCGGATTAGATTTTAGCACACAACTTAAAGGGAAAACTGATCAGAAGATGAAAATCTGCCTCTATCACCGATGCTTATAAAAGCATCACACAGGCAATGCCACAAGGTGCTAGCCTGAATTTTACCATAATATTTTAAAACGTTCTTTCCACTTTGGAAACGTTGTTAACAAAGCTTGGCTTTGACATATAATTTTTAAATTATAAATTCCCGAAGCAAACTCTCAGCCAAGAAAAGGCGTAAACAAAATAAAAGAAAGAATAAATTTTTAAAATAGGCAAAAGGCTACACATTAAATGTAATATATCACCTAAACTTACGTACTAAATACCCTAGTGCTTGGTAATGTAACACTTTTTTCATTAACACATTATTTGTATAGACCAATGAGAGCAATATTATATGATGCTTGCAGTATGAAGGTCTCAAGTTATAGTAAGGCAATGTCTTCATGAAGGTAACAAAAATGTCTTTTTTAATGAATAAAGCTGCCAGTATACAGTTCAAAGTTAGTTATAAATTATTACACCTCATCTGTTACTTGAAAGCATAAAGACAGCCAAAAATAAGAACACAAGTGAAATAAAATATCAAGACCCCAATTTTTTTGACACATCAATTACACATTCACGAGACCTTTGTTTGATGTATCTCGTTTATTCTTAAATTAAAAATAATCAAAATCGACATAACGTAGATGATGTTGAGTTAATTAATTTTTATTTTAGTTGTTTCCAGTGATCATGGCATGCGCTCTTTGAGAGATTCAGATGTTTTTCACCTGGTACACTAAACTTAATAATATCAATCAAAATAAGATTGCACAGGAATTTCAACTTTAAAATGTGAGAAAAAATACCACAAAAGAAATGTATCGACCAACCTGTCATAAGAGCAATGTCCTGCAGGACAGCCTTTTTTCCTTCTCCAAAACCTGGACACTTTATGGCTGCAACATTAAGAACACCTCGTAGCTTATTTGTAATCAGAGTTGCCAAGACCTCGCTAGAAATATCTTCAGCAATTATCAACAGCTGTGCGCTCAACTGAGAAGCCTTTTCCAGCAATGGAATTAGGTGTTTAACATTCACAATTTTCTGATCAGTAACCAGGACCTTGGCATTTTGAAACTCTACAATTGACTTGTCTTGATTGGTTATGAAATGGGGTGACATGTAGCCCTTGTCAATCTGTAGAAAATAAAAAATCTTAAGCATTAGGGCATTTCTTTAAAGCTAAAACAAAACATTCTGTGGAGAATACCTTCATTCCTTCCTGGATTTCAATCATGGTTTCAGATGATGATGATGATTCAATCAAGATTACTCCATCAGGACCAATCTTATCTACTGCTTCAGCAATCAGATTCCCAATGAAGTCATCGTTTCCAGCAGAAATAGAAGCAACAGCTGAAATAGGGCAAAACATGACGTTTATGGCAGTGTTCTTTCAGAGAAGAAGAAAACAGTTGAAAATAGAGGTCAAAGAGTCAGACCTTCTGAAGTAAATCCAGATCCTATCATAGTTTATGTATCAAGCATCTGAACCCAGTACTGGGTAAAAGACTAGGATGCCCTCATAACAAAACACAACAAACATTTGTACCACACAAAATAATTCTACATTTACCTTTTATATCAAGCATTCCATTAACCGGTCTACATTTTTCCTTAAGAATTTTGACTAGCTCACGAACAGTTCTATCAATTCCTCTTTTCAAAGCAACAGGATTTGCTCCAGAAGTCACTGCTAATAGTCCTAACTTTATGATCTCTCGAGCTAAAACAATTGCTGTTGAAGTACCATCACCGGCAGAGTCATTAGTCCTGCTTGCTACCTGAATTAATATTTTTCAAAGGATTACACAAAGAAAAACGATTCCAACACATAACACGAAAATGCAACCCAACGAAATTATATACCAAATAGTAACCTCTTGAAGGAGCAATACTCCTGCATTCTGAATGGGATCTGACAGGGAAATTGCCCTAGCAATTGAAACTCCATCATTGATCACCTTGGGAACCTCAGCTTCATCAAGGACAACATTCCGCCCTAAACACATAAAATTTCAACTATTTCAAGAATAGTGGTAGAGTCAACTTAATAGATGATTCCATTGAGCAAATATGAATAGTAACTAATTCAAAAACAAGTCTCCAAATTTGTATATTTGGGATTTGCCAACAGTTCCTCAGCCCTCAATGCTTCCAGATACTTCTATAATATGAGCAAACGATACACGTAAAGGAACCATAGTCGCCCAAAACCGTTAAGGTATATCATTCAAGAAACCAGCACTTAAGGATAATAGTTTGGTTTGATTCAGGAGCAGAATGGCGAAATAGTACTTAGTTATAAACTACGATTCATTTGAAATCAGAAATGTGTACGACATAGCTCTTGATTTCTAAACAATTTTATACCTACTGAGTTGAATGATATGCTACCACCAAAATTTCAGGCCTAGGAAGTAAAAGTTATTTACACAATCATATGGTTGTCTTGTCTACTTGGTAAAAATAGAATTAAATACTTCGCAGACACATTGGTTTCTAACAGCCTATGTGGATCCTGGATGTATATTTTAATATTCAAAGATATGGTCTAGGACCTTCAAACATGCAATTGATATATCGTTCTACCATATGGAGCCTATGATAACATCAAAGAAGGCTGAACTTTTAGACCTTTCTTGATAAAGTGCACGCTGAAGTTCAGTTTTTTCGTACTATTTTTGGAATTCTCTAATTCACAAAATATGCAATTACATGCTATCACCTGCTCAGCCACTGAAATAGGCTGGGATGAAGCGAATCAAGATGAGTGTGACAATAGAAAATTCACGCGAATTGGGCTTTTGGGGAATGCTATTTTTCAACACATCAAGCATCATCTTCAGAAATAAAAAGTACATCATGGGTTTACAGTCAAAACAGAAAAGGATGCAGAAGAATCTATAAAGTCGCACCTACGACAACATATAAACAAGAAAATTTGAACTATAACACAAAAAAAGTTCAACTCACTGTAATACTTCACAAACTTAGCAGCGTTCTATATCATCCCGCAAGTAACATACTGTACCTACGTTACCAATCACGGAGGCCTTACATCCAAAATAAAATTATGCATACTTTATGATCATTTTCATATATTGACACCCATACGTAGGCATACAGCATAAACTAAGGTTTGGAAGAGAATTATAACCGTCACTTCCAAAATTCACACTAAATAATTTTTGTGCAGTATCTTCCTACCTGCGTCATATAATACGTAAAGTTTAATTCATCAACACCATCAATCGTACGAAAGCAATGTTTACGAAGATTTGAACTGGCAACAGTATCCACTTCATTCTATAGTCTCCAGAAGAAAAGCGTAGGTTTCTATTCTAGTAGCTAAAATTTCAAATAAAAGAGCGAATAGGAAACTTCATAACATCCCACAATCCTGTCCATACCTTTGGGTCCCAATGTAACGGCAACAGCGTCTGCAAGCTTGTCGATCCCCGCCTGTAATGTGCTCCGGCAGTCATTGTCGAAGGATATCCTCTTCGGTCCCGCCCTCACAATCAGAAGCTCACCATGTCTCCGGCCTCTCGAAAGCTTCCACGGGCATAAGCACCCATACCTCTGCAAGCAGAAACCCCGACGAACTTAAGAAACGATAACAGCAGAAGGGAGGCCATTCACAGAAGAAGAAAATAAGAGAGAGAGAGAGAGAGAGAGAGAGACTGACAGGCAGGAAGGCGACTTGCCGAGCAATGACTGCGGGAGGAGAAAAATAGAGAGGAAGGAGGGGCATCTTCTTCCTGAACAGGGTTTTAGCGCAACGGCAGAGGAGCATCACATTTAATAAGGTAATATTCCGGATCATAAAATGGGTCTATGGGTAACCGAGAGAGATGTAAACGAGTAATGTTCGGATCCGGATGCTTATTTTTCATAAAAACGTGTAAAATAGCACGGTAATTCAGCAATTCGTGTATTAGAAAAGATGTAAAATTACCTGCCAAAAACTCCTAGTTATTAATATCATATTTCTTTGGAAATAAATATGCCGCTACTACTGGGTTAGCTTAACACAGGCCATTGATTCTGAACCTTCCTTGACAACAAAACCCTATTTTCAACGGACGCCAATTATTTAAATGCAATTAAATAAATGTGGATAGTTTTACTTATACTTCAGGAAAATGATTGAAGCTTGGGTGGGTTCGATTTAGATGGAGGCAGAAAATGTTCCAATTTGAGCATATATTATCGTCACCAATAATCCGAACACGAGCACGTCCCCCCAGCAAAATGGTGGAACCTGTAAGAATCTCTCAGGACGATCTCCCTGCCGAGCGCGCCGCTGACCAGCTTGAACACCAAGTGGCAGTCCCCGCAGACCCGAAGATTCTTGAACACCGTTATGGTTGACCCCTGAGGCATGGTCAACAGCCCGAAAGCCAGGGCGAGCTTCTCGCTGTGGACCCACAGGCTGTGCTCCTTCTGCTCCTCGTCCGTGTCGTGGAAGACGAACCGGGTGTCGGCCACGTACCCCGCGTCCTTGACCGTGGCCAGAATCTCCTCCAGTTTGGCCCGGATCTTGTCCCCTTGCGGGTGGGCCCGGTCGTCGATCCCGAAGACGTTGACCGAGTTCTTCACCCTGATCCAGCTGCAAGCCGGCTTCTTCCTCAGCCTGATCGACTCCATGTGGGCTCTCACCTTCTCTGCATCTCCCCAGCTGCCGCTCGAAGCATACACATTGGAGAGAAGAACGTAGGCGGAGTCGTCCATCGGATCCCTCTCCAGCAGCCTCTGCGCCGCCCTCCTCCCCACGCCGAGCTCGCCGAAGATCCTCGAAGAAGACAGCAAGCTCCGCCATATGAGGTCGTTCGGCGCCACGGGCATCTCCTCCACGAAGCGCTCCGCCTCTTCGAGTCTTCCCGCACGGCCGAGGAGGTCGACGACGCAGACGCAATGCTCGATTCCCTGAGGCACGCCGAACTGCGACGCCATGGAGGAGAAGTAGGAGAGCCCCTCCTCCACCAGCCCGCCATGGCTGCATGCAGAGAGGAGAGACACGAAGGTCACCTGGTCGGGCCTCTGGCCCGACTCGAGCATGTCTCTGAAGGCGGCTCTCGCTTCGTGGAATCGGCCATGGCGGGCGTAGGAAGATAACAGGATGTTCCAGGTCTGCCGGCAGCGTCGGTCGGCGGCGCCGAGCAGCTTCAAGGCGTCGTCCATCTTGCCGCACTTCCCGTACATGTCTATGGTGGCGTTGGCCACATGAAGGATGGAGTCGAACCCGAGCTTGACGATCAGGCCGTGGAGCTGCTGTCCTTCCTGCAATAATGCTAAGCTCGAGCAGGCCGCGAGGCCGCCGGAGAGAGTGAACTGGTCGGCTGCAAGTCCGCCACGCAGGACCTCCATGAAGAGCTTCAGGGCGTCCTCGCCTAGCCCATGATGGGCCCTCGCGAAGATCATCACGTTCCAGGAGACTAAGGTTTTGGGCGGCTCCAACCCGTCGAAGATGAGGCTGCTCGAACGGAGATCGCCGCCCTTGGAGTATACAGTGAGGACGGAGTTCCTCACGGAGTTGTCCGACTCAAAGCCGGCGGAGATAATGAGCCCGTGCAGTGGCACCCCGAACAGGGCCAGATCACGGGAGGAGGAGAAAGCTCCGAGAGCGTTGGTCATGGTGATGTGGTTCACTTTGGCGCCGGCTCGTCTCATGGCATTGAAGAGCTCCATCGCCTCCTGGGTTTGCTTGTTCTCCGCGAGGCCGCCCAGGAGGGCATTCCACGATATCACATCTGGGTCGGGCAGAGCTGTGAAGACTCGTCGAGCTTCCGCCATGGACTCACACTTGCCATACATGGTAACCAGTGCATTGCCCACCAGCAGGTTCTCTTGGAGGCCGGCTTGGGTCACAAGGGCGTGGACGGCTCGCCCATTTCTGAGTGCTTCAGGGCATGAACAGGCAGACAGGGCGCTCGCAAGAGTCACATGGTTTACTTCTATTCTTGCTTGGATCATGCGGGAGAGAAGGTTCAGAACGTCTCCATCCTTCCCAGAGGTAAGATGAGAGGCCATCATGCAGTTCCAGGAGATCAGGTCTCTCTCGGGCATATCGTCGAACAGAAGTTCCGAGTCTTCATGGCTTCCGCACATGGAATACATGTTGACTAGGGTGTTAGCAACGGGGACAAACATACCGAGCCCGTCTTTGAAAACAAGAGCGTGGAGTGCTCTCCCCCATTTCAGGCAGATGGCGGACTGGCAAGACGAAATCAGACTGCAGAGAGTGGTGGAATCAGCCCTCACATCAGCAGATCTTCTCATCCTTCGGAACAGCCCCAGAGCTTCTTCGCAGAACCCATCGTGGGAGAACACGGATATGATTGAATTCCAGGTGATCTTGTCCCGTTTCCTCATCCTCCAGAAGATGAACTCGGCATTCTCCGTCTTCCCCAGCCGGCCAAACAGGGTAATGAGAGAGTTTCCGACAGAGACGCTCGCTTCACATCCGGAGACGACGACCTGGGCAAGAACCTCCAGGCCCAGGCCCTCATCCTCGAGAACGGAACATACGCTTACCGCAGTCGCGAAGGAATTCTCATTGGCGACTGTTCCCCCCCCCCGCATCAGCTGAAAGGCCCTCATGGCTCTCTCTGGGTGCCCATTCTTTGAGAGAGCAGCAATGAAGGCGGTCCAAGAGACGACGTTCTTCTCCGGGATCTCGGGGAACAGCCTCTCTACGTCGGCGACGAGCCCGCAGCTGCCGTACAGGTGCAGAAGAGCAGTCCCCACGAAGACATCCCTCATCAGCCCAGTCTTACAGATGAGGCCATGAATCTGGGCACCTCGACCGGCCATCTCCGCCGACTGGCTACATGCAGACAAGATAGCCGCTACCACAAAGCCGTTGGCCTTGAGCCCACGAGACTGCATCTCTCTGAACAGCCCCGCTGCCTCTGAGAACAGACCGGAGCGGACGCAGCAGGAGACGGCGGCATTCCACGAGGCGGAATTTCTCATAGGCGTTCCTTCGAACACCTGTAAGGCAGAAAAGGGATCTCCGAACCTCGCGTACATCCCCATGAGTGTGTTGCAGTGGAAGAGCTCGAGCTCGATGGAATGTCTGATACATAACGCGTGGGCGGCCTTCCCGGCGGCGAGGTTGGAGATCTCGGAGAAGCCCACCAGTGGGAACTCTGCAATCTCTGGTTTCCAGTGGCCTGCGAGGAGGACGAAGCCATGGCTAGGAGAGGGCTCAACAGAGCGCGATGGGGTCCTCGAGGCGTCGCGAGGAAGGTGGAGATGGGACGAGGAGGAGATGGCTGGCCTGAGGCTGAGCGTCGTGATCCTCCTCCCGCTGTAGATAGCCAGGTCGGTCTCTCTGGCGGGACGCCGAGCAGGCAGCTAGCTACACAGGGGAGCAGGGCTTCGTCTTTTCTCTGGGTTTAAGTTTTTATAGTCCAGATCTAATACTAAACTTTATTTCCAAAGAGATTATTTCCCAAAAATATAAATAAGTATATTTATACAAATATATATACCATGAGGCTTCCTTTTCTGGGAGGTCTCCCAATAATTAATTTTACACACTTTTGACAGGGAGAGAGAGAGAGAGAGAGAGAGAGAGAGAGAGATTATGAGTGATAGTGTGTAATTTTTTCCTTTGAATTTGATATTATATTATAATATTATAAAAACGGATAAAAAAAATAATTGCGCCACCCAAGCTTGCTGGTCTCATGGTGAGGAGAGAGGGCCTTTTACGAGGAAGGGTGCAATTTGGCTAGATATTTTTTTAGCATTTATTAATTCCAAGATAAATGTTTGGACTTGGGAGGGGCACAAACATCAAAGAAAATAAAGAACACTATTTTGACCCTGCAGGAACTTGGGATTTTTGCATGCTTGTCCATGAAAGTGATCATAATTGCCATGGCAACTGTTTCTTGGAACTGAAGTGAAGTCATATTACATTTACACCCCTCCATTGGGAGGAATATATAGATACGAAAACAGGAGAGAGTATCGGAAATTACCTGATTTGGACTTGGATTACTTCGGCGTCTGTCTGCTGCTGATCCCCGTGTCCTTGCTCACTTCCCTCCCCCTTCTCTCACTCTCCTTTCGGGGTTGGTGCTGCTGGCTGAGTCAGATGAAAGGGCCGGGACAAGGAAGGGAGTACTGCCGGGGAACTCTGAGGTGGAAGGTGTTATCGGTTTCTCTTGTTTCTCCTTCGATCGTTGTTCCTGCGTCTCCTACCCCCGCGGGAGTCTCAGCCTAGGTCAAGAAAGTAAGACACTTACCTCACGTTTTTGTCTCCCTTCTCCTTTCTTTTCGTCCCTAAATATGTTTTATTCCGGCAGATCTCACAAACCATTGTGTTTAGGAATTAAGGCAATTGCTGGGCCATACCTTCCCCTAGGTGGATCAACAGCAGAGGAGTGAATAGATGGGTTTTCCTTGGGAGTTAGCCTGGATTTTTTTTTCTGCAGGGTAGCGAATGGTAAATTACAGAATCTGGATACGAATTAATTGGGCAAATCTGAAGCAGTGTCTAGTGTCGGAGACTTTCTAGATTTTCAGTGATTCCAGCTACCAGGATTCGTTGAAAACACTCATTTCTGTTCCGTCAGAGGATGGCCCCGGCATTTCAAAAATTTTGGTAGTGGCATCCGGATTGATGCAAATTTCTGTGGGATATTGAATTTTCAAATTTTAGCTTTACAATGCGCTTACAGTATGAAACTTGGATGAGTTGTATGATAAAATTCCAAGATAAATGATTTTATTATAATTTTTTGGATGTTTTTCTGATAGCCAGTCACAATTAGGGAAGAAACGTGGGACCTACTCAGAAGGAGAATAGCAAGAGGTTCATTCGGGGAAAGTGATGAAGTTTAATTTATAGCGTTGTATAGGTCCACTAATAGAGAGACTCATAATTATCCATTTTAGCCCATTGCCTTAGGATTTAATCGTGTTTGATGAATTTTAATCCGCATCAATGAGGTTTAATTTTTCCTGTTTACTCTAGAAAGAAAATTTGAGGAAAAATAAACCCTGTTCGATAGCCCTTTTTTCTGATGTTTGATAGAATTCTTATTCTTCAAATTTTAAATGAAAAGTAAACCAAATTGGAGGATTAAAAAACTTAACGGTCCAGGCAAACAGTAAATTAAAAAAAACTTGCTCGAGGAAAAACAGATCCGAAGAGCCCCTCTCTAGCGAGGTGCCTCTAATGTTTTCAAATTTAGAAACAAACGCTGTAACTCAATATTGTTGATAAAGGAATCTCTTTGGCATTTCTGTTTTTTCTCTGATGTCAATGTCTGCTCTTGCAAGATTTTTTTCATTCTATTAGTTGTACCAAGGATTTAGTGCTATTTCGAGAGCTGTTCTTTTATTTAATTTTGCCTGAATAGCCATGGCCGGGCAGGTATAAGCAGCGTCTGCTTTTTTGTACCACATTTTGGATGATTGGGCCCAACTCACCGCATCTCAGTCCTCTGGTTATATTGGAAACCCTTACTCTAGAATGCTACTCCCTTGAAAATAAATTTCCAGGTTACATCAATAGACAAGTGATCTATCGAATTTTTTTGGATCCACTGAGCCTTTATTAATTCTACTATCACTGGGGAATGTCTTCCATGCCACCTTATTGAGAAATTAGTATTTTTTTACAACAACCTGAAGGAGTTTAGATTCTTCCACCAAATCCTTTGGCACTAGTATCATTACCTTTGAGAAAGGATTTGACCACGGAATTCTTCATTTATTCACCATTTTAAGGGAGTGTGAGGAAAATTCATGCTTATCTCGCTTGCTTTAATGAGGTTGGCAACAATTCATGACTTGCAAAATTTATCATGTTGCTTTTATTAATTTTTATTTTTTCTGTATTATTTAACATTATCTCTGCATCTAACAATTTTAAGCAATTCACATATGCAGCTAAAATGTTGCGATCGATTTAGACCTTCATGTTGTAAGGACCTTGCATGGGTTCAGTGTCAGGCACCATTATGTCATCAATTGGCCGTGTGAGGCTCATCGACCTTATCTCCTCTGAAGGGCTTCCTTCTGATTCCTACAAAATTTCTATTTCAACTCTCGCAGAATCTCTTGCACAATTTTCTGCTGCAATAATTCAATTCCCAGTTAGTGATAGTGCTCTTTTGAGATCAGGCCTAGAATCTGCACGCCTTTTCTTTCATCAGAGAGCATACCCATCTGCTGAAATGGTTCATACAAGTGCCCCACGGGAGTGGTGTAGGACCTCTGGTTACTATGCAGACCCTCAGCTATGGCATGAAACATATGATTATAGGCCCGGTCTTACTCCTACTGAGCCTAATGGAGAATTAGAGTTTCCTCCATCTGGTTTGCCTGACATATTTTCTCTTTTGGGAAAAGCTGCACGTGATATCTTGGATGCAATAAGTTTTTCATTGAACTTGCGCAGCTTCTCGTTTTCTGAAATACTTGACAATGTCCCGTTAAGAAACAGAGAGATATCATCTTCAGTTCTTTCGGTTTGCTGTCACTCAAGACCAACATTCCAAGAAGCACAACACCATAGCATGACAACACAGGATAATGGCCAATTGGTTATTTTTCAGGACCATGAACACCAGGTTGACAAGAGCTTAATCACTGTTATTAAGTCAGATAGGTGTGGTTTGCATGTAAAGGATCAAAACGGGCATTGGATACTTGTGGATGGTGATCTAGGTCCCCAAGAAGCTATTATCTATCCTGGTCTTGCACTTTATCAGGCAACTGCTGGTTACGTTAGTCCAGCTCTTCACAGGACAGAGATGGCTAACCTGCATGGTAACATGTATGGACGATGTTCTCTTTCATTCAAGCTCATGCCAAAGTCTATGACAAGTCTCAGCTGCACACAAATGAGAGCTGCTGGACATGGGGTTGAAGACCAATTCCAAATTCCCATACAAGTTGATGACTTCATGCAGAGATCACATCCAACTGATCCACATTTTTTTAAGCACAGTTTCCCTAGCTATGCATACTCAACTTCCCAAGATGGTTGGTAACATCTTAACCATATTATTATCTATTATACTTGCTGGTTTCCCAACATTTCCGATAAATAATTTGAAAAATATATCTTCTACATTGATTGTGAAAACTTGGAGTCAGCACCGAGGCATTGAATTCTCAAAGCTCCGCTCTTGACTGATATTTTTTTATGTTGTTGTTATCTTTATGAGTTTTTTTCGTTATAGATGGGAAAATAAACAATGGCTTCAAAAAAGAAAAACAGAAAAATGTCAATTAAAGGTATGTAAATTTGCTGGGTAAACGAGATGTCTATTCTGGCGAGTTTTTTAGGCTCGGGTCTTATAATTATGCCCAGAAACAAGAATAGTTGTGCTTGCATATTTACCCGAGCCTGGGCTTTTAAGAGACCCAATCAGTATGTTCTGCCAGGTGTCCATCCCTGGAGGATTTCATCGTGAAACTTTATGGAAAATGCAGTTCTGTTGTGAAATGAGGAAGTGTTACCTAATACAGAGACTTGTTGCACACTTATTGAGTTGCTTCTTAACATGGTTGTGAGGTTGTGAGTTAAACACCATCAAAACAATATGTGACTGTCCGGGTCGGGTCAGGCCCCAGTCTAGTAGGAGTATGGCCCTGAGCTCACTTTCCTAGCTTTTCTCTGGTCCCAAGTAGAGTCTGCTCTAAACAATGATAATGTTTAAGAAGGCCCAGGCCTGGGCAGACCCATTGACAGTCCTTAACATTTTTTTCATCTTTTACTTTCTTATTTGAAATGGAGCAGCAAAATAAAAATTGAACTATGGACCGTCATTTTTTTATCATCATAAGAAACAATGCCTTAAGTTGACAAACTGTTTAATGCGAATAACATCTTTGTGGCCACAATTGTGATGATTCTGTGTTCACCTGATGAAATGAACTGTAGATGATATTGGACTACGAGTTCCACGAGCTACGTCAACTAGTTTGATCTTATTGTATTGACCAGGATGTAGTTTTGATTAGCAGTCCGAAACTTTTTATTATGCCATCCCACTGTTGTTCTTGTCACGAGGGTTTAGCAAATGATCAACTTTCTTCCTGAGAAATCTACTCTCCTTGTGATGCTCCATATATTTGGCATTATTCTTGTCTGAGTATCCTACATTGGTATTATGGTGTGGTGACTTCAATGTCTCAAGTATCTACTAAATAGGTGTATTATTTGGCCATATATTTACACTTACTGAGGCTGCCTCTTTACTTGACAAAATCAAAATGAATCTGAAGTCAGCTCGATAAGGTCGAATGGGCGTTAAATGTTTTCTACAGTTGTCGGCTATATATCCTTTAGACGCCAGTTTTAGGAACATGGGTAGTTTAGGACATGAGATGATCCATCAGAATTCCAGGAAATGGTCAATCAAAAGACTTGATGGAGCAGTTTAGTTAGGAACATGGGTACTAGTTTAGCGATTGTAAACCATTTTCTCGGTAGAGCGGTTTAGTTTCACGTCTTGATGGAGAAACTGTTCACAATTCTTTTAGATTTTAGGAAATCCTTCTCTTTTCCGGAAGGAATTGGCCAAAGCTTCTCAGAAGACGTTTAGTCTGACGTGATTTTAGCCTATCAACGTTTGAATTCATTTCCTATTTCTGGAAGCAACCTCCTTTATTTATTTCTGATCTGAGTTTTATTCCCCTGACAATGGCTTTTTGTGAATATTTTTGGATTTGACAACTTCACAGTGAATGAATGTCGTTGGTTCTATGATTTTAGTTTACAATCTATCTAAATTAATTTTTTTTAGTTTTCCAAAGTTGCCGTCATGATCCTTTTATCTGTTAGTCTGACCCCTGCAGAGGCATAGTGGGACAATGTGCCGACTTTGTTATCTAGGTTAGATTGTTCCATGTCTTACTTTTATTCCATTTATTTTTTTCGTAATTACTGGTTCTCTTACAGCTTAGTTATAGTTACATTAAATACATAATTTTTGAAGGCATATTAAAAATCATAGAACCAACGACAGCATTTGGTTCCTAACGGATGGCATATTAAAAAAACGAGCATCTGCTAATAATCATGTCCATAGAACGGTAAGATGGAGATGGATGGGTCGTCCTTCTTACTAGTATAGCTCTGTAAGCAGAAAAGTTTAAGTGGAAGATCTCCACACAGAGCCGTCGTACTTGATTGAATGAGACCAAGAGGTTTACCCTTTTCAACGAGTCTTCCTTATTGTTGGCCTTCTGCTGTCATAAAAAAAAAATACTGAGCTCTTCACTGACTTCGATTCTCATCTAATCATCTTGCCCCGCTGTGTACAGGTAAAATTGGAATAGTCATCTGCTAGTTCTGGCTGCTAGTTTAGCAAATTTGTAAATCACATTAGAACCACTGGAACACCAGACCAGACTCTCCTGGCGTAAGTCCTCGTTGCTGAATGTCAGGTCGAAACTGCTAACCAAACAATTTCTTTAACTCTTGTTTGATTCACCCCGTGCCTTGGAGGGATACCCAATCCTGAACAGATATGGTGCTGGCATCAGCGTTATCATACCCCATTAATTCATCAGCATTTGAGAAAGATCCAGGGGAAAAAAAGGGCCGAATTGACCATGGGCATCCGATCATAGAATCCCTGAGGAGAACATATTATGGTCAATGCTATGCGTCATGATCAGGCGTTGATTCCACCTCTTGGAGAATCTCGCTCCGATTCCGATCCTGTCAACATTTTCTGTGACAGTGGGCGCCTAAGGGTTGATTTGTGGGTCATCAGCAAAGCGGCCAATGGCCATGAGAAAATCTCCAGTACTCTACCATATTGGCGGTGATTAACTATCAAGACCGTTGAATTGAACCCCATTGACACACTTATCTTGCTTCTTCTTGGACGCATGGAGAAATTATGTTAGGGATCATATCTCCATCTTCAGGCACCAACATACCTTTTCTTTTTTTTTTTTGTTCTTTTTTTCTGGGATGTCATAGCAGGATCTTTGAAACCCTCAATTAAGAGGAAGAAGAACTCTACCCGGTGCAAGCCCCTGCCGCCCTCCAAGAGGCTGCGTCTTGAGGCGCAGAGGGTCCTCAAGGAGCGAGTCCAGAACATTGCCGATAAGAAGGGGATCAAACTAAGATTCTGCGGTCTGAAGGAGTGCGAAGGCCACATCCGATCCCTGGACAGCCCCTGCAGCAGGATCAGGATGGAGCTTGGTTGGCCCCCTGGGGTGCCCTTTGTTCATCCCCATGATCTCCCCAACAAGGCGAAGCTCGGTTTCCTCGAGGCGTACGAGCCCGGCTGGACCGTGTCTCAGCACGACATGGAGTTGGCCTTTATTGAACAAGGGCAGCCTGGTCAACACTCGGCTTAGCCGTAGACTGGTAACCTGCTTTCCCTTCATAGTTATATTTTAGAACAGTTCCGCATCAAATGGGGGGAATCTAGGTGTTGGTGCGTTGACTTAGATGGCATGGTTGAATATACGATGAACAGATGCTTCTGTCTCTTAGCAGGGAAGACCCATATGTTTCATCAAATAAATGCAGCATTTTTACGAACTGGGAATTTCATCTGCATGATATACGCTCAGCTTCCGTGCCCCCTTCTCTTTACTTTTGCAGGGTCTATTGTTCTTCTCCATTTACCTCGATCTTCGGCCAGCCCTTGGTGGCCTGCAGCTTGACGAACTCTGCCAGTTGCTTGATCTCTTCTTCCTGCAGCCGGGGTCCGAACGTGCACTGCCCCCTCGGAGTGCACTTCTCCCCGAAACCCTAAAGATGTGCAGAGGGGGAAAGGGAGAGCTTTCATGGTTCTCGCACACCCTGCAAGTGGCTGCAAGCTTCAATGGACAGCACTTACCGGCATCCTGCCCTTCCCGAAGTACGTGATCTTGTATATCTCCTCCCCGGTGGCGACGCCATTCCTGCAGGAAAATAAAATGGTCGACTTGCAGAGAAGGAAACCATATGAAAGAGAGGGGGAAGAATATGCGGATTTTACCTCTCAAGATCTGTTGTGAACAGAGTGGCGCCCTGCAAGGAGGAGAAGAAGACACCATTAGCTTGAGATGGCATGGCGGAAGAGGAGGGGAATGAGGGATCGACCGCTCACAGGTTGCAGTATGTTCCCGCCCGCGTCGTGGCAACCGATGCAGGCCCTCCTGAACAACGCTGCCCCGCCATTCGGCGAAGCTCCGGCCGCTGGCTGCCCCATGGATGCTGCAAGAGGGAGGCACCGGAGACCGAATGAAGCTGTGCGGACAGGGGCGGAGGAGAAGGTTTTCTTGGAGGACGACGGGCTCGGGATTTCTCAGACTAGAGAGGGCTTGTATTCAAGAAGAAATCGAGTTTCATGCTCGTTAAATCGAAGGTGAGCATCTCGTGCCTCTGATCTTCCTTTTTGCAGTTCTCTGGCATATCTAGTTCAGATTCAACGGAGATGATATTTCCCGATAATCATCCATACGGATTGAGACACAGCCCGGGAAGAATCTGAACTCATTACCTGGAGTAGTGAGGAAGTAGGGAGGGGATAAGGTCAGGATCGTCGCCGCCAGAGGGGGAGCCAAGAGGCGGAGGAGGACCCCAGGTCCCTCCTCATCTCCCGGCCGCTGCTGCACCCGCCATGGCTGGGCGCGAGTTTGTCTCCCTTTCCTCGCCGCGTGCAGTGGACCGAAATGAGCACCGCCGCAGCAGCTGTGGTTGCAGGATGGAGTTGCCGCCAGACAGCGCATTTCTGCACTCTCTCTCTCTCTCTGTCTCCCTACCTCTACCGAAGATGAAGCATTTGGCGGGCGGAGCGCGGAGCTTCGGAAGATGCTGGAGGATGACGCTAGCGGTCGGATGATCTCCCGGGGGGCGTTTATCTTAAACGGGTCTAAACTGGTCTGCTAGAGTTCGGTGGATCGAGCTGGACCACCCAGGGAGAGGAGAGAGCATTTTGGGCTTCAGAACCAGAGAAGTTGAATTGACATGTCAAGTTGAAGTGGCCCATTACGTTTCTATATTGAGAATCTTTTTCTCTTCCTTACAAGCTAAAGTTTTAAAAATAACAGAAGATTTGATGGAAGCAATCAAGGAATTTTAGGGTTTTTCCGTTTTTAATTAATTTGTCAAGCTGCTGCATAGAATATCCAATAAAAGTACAAAGGGTAGTAGCCTAGGAGAGAAGAGAGAGAAAGAGAGAGAGAGATGTGAATGTATTTCTACCCTGAGATTACAAGGATAAGGAATCTACTTGGCATTTTCTAAGGATAATAAGTGGAGATTCCTGGCAAAATAAATGGTACTGTGTCCGTAGATGAGGCATAAGATCCAAACACCCCAAACTTCTCTACAACCTGTTGGATCCACGTTTAACCATTATTTTTGTTTATTATTGTTTATCACATACTCGATAACTAGTTTTCTGTTTGATTACGTCAAGGAGAAGATTGAACTAGATAAAAAATATTACATATTTATACCCTACGCCAAATTTTATGGATGACTCGAACCATCCTACCAACTCTCTAGATGTATCCCTCCCAATGTTGCTAATCAATCATCTTCACACGTTGAAAGTCCATACATTTCAGTTTCTTGATACAATTCTATTTTCAAGTATTTTCAATGTTTACAGGTATCTATTAAAGTCAATGAATCTTGGATTGAGGCAAAGTAAATATGATAAAAAAGAGGTGTTTAAGCATTGATCTTTTGATTTATAATACTTTAATGTTGACAACATGGTAAAAAGGTCCTTCAAACTAATCATATCAATGCTACTCTAGCATCATCGTGACAAAATGATTAGTGCTAATTTATGAATAATTTTCTTTCATATTCAACATTAAGTGAAATTTATATTATTATTTATCTCGTTTGAAACACAAAAGTCAACCTATGAAGTCTACCCACATTGTATGCAGCATTCACTTCATGACAAAACAAACTTGGTATCAAACATCTGTAGTATGTCAACAACCAAGAAAATCAGCATTCAAAGATTAGCATCAAAACTGCAGTGAACGTTAATTCTTGAATAGTTCCTAATTTCCAAAAAAGTGGAGATAACTTCATTTATACTAAGTCAAAAGTGTGGCATCTTAGAAAAAGATCTAATCACACAAACTTTATTGTCCTTTGAAGAAATTGTTGTATAATCATCAAGAGTGTTAACTCACGAAAGCTGTTGCTTGCAGTACTTTGATCTTGATAAACAAAAATAAAAAGAAAAATTATGAGGTTGATAAATATGCCCACATTACACTATTAGTGGAATGCAGATCTAAATTATCAAATCCAATCTATTTGGTCTTTGATCGTGGTTTTCCCTTATAAATCCATAAAATGAATCATCAAAGAAGAAGCCCCACAAAAAGCGACTCTCATTTCCTATCTCTTATCTTGTTTTATCCAATGAAGCATCTCATCGTAAATGTACATATTATGACTATCTTTGCAAACATGTCCCATGTGCACAAGAGCTTCTTATGGAATCATGAATCTAGACCCAAAGGGTTAAAATTTAGCACCTAATCAGTGACTAATTAGAGTTTTAAGTCTAATGGCACAAAGAAGCAAGCTTACAATGTAGATTTCCGTAAATGGTATCTAATTTTGACTTGAAGAGGAGACATTTACTTTGATGCGCTCAGAGTTCAAGGTTTATAAATAGAACAAAAAGGCGACTAATCAAATTTAATACTATTATTGCCAATAAGGCGACTAATCAAATGAACACTTTCACTACTGACAACCTCAGTCGGGTTTGCTACCAAGCATCTAATTTGCATTTATATACCAACTTACTCAATCACTAGGACGGCTGAAAGGATCATTTAGGTGGAAACTATGTTTGGGCCATTACCTGTCAGGTATATTACCGTAAAAGTTTACATCAAAGAGATGTAAAAGCCAATGAGACAATTTTCTACATTGAGGCTTACAAGTGTCGTGGACATAGGATTTTCCCTAAATTAGAAACAAGGAGATTTGGTTCATGATCTAGATGACCAATAAAAGGATGTTGGATGTGGGAAATTTTGCTTTGCATTACCTTGATTACATACAGAAGAATAGCATAGTCAACTTCCTAAAATAAAAATAAGTCACTAATCTTAATTTTCTTTAAAAAGGATATCAAAACCACATCGAGTGTATGACAAACACGAACAAACTCACGTGAATACCCATCGATTGTATGGCAATTACACGGCATTATAAACCTCATTTTATGAAACTCCAATGCTAAAAATTAACTATAATCAGCAATCAAAGACCTGCAACTTTCTGGCACAAAGTGACTGTCAAAGAGGATTATGCCCATCGAGGGAGGATAAAAACCATGTGACATACCGTTGAGGAACAGAAGTGTTGGAGTTTGTTTGACCAAGAGAAGTCTCCAAAGGAGGAATCAAATATCTTGTTTGCATGGGATTTCTACATTAGCTGGGAGTACACCAGGAGAAGGTAAAAAAGTCAAATCCATGTTTGCAGGGTGCAAAGGTTGACTTTCAAAGCCATCTCTCAGTTCCTCGGCCAATCTACCCTTGGCTGTAAGAAAAGAGGGGGAGCTGAGATCCAGCACAATGAACCTATGACGGTGAAGGCCCCAGCCACCAAACTTCACTGCGGGAGAACACCCTATCCTTCCCTCTGATCCGCACTGTAAGGGCTGAAGCATGAGGCCACCCAGAGATCATCGTGAGAACACCAGGCAAGAGAGCAAGGGAGTTTTAACCTAGTTCATCCATACCGAGGCGAATAATGGAGAAAAAAAGCGAGCGAGGCGTCCTATTCAACCACTTGGCTATGCAATCAGACGCTTACTGAAAGCTAAAATGAGAAGTTGCACAGGTCTTGAACCTAACTTGTACGCAGAGATATGGTTACAACTAGGAGTCGGTGCGAGAACATGAAGGCAAGATAAGTCTTGAAAATAACAAGATGATGAGGAATATGAGAAACAAGACCTTGAAAATCTCCTGGCTCGCTGTAAGCAAGCACTTTTTCTCCTCCACCTGGCATAGAGCGTCCCAAGCGGTTTCCTCCCCTCCCACATGATCTGCTACAATCTCTCTCTCTCTCTCTCTCTCTCTCTCTCTCTCTCTCTCCCTCTCCCCTCTAGCTGGTTTGCTCCGGTAAGATAACTTAAAAAGGTGCGGGTGGGACGTCCAGAGTAACTCCAGCTTGAATTTGACCCCAGCCGATGAGCCGCCAGTGCTTCTCCACTCGGCGACTCAGGGCCACCTTCTCCCCTCGGCTCGTGCAAACAGGCGCAGTAAGCTGCAATTTAGCAAGATCATTCCTCACAGCAGCCACCCTGGCACCCGTCGACATGGACCCTATGTTCAACATCAGGATCTCCCCCTTCGCCAGTTTCGAGACCTTTCCTTGCTTTTCTGAACCCTTCGTCCTCACTCCTAGCAGCCGCCGGAGGAGGAAGAAATTGACCTGAAAAGTGAATAACAGTTGACAAAATGGCACAGCAAGCATTAACATGTCGACAAATGTCAACCTTAAAGCATTCGGCCATCAAATTTTAACAAGACCCGAAATTGGTGGATCATCCCGTAGAACAACCACATGATTTCCAGCGTCCATTCTTCACTAAGTTAATCTGGATGATAGCGGTAGAATGAATGCAACCTGACTCTAATATGATGATGAAGGAAACAGGGCAGCGTCTATCTATAAGTCAAAATCGATTACTAATGAGTGGACCAGGCCGATCCATTACACACAGGATTTCCAATCTATGGCTACTTTTAAGTCTTGTCATGCAGATATCAGAGGTGGAATGCAGCTGACTGAAATATCATTTTGGGCCGTCTAACCATTTATTACACCCGAGATTTCCAACATTTCTTTGAATGCATGACCAACATACTCTCTAGTGGAAGTGAGTTCTTTTATGCAATGAAGCTGTCAACCAATACTGGCCTTATTATCAAGCAGCCGCTAAAATGCATGCTGTGCTTTTTTGAAGCTTCGACGCCAGGACAATGGAAAGGAGTAGCACGTCGAGGATGAATGGAGTAAGCCCATGAATTGAACCGTAGGGTTTTTAATACCCTTTCGAATGTGACAGTACTCAGAGCGTACACATGATACACAACCAGACGAGACATCTACCATCAACAACACAAATGCTAGAATGGAATTAACACAGTGATCCTCGAGGCAGGTTGATATGATTAAACCTTGGAAATAGGAGGGTAACGACGAGGTTTAATAGAAACAAGAAGTCGTGCCGTACCTCGAGCTCGACAAAGACATCAGGCAATGAACCAACTTCGCCAAGAACTTGACCAACTAGTCTGTCAGCACGGGTTAGAGTGGGGTCCATTGTAGTACCCACTCCAATCAAACCCCCTGGAACTGCAAATTGAAGTTCATTTTGCTCTGCATACAATGAGACGATTCTTGAATAAATTGGGGTGCACTTGATGTTACCACTCTCATCCTTAACTACTATACCAGGACGGACCTCAATAAACTGGTTCACCTTCAAAACACCCTGAAAAAGGAACATTTTGCTTTCGGTGAGGGCATATAGATATTTCGACAGTATTTAACATAAGGAGAATTCCACTTGGTCTGGCAAAGACCAAGAGTGAAAGGAAGGCACATACCCTAAGAATGCTTCCTCCAGCAACACCACCCTTTATTTCATCAACCTCATATCCAGGCTTATTCACATCAAAAGAGCGAATGACTATCATGTTTGGGGGTGCAACAAAGTTCCTCTCCGGAATGGGGATTTTGTTAACGAGGTACTCACAGACAACATCAATGTTATACTTCAGCTGGGCGGAAATAGGTACAACCGGAGCCCCATCAGCGATGGTACCCTGAGAACCTCTCGGATATCAGACTAGGGAAAAACCAAGACATCAAATTGATCTAAAAAAGACTCACCTGAATAAAATTCTGAATTGCTTCATGCTGGTTGATTGCGACGCTTTCTTGGATAAGATCAATTTTGTTTTGTAAAATGATTATATGCTTCAGGCGCATGATTTCAACCGCAGCTAGGTGCTCAGACGTTTGGGGTTGTGGGCAACTTTCATTTCCGGCAATTAACAATAGTGCTCCATCCATGATTGCAGCTCCATTGAGCATGGTTGCCATGAGAATATCGTGGCCCTATTGAAGTAGATTAAAGATCATAAAATTGGAAGAGAAAAACTTGGTTCCAAAGTATTACACTGCATTGTGAATCAATTTATACTGTTCCCTATCAACTTAGACAAAGAGACGATAAATCAGGAACCATCTCATAGCACACAAAACCTATATATATATATTTAAAAGACACTGCCCAACAACAGCTAAAACAAAAGAAGAATAATCAAGGCACAAAGTGACAGTTATCAAACATTGGAACATAATTCAGAACCACGTTTCATAGATCAACTGCAGCTCCCAATCACCAAAAAAGAGTGCTATCAACAAGAAACTCCATGCTTTCCCTTTTCCCAGGATGATCAATACATTGGATGTAGCATAATAACATGGAATTCTGCTGACTGTTCCAATGTCAATAACACATGGAAATTCATCGATTAAATCAGTACTGCATCACAAACACAAGAATATGGTAAATCAAAAAAAATCTCGGCATTAAGAACCAGTGTTTTTCCTTCGTCTGAATATTGATCAAACCATCATGTGACAAATGGTCAGTGAACATAAATATTAGGTTAACCTCAAATAAAAAAGGAGTCGAGAACAGGCATTGTCTAAGTGACTAATAACCACGAATACATGTCAAAGAACCTCAAATACGTAACTTTGAAACCAAAATTATAACACCATAAAATCGATAATAAACACTATAAATTAGAATCGAAATCATCAAGTTGCTGTGTATGAATCTGAACCACGGAAAATTCAATTATAGATTAAGCACATACAGGACAATCCACGAAAGAAACATGTCTCAATAGCTTCATTCTAGCGTTCTCAAATCCGGTTACATCACATGAAGGGCTGTCTTCTTTTCCACTTCCATATGCCCTGCAAAACATACTTCAGCTTGGAACCAGAACGTCAAATAAACACAATTGACAGCATTTTTCTTGTGTTTCACCATACTTGTAGCACATGGGCCGAGGGCACCTATCATCTTCACATATATATATTTTTGCATTTGCATATCCGAGCTTGATAGTAATGTTACGCTCAAGTTCGTTCTTGAAACGCACGGTCTACAAATTGTCACGAACAACATTTAGATATCTTCATAATATAAAGCCGAATACCACAGATGAGAATACTGTAGATCATGCTAAAACGAAATTGTCTAAAGTAAATATAATCACCGAGTTGATCATTCGCAGTGCACATTTTATTGAGAACCTAAAAACAAATGTTTTCAATAGTGTAAAGCATGGCCCATATACTGATCTGAATTTTACGGGCGGAAATAAATAATTTGAAAACTTCATGTACAAATTGTCCTGTATGCCCATATAAGTAACCACGTATTTCTGTACTGTGTCTAGCATCAAACCTTAGCAACAGTATTCTCATCATTGATATGGTCGAACATCATTGATGTATACGGGTAGATGACGGAATTGCAATCATATAATTTCCTCATTTTAAAATCAAATGTCACCTCGTTTTCGGTGACCCAATATCTTTCTTACGGTGAAATTCTATAACTGGCAATCTACCCTGATTTCAACCGTTAACAAAATGAAACCAAAGGCCAAGAAAACGTAAGCTCTGACAGCAGTTTCTATCAAATACAAAAGGAATTGACAACTACCATTGTCCCCTTCCATTGCTACCTATATTGTAGGGCATCTCTAGTGCTATAATCATTGTCCCCTTCCATTTCTACCTAACCATTCTTTTCTTAGGGAAACGTCAGAAATTTTCTGCTTCTTTTATTTACTGGGCCATCCTATCCCTTCCTAAGGAGGACATGCTAACAACCTTAGGTGCATGCAATACTGAGATAAGATATTGTTCAAGCTGAGATAGAACTTTAGAACAAGTCAAAACTATAATATTGCAATTTTAGAACTCTTCATGAAAAAATTTCATGAAGTGCACCAACTCAGAATTGGATACTCAAGCCCCATGCTTCTTATACAAGTTCCAACCACTTTTTTCCCCAAAGAAGTGGAAAAGGGTGATGAATTTAACTGTAGTTATCAGATAAAGTAACAATACCAAAATTAATTAACTGAACAAAAAAAACATGTAAATCCATCACCGTGTATTATCATGCCCAAAAACTCTCAAAAATAGGTTCGACACTTTTATTTGCCTGAATTTTTTAGATTAATTATTGTGTTATCTATTAAGAAAAGACCAGAAGATAGGTTCATAATTGTCTCCAAAGGTTCCATGTCCCTGTAATACTGTATCTTTCCAAAACCTGGAATAATTTGAGACAGAAGGAACCTTGACATAAGCAAAACAGAATGAATGCCGGATGAAAATGAAGAAATCATCAGGTAAATGCACATTAGTTCATATTTACCTGCACACCAGATATTGCTTTTACAACAGTAGATTTCCCATGGGCAACGTGGCCAATAGTACCTGGATACGGAAAATACAAATAAATTTAAACAGTAGAAAAATACCAAGAGCTAAAGAGAACAAAATCATCTAGATCATTGGCAGGAAAGAATATGCCAAAGAAAACTGTAAGATAAGAGATAAGAGAAATATTCAAGAAGTTACAATGGTTTTGCTTCTTTTTATGTCGAAAGAAAACAGAGGCCAAGAACCTTTTTTTTCTGATATAATACATGAAAGACATTTCAAAAAAAATGGAACCATGGTTGGAACCTTTTAATATGTCAGATGACTATAAGCCCAAGAAACTCGTTCGCCTCCTGTATATACAACTCTCATGTTATTCATGTTTTCCTACTTGATGATATAATTCGAGGCACTAGGATGAAAATAAAGAGAGAGTGAGAGAGTATTTGTGCATTCGTCAACCAAAGATTACGCATAAATATACATTCTATAAATAATAGTTCACTTAATTAAGTTTTGTGTTTGCTCCAGCAATGTATAAACTGAAAATGGAAAGCAACAAATCATAGGGTGAGGAGCCAAGCTAATAATACCAAGATTTTTTTAAAAAAGACCTTGCTCATAGGCTGGAAAAGTTTCTTATTTAAATGACACTTACCAATTTTGATCCCAAATCAGAATGCCCCATGTCCTAATTGTTCCCACACTTATATTTTCTGCCAGGTTATGGACAAGTTATTTTCCCTTCCCACACCATTTATAATTTTTCTGGTCACTGACTTAGATTATTTTTCCAAAGCACAAGAACTATATATCGTTTCCTATGGGAAAATTGTGGGCAGAGCACCCAAATGATGTTAACAACGAACTTTTTGAAAAGACACCTACTTCTCAGATAAAGGATTCACATGGGAGAAAAAGGACAAGGGCATGTATTCAAATGGATGCTTACAGAAGAGGGAAAGCAGAATTGACATACCAAAAATTTTAATGAGCAGTACAGACAACAGAAGAAAAAGTGGAAATATAAAGCAAATAAAGAAAGGTCTCTTCGTCATCTATTCTATCCATGCCAAGACCAACACGCATCCCCATGTGATTATCTAATACACCGATATGCTCTCTACTAACCCCATCAGCAATAGCAATGGCCGAGAAAATATGGTCTCCAATAAGCATAAACCCGATGTTAACAGTTCTTGTGGCGGTTGTATTGATAACCCAGTTTATTTTACGCCTTGTAAGCATTTTTTTTTTCGTGCCTGTCCTTTTTGAAAACTTTTTGAGATTTCTTCTGTGCGTTCTATCTGCATTTCTGTTCTCCTTCTGTAATTGGCATTCCTGCTCTCTATTCTACCATTTATGCCATAAATTCTCTTTCATCTCTCTACAAGGTCACTAATTCCACCATAGCACCACTCCTTTAAATGCCTTCTCCAAGAGACACACTGCATGCGCAATTTCATGACCGTGCTACTGCACTTTCTTTAGAAAGAAATGATATCCTCGTAAATGAGAAACGTTTATCAGCCAAAACTGCAAATAGGGTCAATGAAAATGCATTCCCTAATTCTCAGATAAACAAGACAACGCCACTTCTTGGTCTGTCAACCCAATACAAAGAGAAGAGCATAGCTAGCACGAGCTACAACACGAGACTATATATAAATTAGATTCAATATCGTTACAGTCATCCACTCAACGTGAATAAGACGAATTCAAAAGGAAATCAAGCTCATCCATAGTTTCACACTGGATAATTCCGTAAGAGGATGTGGAGATCCTTAAGATCTAGGAACCTCTCCAGTAAGCAGTGCAATCCATGTGGGAGCATAGTCCTTACCTATTCGACTTTTCAAACAATAAATTTATCAAATACACTGAAAGGAACGCTACTTTTAAAAGAAGGGAAAACAAGATTTAAGAATAAATCGAAGCAAAGTACTTCAAGCTGGGTGATAATCTTACATACCAATATTGATCGTGGCCTGCCGGGAGATGACCTCAGGTGATAGCGGATGCAACTTAGTCACATCCAGCTTACTCAGATCCTGCTCCATCAACCCTTTACGAGACATCTTTAACGAGGATGACGCACCTGGATATCAACAAGAGCGACCGATAAATAAAAAGAGACACAAATCCCAGCACTCATGACAAGGTATATTATATAAAATAAAAGCCCTTAAATGATCGCAGGGAAAGAAAAGCGGGCAACAAGCAGCCCCAGAACCGCTCGGTATTGGCGCCAAATTTTTTTATAAAAAATGAAAACTTAAGATCATATAATGAGATTTTCCAACGCCGCAGCGGCGGAAAGCCAAATTGGGAAGGGCAGGTTAGGAACGGCAGCAGGGGACTGACCTCTTCCCCTAGGGCAGCTAGGAGGCGACGAGATCCACAGCTGCACGGGGAACGCAGCTGTTGCTCGTCGTGAGATAGCAGAAGGTGGGGACGGCGGCCGGCGTTGGTTGCCTGGTGGCGGGGATGAAGAAGGGATGGATAGTAAGTAGGAGGGTTTTTCTGTCTGCCGCTCTTCACGGGTATAAACCTTAAATAGCACTGGGTATTTTTTTTACCTTTTAAGATAAATATTTGTGCATATAGCCTTTCTAAAGCCCCTTCTCTTGAGATTTTTCCTATGGGGGGAGCGCTACCACCGTCACTTACTTTCTCTAAATACGAACAAAATTCAACGAATTGAGAATATTTTCTCCCTCTCGTTTATTTTTGAAAAAGATAAATTCTGGCCCAAATATGAAGAAAATTCAGCTATCAGACCAAATCTTTCTCGCTCTATCATTGTCGATATATAGATGGATAGTAACAAAATTCGTTTATTCCATTAAATCTCTCTCTCTCTCTCTCTCTCTCTCTCTCCCTCTCTCTCTCTCTCTCTCTCTCTCTCTCTCGCTCTATCTCTACTTATGGTTGTAGCAGCTGGTGAGTACCCAGCCCAAACAAAGAAAAAAAAGGGGGATGCCATGGATGCCCAGAAGAGAGATATATATGTACAGACATGTAGAGAGAGAGAGAGAGAGAGAGAAGCCGAGGAGAGGGAAAGGAAAAGACAACAGTTGAAAGCGACGATATGTCCGCTTATTGAACAAATAGCAAGAAAGGAAAGGAAGAAAGAGGGACAGATCAAATCTCAGAAGAGAGGTACAGACTATCTTTTTCCCCGCATTCACTGGGCGCAGTCCTCGTGGTAACAGTCGCTGATCACCGAGACGAACCTCTCCAGCCACGGGAGGTGGTGGAGGTCCTTCATCGTGTCGCCGTACGCGTCCGAGCACCGCGGCGGCGACTGCCTCCCGCCGCCCGCTTCGCCGCCCAGCCCTCCGGCGAGGAACGTCTGGATGAGCGCTAGCTGCGACCGCTCCTGCTCGGTGTACGCGCTCGTCCCCGAGGAATCGAACAGCTCCCACCTCCACAGCTCAGTTTCTCCGCTCGAGATTTCCCCGGAGGGCTCGTACTCTTCCTCCCAGGGGTCGCATCGGCAGGCTTGAAACCCTCCCTGGTACTCGGCGCCGCACGCGTAGCAGAACTCGTGGCCACACCTGCAGAGATCAAAACAATTTACATGTAAATGTAAAAGCAAATGAATTTATTGTTTCCATCTATTTCTCCCAATTACTGTATATTATTTGCTTGTTTGTTTACTTTTCTGGGATGCTGTTGAATCGAAGAGGGAGGGGTTAGAACTCCGGCTGGTTTCGAGGTTTTTGAAATATATTCTTGGTCCGATCGTGTTCTCTGGGAAAGGATCAACTGAAGTAATGGATATGGCGGAACTCAGAGATCAGGCAACCAAAGCTTATCGTAAGGTGATGAGACGAGGTATATATCATATCCACTGAAGATGTCTCTTAAAATCTTTCAGAACACTGCAATGGGGGGGGAGGGTGTCGTTTGATTAGCCAGAGGGAAGTGCCCAATCCGGCTCCATGGATGAACAATAAAAATGGTTCTTCAATCAATGAAATCTGATTTATCTAAGCCATTTATCATGGTAAATACCCAACACTTCCAGGCGGGGTTACCAAATGAAGGTCGCAGGTGTAAACTTGAACCAGACACTAAGACATGGTTGCTTATGGAAGAGAATAGGCAGCTACTTCCCTTCCTGGAAAGTCAACCATTTGTGAAGAATCAAAGAGAACAGGACCGAGCGAGAGAGAGAGAGAGAGAGAGAGAGAGAGAGAGAGAGGGAGATGACAAGAATGCCTAGAAAGATTCATCGAAATCCGTGAGCTATTTTTTCACCAGTTTTATGACGATTGATAAAACTGACATTCTAAAAGGACAGATGATTTACAGTTCATCATGAATATCAGAAGGCTTTTAAGTGAAATAATTTTTTGTAGGACCGAGTAAATGCAAGAGATGCATGAATTTCGAACCATAACATAAAATTTAATGTTAATAAATGAAAATATATATACACACATATGTCCCTCAGTTTTCATGGTAATGCTTTCAAAATGTTCAACTATGGGAGGGCCTTAATTATTCTGTCTTAGGCATCTAACGATTAAATGTTAGTGATAAAGATTAAAAAAAAGAGAATATCAAAATTAATCATTCAATCAATATCCATGAAAACTCTTCTTTTTTTTTTCCACGTCTTCATTGAGTGATACTGATCATGTTGACGAAAATTACCATTTTGATGAACGGACTAGGGGTTGAAGAGATTTTTCCAATTTTTTGGAGAAAAAGAACAAGAGTTTAGGAATGTGAATATCAATTCCTTGATGGAACAGCACGACTAAAAACATGCGAAAATCTCTTCTATTTCTTTCGTTCTTACTCCTCAAGAACCCTTGCCTTGCTGCTTAGTATAGTTTCAACAAGCATCAAAAGGGAGCGGGAGCAGAAAAAAAAAACGGTAGAAAGAAAACAACAGAAAATGGAAAGAGGATTCTGCAGTGGGAACAGGAAATTGGCAAAAGATAGACCCACTGGGTGCATGAGATTAAGAAAGAAAAGCCAATCAGGTGAACAACTAGAACGCACTTTACTATCTCTCTCAGAAAAATTAAATGCAGGAGTATCTAATCAGATTGTGCTAGAGATATGAATAGTCATAAATGAAACCTCCATAACATGAAGGACGACAGCAACGCAAAAAGAGGGGTCGGATAAAGAGGCCTGTGAGATGAAAGTGAACTCTTCTCAACTAGAGTCATGCATCCTCTTTTGAATCTTCTTCTATTCTATGCAAGATTTTTCTCATGCTTCATTGTTGGATTTTATCCTCCGATTTTATTTTATTTTTCTGAAAATGCAGTCCGATGGCATCTTATCAGCAAGAAATGGCTGAATCATTAGAGTAGAAAACCAGAAACCCTTCATGTGCTAGAGAAACCTAAAAATTCCTTCATTTTCAAAATCCTCAAGGTAGAAAATCTTCTCATTCAACAAAGTGGCCATACCAGCAGGTCATGTGATAGCATCCTTGTGTGCGTTCAATAATCCGTCTGCACTGTTCACAGCATCTCCAATTGTTATCTTGGGTTATGACGCTCATTGTGATGTCCACTTCATCCCTCTCATCTTGAGGTAGGCTCTGATATTCTCCACATGTCATTGATATATGCCAAGGTACTCCACAATCGAAGCAAACTAACCTCCTGCACTCTGGGCACTCAATGCAGCTGCTGTTGGAGTAACTTGATGAGCTTTCCCCTACAGAAAAAGGGGTAGGAGCAAGCCATGCAGAGCAACTTAAGAAGGGACATCGTATCCTCTCCAGTCTATGTGCTTCAGCTTCCACTAGTGTTCTTTCAAAGGACTCATAGCAATCAATTGGAAGAAAAGACTGGCATTCAGCAGATGAAATGTAGTACTGGCAGCCTGAATGGGAACACCTTACAGGAACCTGCGATTCTTGTAGCTTTCCTTGAACATATGTGATCAAACAAGGAGAACAGAACTTATGAGAACAGTTTATTGTTAATATTTGCGAGGAATGCTTCTCGCGGCATATAGAACAACCTTCAAATGATCCATCATCATCAGGTAATAAATGAGAGATCCCAACTGCTTCTTGTGCTAACTGCAATGGTTTCTCAAGTTCAGAACTAGGGACCAGGTGCAATGAAAACAATTCCAATTTATCAGCATGTTCCATGATTCTTTTGCCAAGGGCAAACAGCAGATGATCTTCAACCGTTCCGTTTTCAGTAACCTGTCAAATGCAATTAATAGTTATTAAAATCTCATAAATGCATTCAAATGAAGTAAATAATTTATCTCGTAAAGAACGGTATGCATAATTATTTTTTTCAAACTAAAAGAAATATTTACCAGCCATCAAAATGGGTATACAAAGCAGCGACGATCCAACATGAATAACAACAATTTTAGTTTAAACTTAGGTAAGCATGACGAACTCTGAATGAACAAGTTTTGGGAAGAAAATAGCTTGACCCAGATCGAACCACCAAAAAGGAAAATCATAAACAGATATTCCAATAGTCAGTTGGGAAAGACAAAGGAGCAAAATAAATGATCATAACATAACTTCCCAACTCAAAGTTGAAAGAAACGGAACCACAGAGAAAAATAGCGGGCGGACTAACCTGGCTATTAACCACTTCAGAGTCTGTAAATGCAAATATCCGCCGCACCCCAACCCGCAGAGCCTCCAACAGGCCATCCAACAAGGCGAGGTGGTCAGCCACGGATGGCTCAACGTAGAGATCAAGTCTCTTCTGGACTTGAAGAGTTGGCAATCCGGGTGCTCTCTCCATCACCACCCCGATTCCGGAGATCCCTGACGTTGAGTCCTCCGCATCACAAACCGACACACCCTTGAAGAACATCTTCATGGAGAACTCATCGAGGTTGTCCCCGGACCTATCAGGGGTGGGTTCCTCCAACTCCTTCCAACCTTCCTCCTCCGCACAACAGCTCCGGAAATCCTCCTCCCCATCATAATTCTCCAGAATCCCACCATCGGACGAGTTGGGATCCTCCATGCCAGGAGCCAATCGATTAAAGATCCCACAGGGATAACTAAAAAATCGAATTGCAGAATTTGGCGCAGATATGAGGCAATACTACCGAATCCCGGCCTCCAAAAATCCGCAGAAGTAGAAGAGGAACATCATCAATGCCCTCTGGGATAACCACAAATACGGCTTCTCTCCAGAAAATAGGAACACAGGGCAGGTGAGCCTCGAATTCAGGCAGGGGATCAACAATCTCCAAATACGGTTTCGGGGGCGTCTTCCTAAATAATAATCCCTCCTCGCCCTCTCCTCACCGGAATCCAGGCTCAACCAAGCAAGACAATCGCGGAGACGATCCACCCAGGGCCGCGCCGCCCACCGTAGAACTCCCCAATTTTCGGCACCAGAAGAAACGGGGAGAGGAGAAGGTCACTGTGGGAAGGCTCTCCCCACCGGAAACCCTCGCCAACCAATCAAACAGAAGACAAGGCCAGTCGCTGTGGGGTGGACTGGGGAGGGGGGGAGGTTGGGAAGACGCATCCCCCTCTTTTCCCTCCCAGAAGAATTCTTTGCCAGGTAGCTCTCTCTCTCCCCCCCCCTCTAAAATAAGAATTATTTTTAGTCTTATACCCTTACTAAACCCAACTATAGCAAAAAACCCTCCATCATAGTTTTTATTAAAAGATGCAATTACCACTGTTTATCATGGGAAGTTCTAAAAGCTTATAGGTCATCTTTACTCTAAACCCAATTCCGAAACTCTGACTCTAAAAATATTTAGAATGTAAAAATACTATTTTTGGTACATATTTATTGTGACAGGTAGACAGTCATTTGCTAAAGTGGTACATATCATATTATACATCTTCAAGGGGAACTTGTGTAAAAATCCGAAAGGAAGACGAGCGAGAGGAGTTGGAGTGCGAACCCAGTCATCATCTCCGTACAAAAGAAACAGGTGGACGTTACAGTTAATAAAGCAATAGTTGATTAAGTGAGCGCGCTGACTTTAGGGTGTCAGCCGATCTGGCGGTATCTTGACCGCGAATAAGCAGCGTCAGACCAACGCCAAAATATATCCCCGGACTGGGATAAGTTGAGACCCCCATTTCTCAAATAAAATAATAACCGTGGGGTACTATCATCGCCAAACTATACATCATCAGTTGACTCTCTCTCTCTCTCTCTCTCTCTCTCTCTCTCTCTCTCTCTCTCTCTCTCTCTCTCTCTACCTACATATATATATAATAAATGTATTTTGGGAGACTCACATTAGCCAATTTGTCTGGGTTCAGGTCAAACTCATACGGTAAAAGTCAGCTGGTGTTTGACTCCACAAGTTTGACTTAGGGAGTGAGTCTTTGTTTGGTCCTGCTAGAAGAGCTCTGCCTTGAAAACCTCCTGATTTGAGGCTAAGTTAACCCAGATTTATCATATACACCCATTATGAAAAATGATGTATTAATTGAATATAATAAATCCCCCCTTGATAATCTACATATTCTGAATTTCCCTCCCAGGCCTACATTCTCTGTGAGGGTTAAAGCAAAATCATGATTAGAACCGAAAAAATATTCAATATAAAATTAAGTATATAAATCATAATTGCTTCAATCGTCTTTTGAGAGTACAAAAATCCATAAAAACGTAAGGTATCCACTCAATTTTTTTAAATTCTGGGGGCTAGAATTGGAAATATGTATGGACTTGATCGGTGCTTTCCAAGGAGTGGATCCCCTTCCCTACGGCCCATTAAGGTCATCGGACTGGTCACTTCAAAAACAGCTCTAAGCGTTTTCAAAAAATAAAACTAAAAATGACGTCATTTTTAACATGAGAAAATGTTAGAGCCTTTTCCGACTAGCTCAACTACAGGGCCCAAACTCCAACATAACGGGTCGGGCCGGGCATAACGGCCCACTGACACGCCAAGCAATGGAGGCTGACTGCATTTCCGGGACGGGCTGATCCTTAACATCTGGGTCCATTTGGGCTGGTGGGGCCTTTCAGCGACCCCAAGTAGAACAGCGCAGAAAGAATAATAAAAATCCCATTTGAGTAAAAGAAGAAGAAGAAGATGATGATGATAATAATAATAATAATAATAATGGGATTTATTTTTGGTTTCCTAGGTGTAAGAACTGGGCGAAGTCTGCTGTACAAACCTGAAGCTACCGCCGCCACTGCCAAAACTGTAATTGTAGGAGAGACTGGTGCTACCGATCTCCGCCATCATCGGAGGGAGCAACAGAGGGGCCTGAAGCATATTGTCACTCATTCAGCTGGGATCAGAGCAGGATAGTTGAAGTGGATAATTTAGATTGAAGGTCTCTAGGCCTCTGAGTCGGAGTAGTAGATGGGACTCTCCGACTCGCCCATGGTGGCGGAGGCAAAGGACTCAGCAGAGAGCACAGTTGAGGGGCTTGAAGGAGCCTCATCGGAGTCGGAGACGTTGTCGGGCAAGATCGTGTGCCCGTCCAGCCCGGAATTCCCGAAGGCCTGCGATCCAAATGCGAGCCTGTTTATCGCCGCCTTCGCGCTGTCGATGAACCACTCGTCCTCAGGGAGCGCACTGCGGGCACATCCCAGCATTGTGCAGTGTGAGATGCAAGAGACACAGAGAGAGAAACACTAAAGAATATAGAGAGTAGGGGGAGAGAGAGAGAGAGCGAGCACTAGGATGGTACTGGAAGTGAGAGAGGAGTAATAATGGGGGTGGGGATGCTGCTGACCTCTGTGGGTCGACACCTCGCTTTGAGAAAGTCCTGATGGCCCGGGCAATGACTGCCGACGCGCTTTGATGGACGTTTCTGGATGGGTTGCCCCCACAAACGGCGATCTCAACGAGGAAGTGCAAGTCAAAGACCAGCTGCCACACACAAAAAAGAAGGAAAGCTTACTACTTGTGGCACATTACATATTCCCCGGTGAGAGACAGAACTGGCTAACAATGTGGGTGGAGGGACATTAATCTGAAATCGTAAGTATTCCTCTCTTCCAAGGTAGAGAGAGAAGGGGGATGGAAGATGACCTGCTGTAAACCAGAGGGCTGAAGTCGAACGGAGTCATCATCGAAAACCTCCCAAAACTCTTGCTCATCAGATAACCACATAACCACAGTCTCTGCTAGCCTGGCAATGAAGACTCTCCGTACCTTCTCTTTCCCATGTAAGGCATCCTTGGCCACACTGGCTAACTGCTGCAGCCGCGTGAAAAATTCCTGTAGAAAAGGATCCTAGAGTTAGAGAGAGAAGGGGAATATAGAGAAAAAAACCCGGCATACAGCAAGTATTTTGGAATTCAATCGACACCTACAAATACTACAGGAAGGGAATTTACCCTGGCCGTAAAGAGGAAAAAATAATACAGGAAGGGAATTTAGTCTTGAAATTTCAAATGGGTTTCTTCTTCAATATTTATCAATGAGCGCCAGAAAATCATGATATGGAATCATGTGTATATCTCTCTAAGATACCTTGGATGAATCATGAAGGTTGTTTGATCCTAAAACTGTAAATGCTTGTACAGCAGTAATGGTAATCCTATTGCAGCCCCAATGTTATTCTTGGGCACGTTTTGAGGCAATGGTATGCAAATATACAAAAAATCATAGTGAATGAAGGAAAGTTCAGTGATGTCAAGTCTTCTAAGTGACTCCAATACATATGGCAAGTCTAATACCAAGCATGATCAAAGAATAGCCACATAAACAAATAGTGAAAATGAAATAAAGTCCAGGTTTCCCTTCGGAAGCTAAGATACAAGAGAGTGATTCAGAGTTAAAGAATAGAAGGTTACCTGGAATGGCAATGAAGGCAAGGGATTGGAGTCCCAGAAGAGATCATCAGTTTTCCCATTCAAGTACATCCGGGCATCGAAACATGCCTTCCCGTCCTTCGAGTATATGAAACTTAAGACATACTGCCGGCAGAAATGGTCTCTGAGCTTATCCAGTGAGTGCTGGAGATGACGCCTCCAGTCTTTAAACTCCACTGGACTCAATGCAGCAGCAGGCATGGCGCTTTCAGAAGTTATATTCCCCATTTCCTCTCCTTTGCCTTTTAGTGTGAAGACTCTGGATACAGCAGCTGGTAACATTTCATCAGCCACCATCCATGCAGTTCCCAAGAGAACAAGCTGCTGAGCATCGGCTTCGATGCGTAAATCAGCACCTTCTTTATGCTCTACAGTTGTATCATCTTCAGAGGGGCCAGGTAGGTCTTTGATCAGAGACTCGACATATTTATCAAAAAGAACAAGTAGTCTACTTAGAACATTTGCTCCAAAGTGTGCAATAGCCGTCGGAGTAAGTTGCTCTAAGATATCCTGCACGAGGAAAAATAATACAAAAGCATTTTGCTAAGTAATAAAAAATAATGGTGGCATTTTTATGCCGAAGATGTTCTCTGCCCTTGATAATGCAAAAGCACAAGAACCTTTCAATGCATCATTGCTAAGTAACAAAAAATAAAGTAAAGAAATCAAGGGAACAGAAGTTAACCCCATTTTCTAACACGGGTACCACTGGTTCTCGTTGTATAGATTTTCCCAGTAAGGGGAGGCCATGTCAAGGACTAGGTGTGCCACATATCATTGCTCAGATCAAATGATGTGAAAAAAATTGGAGGTCTACACGTGAACATCACGTGACAAAGGGTCATACTGGCCGGAATTATCCAACCATCTGACCTCAAAATATTTACAAATTCAATCTGTCCACCGATGGAATAAAAATATCTATTGGGAAGAAACAGTCCACAATTGAACGAGTGCTGGTTCTCATTCATCTTATAAACTTCATAGCATATTTTTCATAGGAGGAAGATTGGCCAATGTAGAATCATACTAAGACCTGGAGAGAGACACAATCTGCCAGATCATTTCACTAAAGTTCCTATGCGAATCTGAGAATGATATCTCATTTTAAAATGTTTTTGTGTGAACTGGACAACAATGAGGCCAACCAACTTAGATTCATAGTGAATTATTTATAAACATATTTAGATAATCTCAACTTGTGCGCTTAACAAATTTATGGATTAAACGCTCATGACAATACAATTTTCTATTTACAAGGCTTTGCCATAATAAGGCTTGCCATGATCAAAATGATGAAACACCCATATCACTCTTATGTGTCAAATTTCCGACCATAGGATCAGTTTATGAACACTAAAAACAGAAGTGTCAATAAGGATTCGGTTTTAAACATCCATTTTGCTTTTGAGGTGTGGCATTCTGAGTTATCATGAAATAGTGCAACACGTAGAATTCACAGTCAATTGTTTCGACTTCTGATACTGTGGTCAATTGTTGTGACTTCAAAGGTTGCAGTTGATTACTGCGACCTCTGTACAAGGAAGCCAGATAAGGAAGGAAATGGATAAGATGGCTAAGAAGAGTTGTTTATAGTCCTACTTTGCTTATGAACTTCATGGAAGGTGAACAAGAACAAGGATTGATCAGTAGTCAAAGACAAGGTTCAGACGAAGAACGAACAATAGAAGGGAATAATGATGATGCCAAGGTATCCACAGCTCGGCTTTCAAGAATATGCATTCGCTATAGATTTCCAAGTGACACCTAGGCACACAGGTTTAGAGTTAAACTGCAAGCTAGGCCATGGCTCCAGTATCATGGCAATGTAGCTCCTCTCTACCCACCTCTGCATCTTCTCTCACTCTCCCTCCCCACCCTACACCTGCATTACTGCAATCACCCCGGTTCCATCATTACAAACCCAGCAGCAGCCCCCTCATCATACTCCGCCTAACCACATTCTCCTCGATGGCAAACCCCCTTCCTCCCATGCAGCATCCCTCAACATCCCCCAACTTTCAACCACAAATGCTATCCTCCAAGCAACTCACTCTCTCAGAGGCAATGTCCTCCCCCAATCCTCTCCTTTCAACACAAAGTAGGGACCCTGAGGCCCCTACGCTCCCTCAGACTTCTGGTGACAACATCCTACCGCAGGCGGCAAAAACTCCACCTCCCTTCCAAGTCCTCTGGGAGTGACTCCCCCTTCCACCCTCTGTTGCCACCCATCCGTAAAATAAAACCCCACCCAGCCATCACTTGACATCTGGCTAACCAGGTAGTATCAGATCCATTCTTCTCTGGGCCTGGCCCTTTGACGCCCTAGCAACATCAAGTGCCCAAAGTTGAAAAGACATTATACCATCCACAGTGCCCTAAGATTTCTCTAGGCTCTTCCCGGAGATTAAAGGGGCTTTCATCTCTAGGGGGCTCGGGATCTTGCAGAAGACCAGGGTGAGTATGATTGATAGAGTCTTGCTTTATCAACATTGGAGGAAAAGTGGTGGATTCATCTAGGCACCTCCACTTAGTTCTAAGCCTTTGTGAGCACAAAACAAAAGGAGGTCAAAGTTTTCTCTTGATTTTAAATGGGCAGAAACAAGAGGAATAAATAAGGAAAGAAACAGAAATAATACCCCTATGCAACAAGGAATAGAGATGCAATTGAACGCGAGTCAGATTCACCAGAGCCCATGCATGGGCTTGATATGACTTTTAATTCGAATTATGGTGGTCACAACACAAAGGAGAAACTTATCTGATTTTTCAACCTAAACCAAAACTTTTGTACTCTGACACTTCAATAAACTTGTCAAATAACTAAAATCAGAAGAAGACATATCTCTCATTTAACACTGCAATGTGGTGGAAGGTTTTAAGAATAATATTTCGACAGCTAATTATCAGCTTTTTCGGGCAACATAACCGAAGACTGCCATAAACCAAATTCAACATATACGGAATTTATTGAGACGAGGCTTGGCATATAGCAATAAAGGCAGGATTTGAATAAAGACCTGATATATTTCAAATCATCAGGTTAATCTTATCACATACTAGGTTCAAAGTTTACTGCATCAACTACATTTTAGAGAAAAATCTGATAGAGGGATATTATCAAATTCTCAAACAGATGACAACGCTGGAGTAAAAAATCTTTGCAAATCAAAGAAGGATTGATATTTTAGGTTGCAGGTAATATTTTTTATCCCCATATATACTAATTAAATTTTATTTAAAAAAATTATATAAATTACACTTGATGTAACAGAAGACATAGAGCAATGATAACAACGAAAGTTATCTTTCCACTACTAACAAGAACCAAAAGCGGATTCGCAACTTATAGGCACCATGAGAAAAGCAGATAAATTAGCCGAATCAGAGTTCACAAGCAGGTGTTCCGAATTTCACAAACAGTTAGTTATATAGTGAAATGAGAATTGGTCATAAATTTTCTGCCAAAATCTCTATAACCAAATCAGAAGTATCAATGTTAAGGGATAAGTAATGAAACAACTTACAACAACAATAGATATGAACTTCTTTCCATTGTTAGCAAGCAAGATGCCTGATTCTGAAACTTCAGGAAATGGTGAACCCATAGAGGATACCAATAGGACCGTGTCATCAATTCCTGAGAAGTCAAGAATTCTTCTTCGAGCTCTTCTGAAGTTCATATCGAGTACCTCTTCCACATAAGGACGCAAGAGCACCATGACCAACTTTGAGAACTTGAGTCCTTGAGATTCCAAGAGTGAGCAGTGATGAAAAGTAGCCTCCATACAGATGCTTACAGAGCGAAGAGCAGAAGTAGAATCAGATAAAGGTCCATTTTCTTTTACTATCCTCACGAATGATTCTATTTCGTACTCGGCCCACTGCACAATTTTATTTGTGTAGGTAGGTGAATCACCAAAAATGTTACAAGACTCCCTTTTTACAAGTGAGATCGTAGAGAACACAAGCTGTGAAAGAGTTGCCGTATAGGTTTCTGCATAAACTGAACATGACGGGAGAAAAGCTTCAATACTTTTCTGCAAACGGGAACCATATTTTTTCAAAAACAGCTTATGACCCAGAGGACCTTTCCCAAGTTTAACCAAACCTAACAATGCTTTCTTCATTTCAGCATTGCCAACAGTTGGTTGTTCAATAATCCCAACCAGTTGATCCGCAAGCATCGCCTTTCTTTTCAACAATGCTTCCTTATAAGATGAATCGATGGTGGATGCATGTTCCCCAGATTCATCAGCTTGAGCTGTCCTTTTTCCTTCTACTTCAAAAGCCTGGAGTGCTTCTTCAGTTTTATGCTCTGCCAAGAGAATATCTATATTTTCAAAAAATACAGCCCTGGCATGCTGATTTTCGGGAGAGAATAGATCTTCAAGAACACAAGCTTTAATGTCTTCTCCGAGATCAGGATCTGTGCTACATTTATTCCACTCCTCTATCTCATGGCAGACACCATTGATAAGATCCTGAACAAGAATCCCCTGAGAAGATACATGTTTATGAAGATCAATCAACTCTTGTTTTATTTCCTTTACCTCTTCAGATATCCTGATTAAGTCAGAAGGGAAGGAATGAGTACTAAAAGAACGAAAAGCCTGAAATAATTCATACATTGGAAGAAAATCCCTACATTCAGTTTTATACTTCTCTTCAAAGAGGGACTCTACTTTCACTTCATAAAAATGGGATGTAGTCATAGAGTTTACCCAGTGGTCAGCAATTCTAAAGAGAAAGATAATATGTGAACAATAATGGAAACTATAATACACTGTCAGCAAGGTGGTAGACAACTCCTAAGAGAATGATAACTATACCCCAACTACGTAAAAGCCTAAACTACAGCACTACAGTAGGCGACAGAAATGAAATGAACCCCCCCTCCCCCCCCCTTCCCACAAGAGGATACCTAAACAGATAAAGGTCATTTTTAGACAAGCCCATGTGGCCTTTGAGCAGTAGCAGAATTTGATGAAAAATAAATTATCAGTGTGTTCTCCTTGTCCTCTCTGTGTACACTTTATTTCCTCCCTTCCCTCTCCCGGTTCTACCCTTTTTCCTCCTCCAGTCTACCCCTTGTTCCCACTACCCCAGGTATAGGTGTATGCATATCAACCAACGTACGTAAGACCTATCTTAGGTCCTTTGGGTCTATGAATATCTTAGGTCATCTAGGTCCATGTATACTTTATATCTTTTGGGTCGATGTGTAGAAGCTAATACACTATGACAAAGGATAAAGAAGCAGCAAGTTTAAAGGATAAAACTTGCTGTGACAATAATCTCTAGGATAATCCATGCTGTGACACTGCACCCTACAATTGATGCCGCATGTGGTTGGTCCTTAAGGTTTATGGCGTATGTCTACTACATGATTTGTGTCAATCTCGAGTTTCTCATGATAGAACCAAGTAGGAAACGAACGTTGACAGGCGTGGACTTCCTTGGCCACAATACAGTTGGCTGCAAGAGTCCACTTATGCTGACATGGCTAGGAGATAAGCTATAAGACATAGAGACCAAGTCCAATACTATCCAAGGTATAAGGGCTTACAGAGACAAAAGGACCAGAATGATGTGAGCTATGACATGCAAGTCGGTCCACACCCTGACTAAGTAAAACTAGAAAATGAAATAAATGAAAGAAAAAAATAACGATGTAGCTCGGCTGTGGCCTACGAAGAATACTAAACGAGATTAAGACATAAAAATTACGCAGGGGAGATAATAAATGAAAAGCTGTGAATGAATAGGTCATTGTTATGTTAGCCAAAAAAAGAAAAGAAAGAATGGATACTTAGGGGGGTAGACATACCTTCTAGTTGTTTTATACTTCCTAGAATGACCAATGAAATATGATAATTATGAATGGAATATAGATGACGGATAAATAGCATCATGAAACTACAACATGAACAATATGATGTAGAGCATGAATGAATATGGCAGGAGACGTTAACGAACATAAACCTTGACCTCAGGAACTATAAAAGTAGAATGAACAGACAATGAAGTACGAAGCAAAACAAATGTTTATGATTTCCACACTGTATTATTCAAACATGATAAAGAAAGGCAACATGAAAAGAAACTGGAATTGTTTTAGAAATGTATGAACTCCAGAGTGTCAGACGAAGCATCTTCATTGTTTTAGAAAAGGACACTAAAAAATAAGAAATAGAAAATATTCCTTGACCAAACCAATTCTGATGCAGAATAACTTCCCAACTGCTGCGAACCCATTGTCAACTAAGACAGCAATATGATACAAAATCCCATATCTGGTATCCTCAAAGATAAAGAAATAAGTTTCAAAAGTATCTCATACCGGCATTCCAGTTTAATGGGGGCAATACATAATATGGAAGACATTACCTGAGAAAAGACAGGTATTTCATGTGCATATTTCCACAAAGGCCTTCAACGGCATCCTTTAGATCTAAAAGATCAGAACAAAGTTTCCTAATTCCCTAGATAAGAAAAAATGCACATAAATATTCTGAAGTTGCAATTATGCAATACTCAGTTGCATGACTCAGCTAAAGGTGAACATCATCATATCAAGAATATATACAACAATAACAGTCGAGATAAATTCTGCCAAAAAAAAAACTAGTTTTCTCCTTTTTTTTCCAGGAGTCTGATGCTGATAATAGATGGCTAACGATGAGATCATGCATTGTGGCACCACAATAACATTGATTATATACCCGAATCTCTTTCCTACAAGGTACAGAAAATGATGAAAAAAGGTACCCTAAAAAAAAATCCAATGAAAATATAGGGAAATGCTGATGAATCACCAGGGATGGAGAGCAATTAAAATGGCATCCCAAAAAAAAAATGATAAAATGCATCAATAGTTTCAAAATATCTAGAAGAAGAAGAAATATACTTGCAATAATTTAGATCTAGTGTCAGTTCAAAAATTCTAAATGAACTAAATTACAAAGTAGTTTCGACATCAAAATATACCTGCTAATAAAATACACCAGAAGTAGTTAAAAATAATAAATAATAAACATAACTGATATTAGAAGCAGAATTGGATGCAGCAATCATGTACAGAGACAATCCTTTAATGCATAGGGAAAGTAAATGGCCAAATCTACCTGAAACCATATTAAAGAGGATGCATTCATAGACTAAAGGAATGGCTGGATACACTTCAAATGAAAGATTTGGATTACGGCAATCCTGATGATGCACATGACAGAGACAGAAATTTTAGGCAAAAGATATTTCCTATTCTTTCATTCGGAGAAAGAACAGGAGCTGAGAAAAGAAGTGAAAAGACTAGGCAACACCACCAGCTCACACAGGAAAAATGAAAAACCAAAAGCATCCGGATCCTCAGTATCATGCATTTGTGTTTTACAACTAAGAATCTCAAAGAAAAATGAAAGAATACAGTAAAAAGGGAAAATTTTATTAAAACGTGCACTATATCATAGCTTAGCGCTCCAGCTCAACACTGTACCGACAATATAACTAAATTTACACATCAACCACATGAGACTAGTGCTATTACTTTAGATGATTGAAAGGAGTTAACATTCAAGTGAATTATTTTTATGAAAAGGATTTTTTTTTTACATCCCTAAGGGTTTATTCATCTAGAAAAAAATGATTCACATATAATTGTTAAATAATTTTTTGATAAATCCATGCCATCAACTTAAGCTAGGCTATAAGAAAACAACTAATCATAGGTCGATTTCAAGAAGGATTAAATGAGACTTTAACAAGGACAGAGTGTATGCAACGAGGGAAGCTCCATCTAGCCCAGGTAAATTTATGTACACCATAGTAGATATACAGTATCTAATCCTTAAGGCCTTGACAAAGCATATATAAGATATATGTCTAAAAGACTTGATAATAGACTCGTATGTGAAATTATTTCGGTACCTTCTCTCCCTACACAACGATTTTGGCTCCACCATTGCACATGGATATTAAACATAAAACTATCGCTTGTTATGAAACATTTTTAACTCTTAACTATGTACAAACAGAAATCTGCGACCATTTTAAACAAGGCCAGGCCCACTGCTTTCTGTCCCACTAAGTCCATTGTTGTAAGGCCAAAGCTCCAGCATTGTTCTCATTCTTTGTTAGCTGACAGATGACATTAACTCGGAAAAAAAAGCACTTTCTCAACAACTGAGTACAGCCTCCTCTCGAGACTTCTTCTAGTTAATTTTACACACATTTGGTTTTTTTTCAGCCCTTAGGCAATATTCGACATTTCTGACTGCTCCCTAAATCCCCACGTTTCCAACTACCTCTTGCAAGGCTATAGCACCTTCCGAAAGAAACCATCATGGCGAACACAGTACATACTTACGCTCCTCTATTCAGGAGTATAGGCTCTTCATATGCAAAGCACGATAGAGAGTCGAGCAGTCTAATGAAAAAAACACAGTATACCATAATATATTCAACCCCAGAATTTCCGTTACCAGAATTACAAAGAAATAGAGCTAGACAGAAATGGTAAGGATTTCCAGGTTGAAAAATCCAAAATTTCACCCACTGCCAAATCGTCCCATTCATAAACAGAGAAAGACAATGTCTGAAGATCCCCCGGGTTCACGTAGAAAGCAAGATTCAAATGTACGAAAAAAAAAAGATTGAAAAGCAGAACACAACGGATACGAACTAACCTCTCGACGAACGGGAAATCCTCAAAAAATTAGAGTGGAGGGGAATAGGACGATACTCGCGTGATCTTTCGTTCGACGGCGATACCTTTTCCGTGTGGGACTGGTAGACAGAGTTGATGTGGGACTGGGGCGTGATCCATTCGTGCGACATGAAGTCATCCTCCTCCTCGCTGCTCTCCATCTTCCCCAGGGCTCCGCTCCGGCGTCCACCCCCCCTTCCCCCCGGGTTCCTAATGTTCGCTTCTTCCTCCCTTTGCGACCTCCGCCAGTGCCACGGAGGCTTCTGCAGCAAACTGTTCTCGATGGGGAAGACGGCAGTCCAGTGACAGTCAGCGGGCCCTACTGTGATTTATCTCCACCGTACGATCACCGATCGACAGCTGAGAGCGGGGTGACCCTGACGTTTAGTTCTACAATGAGCTTTCCGTATAAGAAATTATCGAAGAATTTAGCCAAGAATAATATTATTAATTAAAAATTAATAAGTATCTCTTTAATTCGGCATGATGTGCAGATAAAAAAAGAAGAAGCTCATGGAACATTTTTCAAGCGATTTTTTGGAATAATAAATAACTGAAAGAATGAGAAATTATGGTTGATTGAAACAAAATATTATTGCCAAACCCTTGACCAATATTCAAAAATTATTATCATTACTTAAAAAATAAAAATAATCCATCTCTTCATTAGGTGACGTGCCCACATGGCAATAATAAATGAGTGAGGAATTAACTAAGAATTAGAAATTTATGTTGTGCTGAAATAAATATAATTGTTCACATTTAAAAACTGAATTTTAGTGGGGCCCATTGAGCGAAGTCTTTAGGAAGGGACTATATTCGTATTTTTCCAGGATTTAATATTTTATTATGTAATTAAAAACACCGGATCCACAAAAGAATAATAAATGGGTTTGGATCAAATTTAAATTAAATAGAAAAGTGTTAAGATTATTTTTTAAAAAAATATTGAGGCTATTTTACCTTGTTTCTAATCTCAGTAGACATCAAATCACAAGGATTATTTATGAAGAAAAATCCTATATTTATTATAAAAATCTGGGCCCATGTATTTGGTTTGGCTTTTTCTTCTGGAAATTTGACCGACGTCTACTCATGTGCGGAGAAAGGGGGAGGGTACATGAGGCCCATTAGATCATAATTTTCATTATTCATAATAATAAATTATTATTTATTTAACTCAGTTTTTTATCCTTTAACGGTATTTTAAAGTATCTAAATCTCGATTTTCTATTTTAGTAATAAAATGAATAATGATAATCTGTTTTTGAATAAATAGTTATAAGCGCACGATAACAACAACTAGGAAAAGTGGCGGATCGCGATGTGATTGGTCTATCCACTGACGTTATCTGGAGTGAATGTGGATACTTCTTTAGTACATCTAAATGTACACGTATCCTGTACGCATCACTAAGGAAATGAAAGATCCGCGACCTCACATGAGATTGGGTCCTTCCTAAATCATTTTCATTGGTAGGTATTATAACAATGCGTACTGTTTCGTACGAACCCAGTGTCATCGGCTAATCGTCGCCCATCACCACCCAGAGAGGGCCTTCGTCAGTTACCCGGTTCATCCTCCCACCCTCATCTGCTCCTGCTCCTGCTCCTGCTCCTCTTCCTCTTCCTCCTCCTCCTCCTCCTCCTCCTCGGGTCGGTGGGTTTCGCTGTTGCCGTCACAACCACCATGAGGGCCGCCACCCACCACCCGCTCATCGCTAGTCCCGCAGACATCCGCTCTGGGCGGTCCTGGCCGTCTAGCGGGCGAACCGCATTACCCAGCAACGTCCGGAAGGTCTCGCTGGTCACTAGAGCGACTGTCGCTGTGGAGCAGGAGAAGAAGGTCAAGGTGTCCCTCTTGAAAATTGGGACCAGAGGGAGGTATGACTTCGAACGGGTCCCTCTCTTCTCTTTCATTTCTTATTCTATCCGAAGCAGCTAATGTACTAATACTCGGTTATTTCCATCTTTGGTTGGAATTTTGGGTTACATGCATGGTAAGATGGTTCCGGGTGCGTTTTAGCTTGACGTGGTCATCAATTTCTATTGAAATTGCTTGGTCTCCTTGTTTAGATTTCGGTTTTGAGGCTTTCCGGTCTATTTCATGACAGGAATTGGATCTCCTTGGGTGGTATTTCCATTTATCTTCCTATAGGAGACCTGGGGGTTTAATGGAGTGGATAGAAGACGAAAAATAGCCTCAACTGAAGTGAAGGTTTCAGATTACACGTGACATATATCAATAAAGATTTTAAGGGATAAAACTAGCCTCAAATTTTAGATAAGATGGTTTATTTCATCATGTTTTTTCTTTAGTACTGTTCTTCCTGATTTTTTACCGTGAGCCAATTCCAAAGGATTTGAAAAGATAGCTCGTTATTATTTTCTCTAATTTTCTATTGGATCAATCACAGCATTGCTTTTGGCTGAGGTTGATGATATTTATCTCTTAGATATCAGTTTTTTTTCCCCTTATTTTCTAGATCACTTTGTTTTGAACTCTGCGTTTGCACCAAAATAGGACCAACAGCTCGTAGGGTTTTTGGTGAATAGATAAATCTCAAGTTTTAGAGTTAAAGTTTTAACCTGAGGTAAAAAGGTTATGAATTTGTCTGATGGACTACTAGACTGTTTCATTCCTAGGAAGCATATTTTATCAGAAATTATTATGGATGGAGTGATAATTATTGAATATATCAAACACTATTGGTGATAAGTATTTCATTTGTATTCTGAAAGGGGGCTGATTGGATTTGAAAATGATATCATGCGTTTCAAATAAATATTTTGATGACGAGGATTAACATAAAAGCGGCCATTTGTTGGTTAATTGGTATTCAATTTTAAATTCATCAATTTCTGTTATCAAAAGTTTTCTGATTACTTATTCTTCATTTCTCTAACAAATTTTGTATCACAGTATGTTCTTTGCTTTTGTTGTGCTTTTATGCACATGCTCGTCCTAAAGCCTGTCTGCTGGTTAAAACCTTCTAATGTGTTTTTGCTTGATGAATGTTTACTTCTTCTTATCATCGTATCAATATTCTCGAAGTCAAATCTATATGATTTCTCTTTTTCCTATGAAAGGACATCCACAATAACAAATTTTCTGATCAAGCCAATGACAAGGAAAATCACTTGGGCAACTAAGCGACTAATTATGGCATATTGAATTCAACGCGTGCTCACCTTTGATTCACTAAATTTCATCGTATCCTTCTGCATTGTGATCCACATCTTTCTGCACAGTCTTTTTCCATATATTGTGATCCGCATTTCAGGATGACATCAGCAGTCCCTAGTCTCTATTTTGTATGCCAAATTTCTCATTCTTTTTTCCTCCGTTCTAAAACACAATGGCTAATTATGGCATAATGGTTTACTAGAAGTTTATCATCGTATGATTCTGGATGTCTGATTCACTGGTTTTAAATGATCTGAAACAGTATTGAAATTAGATAGGACAGAAATATGAAGGGCATACTGATGACCTCTTTAGATTTGTCTCATCACCATTAAAAATACTTTGTGGGCCTGTCTGAGAATTTGGACACCAGCTCAGGCCCATGCTTTATATCACTATCTTTGATCAATTTATTTTAGTTTTACCAAATCCGGAAGAAATCCAGATTGTGTGGGATGCTTTTGTTATCTTGCTTCATGGGTTCTACTTTGGAAACCCCGGCATCCATATCTAGCAATCCGCAGTGTAGTTACAACTTAAGTCTTTGTCATGTGAAATCAGAGTGGTTGGCTCAACAGCTCCATATCCGTATCTTGTGGGATCAAGGAGGCCACTGGCACATGCCTGCTGCATATGACTAGATGTTCCCTTACCACAATGCTTGGCTCATCTTAGTGAGGGCTGGAGTTTGGTGAAGTGAGTAGGAAAGTTTCTGATCTAGCTTCTCATTAATCCTCAATGCTGCGTGTTTCCATTACATTGCTTAATGTTGGCAATTCAGGCAGTGCTTCATGTTGAGGCTACAGTCTCGATTGGAAATCTTTGTCCCATGGACTTTCGGTTTTTCATGTTGCCTTCTTGTTATCAGACGGACATTGGTTAATGTATCACATGCACAAGAAAGAAAATATTCACTTAGTTGTGTGAAGATTAATCGATGCTCAAGAATGTGAGTGGGGAGTTGTGGATAGGTGAAGGGGGAGGACTGCTGAATCTTGACATCTGCTTTGGAAAGTGATCTGGTTAGGGTTGGGCGCTGTATTTGGTGTTTGAGAAAAATCAATGAGCATAGTGTATGTGAGGGGCAATTTGGATAACTTGTGCAGTCAAGTGACTTCAGTGGTATTGAACAGCAGATAGGATAGATGGTAGAATTTGGAAGATATTCTTTCCTGTGTTGCGACAGAGATGAGGCTGTAGTGTACAAAATAACAACCACCAGTTTAGGTGGTTTCTTCCTGGATTAAAAGTGGAAAGTGGTGAAGTGGATTTGACAAACGTGTATAATGGCGGAGCTAATAATTGTCATGTACAGCCGGCGTGTATAGCATAGAGTGGCAAATGCTGTGTATGGAAAGTTGCTATAAGGTTAGTGGGGCAGGGGAAGGCCATTGTGACTACTTTAGGAAAATGGTATAGACAACATTGTATGGTAGATGTAGGTCATGGAGATTGTACCTAGTGATTTCCTATTGGGGTTACTGTAGCGTCCAATGGAGTAATTTTTCTGGAGATTTCTTATCATTATCTTGCCAGGTAGACGTCATTGATGTAGCATTTAGTGTTTTCCATTTCGTATTGAGAGTCAGATGGAGTGAATTTTTTTGGAATCATCCTATATTACTAATTTTCTGAAGTCTTGGTCTCAGAGTCTCCTGGCTAGCATTTTATATCCTGCATTTCGCTGTATCTTTTTGGTTCTCTGCCATAGGATCATTTCTACCTCTTCGTATTTGCTTTTTCTTCATGCTTGTGTCGGACAAGTTTGCCCGTTTTTTTTAATCACATTATTTCATGCGGATACTTTGTCAATGCCATTGTTATGCATTCAGATTCTCTGTTATCTCATGGCACTGTTTGGCTTCAATATTTTAGTTTACGGGTTCTTATTATTTATTTTTGTTAATAACTTATGTGAATATTTCGTTTATGATATCTAAAATGCATCATTTAATTGTCAGTTTTATGCTATTCTATGATTGAATTTCAGTGTTTCAACATCTTGTATTCAGTACTTTGAATCTCATTGTGAAATAACAGAGAATGTGGCAAGAAAATTTTATAGTGGTGATGCATTGTTGTGTTCAAATTATGAGAAACTTAGAGATAACTTTTATTCACAAGTTCTGTTTTTCTTCTCATAAGTATGCATTGTAATAATCCAGTGCCGAGGACTTTTTTCCTCCGTTGGGTGACACTCCTGTTTCTTATGTAGGACAGTCCTTTAGCACTTGCTCAGGCCCATGAGACACGTGACAAACTCATGGCATCACATCCAGAGTTAGCGGAAGATGGAGCCATTGAAATTATTATTATTAAGACGACAGGAGATAAGATACTAAATCAACCACTCGCAGATATTGGAGGCAAGGGTCTATTCACTAAAGAGATAGATGAGGCTCTGTTGGACGGGACGATTGATATTGCTGTTCATTCAATGAAGGACGTTCCCACTTATTTTCCGGACAAAATTACTCTACCATGCAATCTTCCTCGAGAGGATGTCAGAGATGCTTTTATTTGCTTGACTAAAAGCTCTTTAGCTGAGCTTCCTGCTGGAAGTGTTGTTGGTAGTGCTTCTCTCAGAAGACAGTCTCAGATACTTCACAGATATCCCTCTCTCAAGGTAAGGGTTGAAAGCGTGAGATATCTGATATTTGGATGGAATATTTAGTATCTTCACATTTTGAATGCAGAACCATAGTGTTGAACTTTTCCTGGGATACCCATCACCCTAGACACATTTTGAATGCAGAGATGATGTTTTAAATATAGAATTTGAGCATGGTTTTCTAACATTCTTCAGTCAACTTGTCTTGTCAGATGCAAGTTGCGTCAAGATTTTGTTTCTTTCATTGAATTCAAGATAAAAGTTCATGCATACGGTTGCTTGCCATGCGCCTGGTGACCAATGGTTTACATAAGCAATTCAGGGTTGATCTCTTGGTTGGGTATCTGAGGGAATGACCTATCGAGTAGGATGTAATGTAAACCAGATCCGGTTGGTTGCATAAAAGATAGTGGATTCTGAGTCGATGATTATTTTTCATGGCCTTAAATGGTGCAAAGATTTAGTCCGAGGATCTTTTATTTGAGAGTAGAATCAAGAGGCAACAAATGTATGCAAACTGGGAAAGATGATAATATCTTTAAAACTTAAGTTTGTGTGTGAAGTGAGGACTAATGTGGAAGCCGAGTCATGTAAAGATCTTTCTTATTCTACTCAGTCGTTGAAACTATTAAAACACATTTTGATGAGAATAGCTCCAGAGTAATAATAGACTGTTTTCAATGGTTTTGTACGAACCAAGATTTGTAAAACTTGTAATATAATTGATTCTTTGTTTTAATAGGATAACCTAATTTCTGGGTTTGTGGGCATGAAGTTTCACCAGGTGGCATCCTGGATAAGTCCTGTACTTTGTTTCTGGTTTATTAGGAATAGATCTTTACACCCAGTTCGTGAAATAGCCATTAAAATGCTGCCACTGAAAGGTTGGAGATGAAACTCAACTTCATTGTCAGAAAACCATGTTGAATCCATGGATCAACAGAAAATCGTATAACTACATCTGCACAACAAACAGTAGCTTATCGGGTACTGCACTTTTAACTTCATTCAGAGTTTTGAGGAGGGATAAAAATAGATCGGCTGGCATATATAGACGGAACACTGCTTTAATTAGTAGAAAGATTGTGGATTTCCTTGTATTATAATTTATTTCATTCTGTTTAGCAGAGAAGCGCCCTCTTTTGAAATGAGACTGGAACCCATGCTGAAACCCAAATTCAGAACAGTTTCATATGCTTGCAATTTCCCCTCTGAATTTATTGCTTTTTTTTTTTTTGAAAACTGAAATACCTCATCTAATTATGAATTTATTTCTGCTATGCAGGTGGTAAACTTTAGGGGCAATGTTCAGACACGGTTGAGAAAACTTAGTGAAGGGGAGGTCCATGCAACTCTGTTGGCCTTGGCCGGACTGAAGCGGCTTAATATGACTGAGAATGTCACCTCTATTCTGTCTACAGAGGAAATGCTCCCAGCGATTGCACAAGGTGCAATTGGTATTGCTTGCAGAGGCGATGATGATAGCATGGTATGACAATATTATACCTTGCTTAAACAATTTCTCTTTCGTTTATTATGGTGGTTTGTTTGATAATTGTCTCGCTTTCTGGCCATTTTCTGCCATGTGGATGATCTGGTATCTAGGAATTTAATATAGTTTCTCTCCCAACGCTCAAATTCTGGAGGAACAATTGGATTACCGATGACCAATATGGTCTCCAGTATGGGGAAAAATATAGGAGAAATTACATGAACAAGGCCAAATGGTCCAGGGATGGTTGATTAGTACTCCAAAGAATTTGAGGAGTGTTCTGTCATCATCTTACCAGAAGAACTTGGACATATACTTTTGCCCAGATGATGATTTTTTTAGTCCAATGTATGGAATCATTTGTGTTAGGAAACGAATTGGATTATCCAACTATGGGCTGATTCACGATGAATCTATCTTAAGTTTGACTATTTTTGTAGGATGTTACGTGCATGTCTTGGGGGATCGGAATTCCCATCTAAGATTTAATTGAGGAATACAGAATTCCTCTCTGTATCCACTGATTCATCATTTCGTGGGTTCAATGACTTTCATTTGATGAGTTAGAAATATTTTCTGACCAGAGTGCTGGCGATCCTTCTCCCATTATTCCTCCTCTACATGTTGTACCGCCCTGAAAATTCTTCTCGTCTCCTATTTTTATTATTCAAAGCACGCACTCTGGTGTGTCATTTGATGGAGGTCTGAACGTGTTTGCTGCAGATTAATTATATTGCCTCATTGAACCATGAGGAGACCCGATTAGCTGTGGCCTGCGAGAGGGCGTTCCTCACAGAACTGGACGGTTCTTGCCGCACTCCAATTGCTGGGTATGCTTACAAGGACGCTGAGGGATACTGCGTCTTCAGAGGCCTGGTTGCTTCACCGGACGGAACCCGGGGTAATTAAATCACGTGACTATGTAACAATTTAACCAGGTTTTCATCTTGGATCTGGGAAATTATATATCACTCCTTCTCATGTTGGCCCCCCCTACTGTTTCTATTTTCAGTGCTTGAAACCTCGAGGAGAGGTCCTTATTCTCTTGATGATATGCTTTTGATGGGCAAAGATGCTGGGAAGGAGTTGATTGCCACCGGCGGTCCTGATTTCTTCAGGTGGTAGACGAAAGACATCTGAAGGTAGAAAGGCAGAACTTTTATAAAGTGAGCTATGAGAGTCTATTCATCTGTTTCATTTTCTCATTGTAGTAGTTTTGTAGTCGAAATGTTTCCATTGTAGCACTGCGTTTTTGTGTGGTCTGTAATTTGGATCATCTTGCTGCTCTTTATTTGGTTGGAAATCGAGTAGTTTTCCTGTTCTTGGCTGAATAGGTACCAACTGTTTTTGTAAAGTGAAACCTTCCATTTTCTAGAGAGAGAGAGAGAGAAAGTAGAACTTCTTTATTGTTTTTTAAGAAAACAACAGGCAAAAATGAACTCGACAAGGATCACATTATGACTATGAAACTGTGGTTTAAACAACCCTAAATAAAAAAAGAAGGGCGGTGTATAAAGGCAGATCCCTCGTGGCATTTCTGATCACTCCCTAGAGAGGAAGGCCGTCTTCACCTGGGGATCCTCAGGTAGAGTGGTACCCAGTTAGCCTTCTCCGGGGAAGCGTCCCACACAGAGAAGCCACTAGTGGAGTTCATCCACTTTTTATTGATCTCTGGGTAGTGGCGGTTGATGACGTCCTTCAGGCTTTCTGTCTTGTTGACCCATTCAAACCCCTTCTTGGTGTATGCCTGCTCGTTGAAGTGACTTGTGAAGAATCTATCAGCTTGCAACCGCCTACAAGAGCAAATACCATATTTCACATCAGTGGGCTTCTAATGATCCCCATTTCTCGCTGGCAGGTGTCTCGTAAAAGGCCCAGAAAATGGGTTGGTTCAGAGAGAGAGAGAGAGAGAGAGAGGCTTAACCCATCTTCAGACTGTGTTCGAGCATAACATAAGATCCTGAATTGTAATATTAACAAACCAACTCGATGAATCTATGGGAGATTAGGTTAGTACTAGTACCTGGAGGCCATGATGAGAAATATGAAGAAGGCCGTCTCGCTTATCGCGAATCCCTTGATCTTCTTCTCCGCCATGAGACCCACGATGAGATCGAGCTTCTCCACATCGTCCCCGTAGACCTCTTTCAGGGTCTTTATGGCCTCGGCATTATCGGTCAAGTCTTCCCAGCTAGAAATGGGGATCATCAGCATACTCCTCCGGAACTGGTTGTATCTGGCGACCCCTCTCTCTCGATCACGGTACACTGCACAGTCAATAACAGCAAACCCTTCAGAAACCTAATCCCTAGACAAAAAAAATGAATAATCCAGAAACAAAAGAATTGTCCTACGATAGATTATATCGAGCATTACCTTCGAGAGTCGGAAGATCCACGTTATCTGGCCTCTCACTTCCGTCAGTGTTCTGCACGATGAGGTCCCTGAGGAATGTGGGGTAGTTCCAGAGCTCAAGCCCGCCGCAAGCTTGATGCCCCATGGACACTAGCTGTCTCTCGAATCCCACCTGGCTTAGAGTTTTCTCTCCTTTTATTCCAATCAGTTCCTCCATTTTGATACTGCTCATTGCAAAGAGAAATTACTCACAAAGTCAAGCAGCCATTGGACAATTCGGGCGCATCCAAAAGCTCTTACTTTTCATTAGGAAGGAGAGAGAGGGAGAGGGAGAGAGAGAGTTACTCTTTGAGTAGAGAGGGGGCCTTGTTGGGGCCCGGGGGGGCATTGATATTCCTGATTTGGAGGGTGTCCGGGAGGAGAGGATGCATCCTGTACACGCACGTGAACTCTTCGGTAAGGGAGTAGGGGACACCGTGATCGTTGGGCTCCTTGAGCCCCACGAGGCCACCCAAAGCAGGCCCCAGCGTGGCTCCTCCAACGTGGCCGAAGATGCTCTTGAACCTCTTCCCCAGGAGACCATACCTACGCGAGAGACGCCCACAAGTTCTTAGAATCATACGAGGAGCATCTATCATATGGATGTAGGATATACATAAACGTATGAAGCTGGACGTGAACATGAATACGATGGGGAAGGAGGGAGAAGAAGCCGCCCTCACCAGTTGGCATGCATGCCGGCATTCAAGGTGTCGGTCTTGAGGAGCTCCACAGTCCAGTCGATGGTGTGGATCTTGGCGATCACCGCCGACGTCACCAGCCTCGCATACTGGAACAACGTCTCGTCGTTGAACTCTGGGTGTTCCTTCTGCACGAGGATAGACCCAGCTCGTTAGCGTGACAATTAGCAAGAGGATGAGGATGATGATGATGAGGAGGAGGAGGAGGAGGAGTAAGAAGAAGAAGAAGAAGAAGAAGAAGAAGAAGAAGGAGAAGAGGGAAAAGAAGGGGTTGCACCTTGAGGGCGTCGCAGACGGCGTTGTGCTCCTTGACGAAGAGCGCCTGCAGGATCGAGACGCCGGCCCAGCTATTCTTTACGTCGCCACTGACGGCGCGGCCCTGCTCATCGTGGAGGAGAAGACCATCCTCCCCGATACTCAGCTTGCCGTCCACGAGCGTCCTTACCCGGGCCCCAACCACCTTGTCGCTCCCGTAGAGCACGCTCCCGTCCCTTCATTGCAGATTAGCCCCTGTTCATTTCTCCCTTTCCGTCTTTCTTAATATGGAGAACAATCGTATCTGAGATCTTCTTACCACCAGGAGGTTCGGATGTTCTTGTGGCCGACTGGGATAGCCCTTGAGGCGCCCACAGGGATGCTCTTTGTGGCGTAGAACCGGAAGGCCTTCAGTGGGCAGCCACCAGCGACTTCTTTCGGCGCCGTCAGCTCGATCTACACGGCCACGGTAAGTCAGACTCATACACATACATACACGAATACATATACATACGTAGACATTTGTAGCCTTCTTCTTGGCTGGGAAAGACAACAGATTTATTTGGTTCGCACAACAAAAGTCTGAATGCATGCAGAGGGACCAATGTGCAATGACGCCGGTTTTGGTCGTATTGCCCTACTCGGCCCCGGGGTTTGTAACTTATGCGGAAGAATTCTAACGCATGACTCGCTCTGCGTGCAATTCCGTCCACTGCATCGCGCCAAGGCTCTTCCCAATTATTTTTCTTCGGGAGCAATTCCGTTCGTCAGATTTTTCCTTTAGAGATGTGATGTATACTGGATTATTTATTTTTTATAGATCTAGAGAGAGAGAGGGCACCTGGCCGGTGGCCTCTAGGTGGTCTATCCAATCGTGAACCATGAACTGGATCCAGGAGGCGGCGATCACGTTGAACTGCTTCCCCGTCCCGATGAAGCTCTTCCTCTCCAGCAACTTCGTCGCCACCACAAACGGATCTGGATCCGTAAGCTGGCCCAAAGGCGTGTCAACAGCGGATACAAACAGAGTGGGAGATCAACGTGGGAGCCGCTAGCTACCTTTCCCTGCTGGTCAACAGGGAGAATATTCCTCCCGATGAAGGTCATCTTGCTGCCGGCTGCGGGCTTGGAGAGGTCAGTGAAGGTGCCGTCGTCGGAGCGGAAGGGGTGGGCGTCGGGGTTGGGGTCGACGGAGTCGATCTTGCCGACGGCGAGGAGGTTCTGCCTGTTGTAGATGATCCGGCGGAAGGTGAGGTAGGTGAGTCCGAGGAACACCGGCAGCCTGTGCCATAACCCCAGCTTGTCGACGACATGCATCATCTGAGAAGAGAGAGAAAAAGAAATGGATCGTGCGACTAGAAATCGATCGACCTTCCGACTACGGGCTGGCGCTGATGCGTTGATGACGTTCTTACCAGGAAGAACGTGATCAACGCATTAGAGAATATAAGGAAATAGCTTGTGAAGAAGAAGACTTATTTATTTTGAGCGGAGAATTATCTCTGATACATTCATTCACATTTGAAGGAAGATCATATTCTATTTGTAAAAGTCAAGTTGCTGCATATTTCAATGAAGAGTTGAAAGCTGCATCAGATATCGCATTCTACATTCGTTATTTAAGTCAACTCTTTCTTAAGATGTTGATTCTCTCTATTAAGCCCTAAGGTACTTAAGTGGTAAGTGGAGAAATATTTGGACTAAAGCATATGGTGTTAATATCCTCCTAGCGTTTGTGAAGGGTGTGGTATTTGAGGAGACTGGTGCGCTTGATTAAGGCACGTGATGTTGATACTTGTATTATACCCCGTGGAGGGTATAATATTTATAAAGGTTAGAGTAGTGTGACTGAGTCACTAATCTTGTGAAATCAACATATATTTCCAAAAGGAAATAGTAAACTTTGGTAGTAAGGATCCTTTGAGAGTAGACAGCCTAGTGAGGGGTGAACTAGAATAAAAACCGTGTCCTTAGTGGTCTTACATAAAAAGAGAGAACGGATTAAGTAAACTCATACTCAAAACATAGAAGTTGTGTGAGAACTTGTGTTGACATATACACTCGTTGATAGAACATAATAAAAGAAAAAAAATCATAGGAAACTAATTCACTCCCCCTCCCCTCCTCCTCCCCCTCCCCTCTTGGTGTTCTACTTAGCCCCAATGAACCGTTCAATTCTTGTTTAAACAAACTTACAAGAAAATATGCATGATACATAAGGTAGATCCCTCAAGGTATTTGTGATCACTCCCTAGTGAGAAGGGCCATCTTTACTTGGGGATCCTCAAGTAGAGTGGTACCCAATTAGCCTTCTCGACAGAAGCATCCCACACTGAGAAGCCACTTGTGGAGTTCATCCACTTTTTAGTGATCTCTGGGTAATGACGGTTAAGGACGTCCTTCAAGCTCTCTGTCTTGTTGACCCATTCAAGCCCCTTCTTGGTGTATGCTTGCTCGTTGAAGTGGCTTGTGAAGAATCTATCACCTTGCAACCGCCTACAAGAGCAAATACAATATTTGACATCAGTGAGCTTCTCATCATATAACTCCGGATCAGATCACTCACTCTATGAAACCATGCCTTGATTGATGGAAAACCTTGATTGAGATGATAATACGATGCAGTTTATGAATCCATGCCTTAACGGATGGAAAGCTTTGGTTGATATGATAATATGACTAATTTTGCGAGATTATATGTCAATTAATGCAAAACTAAGGTTAAGAGGACGACAAGTCTCATTTTATGAAATTAATGGATAGGTGTCATTCCCAGCGGTCCCAATCAGCCCAGTCCCTTCCACTCAACCCAAGGCTGGTAGGTGTCCTCGTAAAAATCCCAGAAAATGGGTTGAGAGAGAGAGAGAGAGAGAGAGAGAGAGAGAGAGAGAGAGAGAGAGAGAGAGAGAGAGAAGGGAGCCCAATTTCAAGAAAGGACCGGTGAGGGCTTGACTAAGAGGCCTAAAGCCCAAAGGAAATTCGGAATGCACCCAGACCAGGCTCTGGGGTCACCCACTCCATGGACCTTCATACAAGGGTTATCATTCGACGGGTTGGCTCAGAAAGTCTCTAGGCCCAACCCTTCTTCAAACAATGCTCGAGCATAACGTAAGAGATCCTGAGTAGACAAGTTAATAGTCCAACTAGATGAATCTATGGGAGATTAGGTCAGAAGTAGTACCTGGAGGCCATTATGATAAATATGAAGAAGGCCGTCTCGCTTATCGCGAATCCCTTGATCTTCTTCTCCGCCATGAGACCTACGATGAGATCGAGCTTCTCCACATCGTCCCCGTAGACCTCTTTCAGGGTCTTTATGGCCTCGGCATTATCGGTCAAGTCTTCCCAGCGAGAAATGGGGATCATCAGCATACTCCTCCGGAACTGGTTGTATCTGGCGACCCCTCTCTCTCGATCACGGTACACTGCACAGTCAATAACAGCAAACCCTTCAGAAACCTAATCCCTAGACAAAAAAAATGAATGATCCAGAAACAAAAGAATTGTCCTACGATAGATTATATCGAGCATTACCTTCGAGAGTCGGAAGATCCACGTTATCTGGCCTCTCACTTCCGTCAGTGTTCTGCACGATGAGGTCCCTGAGGAATGTGGGGTAGTTCCAGAGCTCAAGCCCGCCGCAAGCTTGATGCCCCATGGACACTAGCTGTCTCTCGAATCCCACATGGCTTAGAGCTTTCTCGCCTTTAATTCCAATCAGTTCCTCCATTTTGATCCTACTCATTGTAAAGAGAAATTACTCACAAAGTCAAGCAGCCATTGGACAATTCGGGCGCATCCAAAAGCTCTTACTTTTCATTAGGAGGCAGAGAGAGAGAGAGAGAGAGAGAGAGAGAGAGAGAGAGCGAGAGAGAGAGAGAGAGAGAGAGAGAGAGAGAGAGAGAGAGAGAGAGAGAGAGAGAGAGTTACTCTTTGAGTAGAGAGGGGGCCTTGTTGGGGCCCGGGGGGGCATTGATATTCCTGACTTGGAGGGTGTCAGGAAGGAGAGGGTGCATCCTGTAAACACTAGTGAACTCTTCGGTAAGGGAGTAGGGGACACCGTGATCGTTGGGCTCCTTGAGCCCCACGAGGCCACCCAAAGCAGGCCCCAGCGTGGCTCCTCCAATGTGGCCGAAGATGCTCTTGAACCTCTTCCCCAGGAGACCATACCTACGCGAGAGACGCCCATAAGTTCTTAGAATCATACGAGGAGCATCTATCATATGTATGTAGGATATACATAAACATATGACTCTGGATGTGAACATGAATACGATGGGGAAGAGAGGGAGAAGAAGCCGCCCCCACCAGTTGGCATGCATGGCGGCATTCAAGGTGTCGGTCTTGAGGAGCTCAACGGTCCAGTCGATGGTGTGGATCTTGGCGATCACCGCCGACGTCACCAGCCTCGCATACTGGAACAACTTTTCGTCATCGAACTCCGGGTGTTCCTTCTGTGCGAGGATAGGCCTCAGCTCGTTAGCGTCACAATTAGCAAGAGAAGGAGGAAGAAGAAGAATGGTGAAGGGGGAGTTGCACCTTGAGGGCGTCGCAGACGGCGTTGTGCTCCTTGACGAAGAGCGCCTGCAGGATCGAGACGCCGGCCCAGCTATTCTTGACGTCGCCACTGACGGCGCGGCCCTGCTCATCGTGGAGGAGAAGACCATCCTCCCCGATACTCAGCTTTCCGTCCACGAGCGTTCTCACTCGGGCCCCAACCCCCTGGTTGCTCCCGTAGAGCACGCTCCCGTCCCTTCATTGCAGATCAAAACCTCTTCATTTTCCCCTTCCTTTCCTTCTTTTTTAGTGTGGAGAATAATCGAATCTGCGATCTTCTTACCACCAGGAGGTTCGGATGTTCTTGTGGCCGGCTCGGATACCCGTTGCGGCGCCCGTAGGGATACTCTCTGTGCCGTAGAACCGGAAGGCCTTCAGCGGGCAGCCGCCGGCGACTTCTTTTGGTGCCTTCAGCTCGATCTACGTCATCCAATGAGACACAGCAACACGAAGTCAACCTCATGCACATACATATGCGTATACATAGAGATACGTAGATATTTATAACTTTCTTTTGTCTTGGAAAACGATAGATATTTATAACTTTCTTCTTGCCTTCTTTCGAGGCTGCCACATTTTTTTCCGGAAGACCGATTCTCACGGACTCAGGCCACGTTTCCCTAGGTTATTGATGCCACGGTTACCGAGGTGGGCAACCATATTTGTTCCACCGTACCACATAAAATTCTTGTATCGGTAATCTTGTTCCGAACTGTAGTTATCGTGAACTATGAATTATGAACTGTTCTACCTTACTCATCTGACTGCACGCAAAGGAAACAGCGTGCAAGGACGCTGAGTTTGGGCTTGTTATTGTTAATCGGCCAAGGCTATTCCCAATTATTTTTCTTCGTGAGCAATTCCGTCCATCCAGTCGTGAGAGAGAGAGAGAGAGAGAGAGAGAGGGTACCTGGCGGGTGGCCTCTAGGTGGTCTATCCAATCGTGAACCATGAACTGGATCCAGGAGGCGGCGATCACGTTGAACTGCTTCCCCGTACCGATGAAGCTCTTCCTCTCCAGCAACTTCGTCGCCACCACGAACGGATCCGGGTCCATAAGCTGGCCGAAAGGCGGGGTGTCAACGGTGGATACAAACAGAGAGTGGGAGGTAAACGGGGAAGCCCATAACAACCTTGCCATGCTGGTCAACGGGGGAGATGTTCCTCCCGAAGAAGGTCATCTGGCTGCCGGCAGCGGGCTTGGAGAGGTCAGTGAAGGTGCCGTCGCTGGAGCGGAAGGGGTGAGCGGGGGGGTCGGGGGTGACGGAGTCGATCTTGCCGACGGGGAGGAGGTTGTAGTTGTCGTGGAGGATCCGGCGGAAGGCGAGGTAGACGAGGCCGAGGAACACCGGCAGCCGGTGCCACAACCCGTGCTTATCGACGCCATGCACCACCTGAGGAGAGAGAGAGAAAGAAATGGATCGTGAGACTAGAAATCGTTCGATCTTGCGAGTACGGTGTGGAGCTGATGCGTCGGTGGCGTTCATACCAGGAAGAGGATCTTGTGGCCAAAGCTCATCCTGTTGTACTCCGCCCGGAGGCTCGGGTGGACGAGGAAACTGAAGAGAGCCATGGTGATAGTCTTCTCTCTCTCCCTCTCAACCTCTCCTCCCCCTCTCTGCTTCTCTCTTTCTGTCTCTCTGTCTCTCTCTCTGTCTCTCTACCTGTTCCTTCGCTTAATTGCAGTGTCAATAAGTTCTTCAGCTCCTCGCACCCTCTTGCTTTAATTAGCAGCCTTCCAAGCTCCTCTCTCTCTCTCTCTCTCTCTCTCTCCCTCTCAATCCGTCCTTTCGCCGAGAGGTATAGTTATCAATCTGTCCTTGATCTCCTTTCACCCTTTCTCTACAATCAACTCTTCCATCCTCTGAAACGGTCCCCCTCTGAAAAGTCTTCATGACGTGCAGCTATCAAACTCGTCTTCCTCTGCTCGCACCCTCTCTCTCTTTCTCTGCTTCGTTGTATACTCGTGTGGCAATCAAACTCATTTTCCTCTCCTTGTACTCTCTCTCTCTCTCTCTCTCTCTCTCTCTCTCTTTATCTCTCCAGAAGTGTGCGGCGTAGAAGGCACCTCCAGCCTCCTCGCTTACAGCCGCCAGCCAGGACCATGCCATGCGTTTTTTGCATTCTCTAAGAAGATCTCTAACCCAAATTCCCCTCCGCCAATGACGTCGTTATTCATGGCATGGGTTATTCCCATTGCGTTCCGAGCGAGGTGCTTAGGACTATCCAACCGTGATACACCATCTACTATTCTTCGCGAAAACCTATCATCACATCACCGGCAGCCATTATAGTTCTAAGTGGAACGCAAAATAATATTAATTTTACCTTTTTCTTTGCAAAATAATAAATTTTAATCTAGCGAATAATTCGGAATTTGCAACTGTGATTCTACGTGGAATGCAAGCCCATTTTGATTCCAAGTATAACAACGCTGACTTTGAATGACCGCCTAACATTTCAAAATTTAGTATTGTATTGGCTACTTCAAGCTTAAATGGCATGTTATAGGCGCACTGACTCCAGTTTACTTCGTGTTATATACCGCACACATGACGTGGTTTTCCATCAATATAATATGCTCTGGGATAATAAAATATCATTAAGTATCCCAACACAGAGCAGGCAAGGTGCTTCGCTGATCTGTTATTTGGAGGAGACTGCCATTTTCAGTCAGCGGGGTTGGGATTAATAAAATATTTGTTGGCATCGCAGCTGATTTGACTCGGTCCACGAGAGCCGGCTGAGAAGCATCCCTGTTGTGCCTAACACCACTCGTTTTCTAGATAATACTACTGTTTACTCCGTGCAGACACAGTTATACGGAAAGGGAGAGAGAGAGAGAGAGAGAGAGAGAGAGAGAGACGGGGGGATAACTCGCCATCAAAGATCGACCGTTGGTTTAGGCACATGTTCGTTTTCTAGACGTCAGATGGTGGTTCATCGGCTCGTAACCGTAGGTGCTATCCCCGGGTAGAGGACGCCGGTGATCAATCCCAACCCCGCTGCCTTCCAGGTCAAAGTCAAGACACGTGGGGCACAGAAGCTTCATTAACGAGGACCTATGGGAAATTCGAACAAGCAACGCCGAATCGATAATTCTTCGAACCCATATATTTTCATACATCACGATCGAAAAAATGGATGGGAATCGTTAATTTTTTTATTATGTTCAGCCTGGAAGGTTCTACTCATTAAAGAAAAAATCATATTAAAAAAAAAAACAGAAGTATAGCACACAATCCTATTTGGTGACTCTCTGGGAACAAGATTAAGAAGACGATCTTTTGTCTGGTGGTAGTTGAGAATACGTATTTATTCTATTGCCGTATAAACTAGTCAGAGAGAGAGGGAGAGAGAGAGAGAGAGGGAGAGAGAGAGAGAGGGAGAGAGAGAGAGAGAGAGAAAGAGAGAGCGAGAGAGAAAGAGAGAGAAAGAGAGAGAGGGGGGGAGGGGGAGCGAGATAAAGATAAAGAGGGAGAGAGAGAGAGAGAGAGGGAGAGGGAGAGAGAGAGAGAGAGAGAGAGGAGAGAGAGGGAGGGAGAGAGAGGGGGAAGGAGGGAGAGAGAGAATCTACGGAGAGGGATAAAATGATCGTTTTGGATAAGTCCATGATTCATCATTTGAGACTCCAATTTTAATTTATGCGTTGATATCTTATTTTCGTCCTTGTCCAAGATTCATCACTTGAGACTCCAAGAAAGTTTGATGTTGCACTAACAAAAAACTGAGGGGGCTCAAAAGTTAGCCTTTTTTTTTTTCTGATGCTGCGCTAAATTCAACTAAAATTTCATGTTCTTTCACAATCTCCCCTGATAACTTATTCAATATTTACCGTGGCCATATTTTCACAGCGTCGGCTTGGGTTGTTCTCCGACGTTATTACCGCGAGACGCGTTCGGAACGGACACATCCACGGAGTTCGGGCGTTGTTCAGGTCGATCATGTAAATTGAATGTTACTGAATACTTAATCTCTTCAAGTCGTTCTAGGAAAAGCTGCCACTCCAAGGTCCAGAGAAGCAGATCTTCCATTCTTCTGGTTCAAAATTATTTAGCGAGCGCCTTTAAATGTGGGCGACGTGTTCATCCTTCAAACCCTTGAGCAACCGAAGGATTGGAGCCTCTTCGTTTCTTCCTAACTAAGCAGAAAATCATGGCAAAAGGACTACAGAAGTACCGTAGCATGGTATCTACCCTCTCTCTCTCTCTTCCCTCCATACTGCACTGGGCTCCTCCCTCCCTTCAGGCCGGCTGAAACCCACCATGGAGCATCCTCTACTTTTCCCCGATGATCGAATCCTCATTTTCTTTCTCATCACGTGATTCATTGTTCTCTTCGTAGACGATTTTTCTCCTTGAACATGTACGACGCGTTTCGAAAAGACAAAGTGTCGTCTTTCGACTTATTCACCGCAGCGTGAGGAGCAGCTTGTTCTTCAGATCCCCATGCACTACTCTTTCACCAGACGAATCTCAGAACTACATGGAGGTCTTCATCTTCGTCCAGTAGGGAGGAGGAGTCGACAGGCCAGCCGCTACAGCCAGAAGCGACCAAGTGCGGTAATCGGCGGGTTTCCCTTGCGGCTTTGTTTTCCTTGCTGAGCTCTTCTACTTCATCTTTCACCTGCGCGGACGCGACTTCTTCTTCTTCCGGCCATTGCGGCCTCATCGGGCGCCGCCGCCGACCGATCGGAGACCTCCCTCCTGATTGGCGTTATGTTAATAACGTAGTCGATGGAAAATGATGGTACCATCGCTGCCCACTAACTAGCTTTTGGGTCCATCCGTGTAAGTTGTCCTCCCAAACATTGCACAAGTAATTCCACTTGGACGCAGCTTTTAAGTCTCCCTGATTCTCGCTACGGTTTCAAAAAAAGCGATGTGGGATAGCTCAGCAATCATCCCTTGTAGAGAAACAAACGCAGATTAAGAGCCATTCTCTCGACGCATCTGATTAGAACCAACCATGGTCTTGAAGAAGGTCACTCTCCGGAACCGATTATTCCTCCCCGTAATCTGGAAGCCTACTCAGAGCTTCTTGCTGCATGAGTTTAAATGTGCAGCCAAGAACAATCCACAATGTAGATTACTTGGCCGGAACAGGGTTGGCCCGGAGGGCCTCGCTCAGATGTTATTCTGTAAAATATTCTCTCACAACATTATTAACATATCGTCAGAGGCACGCACAAGAAATCTACACTGCTGGAGGAACGACGATCGAATTCCCTCACAAATTATTTCCACATCTGACATTTCAACCCATGGAATAAAATTGACGGCGATTTATTTGCTGGTAGACCGCACGTCAGCCCAGCGACATGAGCTTCTTTTCGAGAGACTTGGCCGAGCGCAGAGCTTCCAAGGCCTCGGCTTGCTTCCCAGCCCGCTTCAGGTTCAGTGCCCGGCGCTTCTCGGAGTTGATCTGCTCTTCCAGTTTAGCTCTCTCAGGGTAGGCGGCCACGTCCTTGGGATGGGCGATCTTGGCTTCTGATTTCTCCGGCGAGATGATATTCACCTTCTTGGATGAAGGTTTAATATCAGATTCTTCCCATCCTATCGATCTGAGAGCAGACATTAGTTGGGGATCAAGAAGATCCTCAACAACAGAATCATCTGCCTGGGCTCCATTCTTGTTAGTTAAGCTCTTGCTGTTATCCATCTCCTCCAACTGGGCCTCCAGAGACTTGGCCAGTTCAAACTCTGCTTCAGATTCTTCAATCTTGCCTTCCCTTCGCAGCCTCAGAGCCTGGCGTTTGTGGGCGAGCGATTCCTGCTGCAGCTTGAAACGATCCCGACCTGACAGCGGCTTTCTTTCAAACACGACAGAAGTGCTAGATGTGGAGGTGGAGCTGCTGCTTTGACCGACTTCAACAACCTGGCCACGTTTCCCTTCTTCCAGACCCTTCTCCATAAGCTTTGCCTGTCTTAACTCCTCTCGGGCTTCAGCCAACTTCCCTTCCCTCTTCAAAGCAACGGCCTTCCTCTTCCGGGCTCGTATCTGGTCATCCAGAGATTCGAGACTCGGAGACGGGTTGTCTTCACTATCTGGAACTGGGTTCATGACAGAATGCTTCCCAGATTGAGAGGAGGAAATACCCTCAGGATCTCTTTGATTATGCTGGGAACCCACCAAAGCTGCAACCGGTGGTGACTCTGGTTTAGAAGTTCCAGGAGCAGATACATCAGGCAATGACAGTGCCGATCTAGAAGAAGCTTCTCCCCTCTCCAAGCCCACATCGTGAGCCTCTTCTTGGGTAACTTCATTCTCGGGGACCTTAGATTCTTTTGATGTTTTTGGTTCTGACAGTTCAGGTGGAAGTTGAGCCTCCATTGCTTGTATCTGTTCTTCGAGGGGCTTTGCCCTTTCCAACTCTTCCTCTGCTTCCTGGGTTTTCCCTTGCCGCCTGAATGCAAGGGCCCTTCTCTTTATAGCCAAAATTTCTCTCTGGATTTCGGCCTTAGACCTCTGAACCTTCGGGACACTTGAAGGAGGACAAGTTTCCTCAGTGAGTTGATCACTTGCTTGCCCAGATGATCCCCCAGTGCTGCTTACAGCCACAACATCTTCTTCTGTCCAGCCCAAATTCTTTAGGACTGAAAGCAGAGCCGGATCATCCATATCGTTTTCAGTCACCTCTGGTGTGGCTTCTGGCTCCTCATCAACGGCAAAACTTGCTGAAACATCCAGAGGCGCAAAGGATTGATGCTGATTCTTCTTGATGCCCTCCAACTTCGCAGGTGCAAGGTTTGGGGGATTCTCCATCTCTTGGAGCTGGAGCTCGAGGTCTTTCCCTTTGCTCAGCTCCTCATCTGCTTCATCCACACGCCCTTCTCTCCGTAAAGCCAGAGCCTTCTTCTTCAAAGCCAGAAGCTCCCTCTGTATTAAGAGTTTGCTTTTGGGTTTGGGCCGAAATTCAGGATCCTTAATCTCTGTGACAATTTTATCATTGACCTCAGATATGGGTTGGCTTCTAGAGTGAGAAGCTGGTGGCTCATTCTGGGCGATCTCAAGGTCCTTCTCAAGCTGTTTTGCTTTCTTCAGCAACCCCACGGCCTCTGCCGTATTACCAGCACGTTTCTGGTTCAAAGCCTCTTTCTTGAGTCGCAATACTTCACTCTGTGGTGACTCTCTTCTGCTGGGTAGAGACACTGTACCATCTTCCTCAGCGTGGTCATCTTCCTCGCTCCAGCCAAATGATTTCAAGGCAGCGGCCATATCAGGGTCATTCATATCATCATCGTTCACATCAAAATTGTCATCAAGTACAAGGTCGTCTGGAACAGAGATAGGGTCAAAATTCGTTAGAAGATTAGGTCCAAAATCTGCCAATGGGTCATCTTGTTTGTGATCATCCAAACTGCGAACAAGGGTTGAAAGTTCATCGTCAGAGTCATCAGCCTGGCCCAGAAGCGCCTGTTCTTCCAATTCTTTCTCTAGCACTTTGGCCTTTTTCAGTTCCTCCTTTGCCTCAGCAAGCTTTCCTTCGCGTTTGAGCATGAGAGCTTTTTTCTTGTGAGCAAGAACCTGACTGTTATCAATGGCGCTGGGTCCCTTCCTTGCACTGGCTTTCGGGAGAACTTCTTTTATAATGCTTGACAGTTCACCTTCCAAGCTCAAATTCTCTGGCTTTTTGTCACTATCATGCAGATCTCCATCAGTCCATCCCAGATCTCTCAGTTCGGATACAAGGTCATCTTTTACCGGCTTCCTTGACTGCGAGGTGGGATTCCTTTTGTCAGTTAATCCCTCACTACTATCATTTTTATCCTGAGATATAACAGAGTTGGTTGAAGCTGAGGATTTCCTGCGACTTTTTCTCAAGGCAATGTCCAGGGCCTGAGCCTGCCTTTCAAGCTCTTTACCTCGTTTAAAAGCCTGGAGTGCCTCTTCGTGCTTCCCTTCTCCCTTTAAAATTCTGTGTTTTTTCTTCTCTTCCACTGCCTGTTGGCGCAACTCTTCGGGGCTCTTGGACTCCATTTCATTCAATATGTTGCCACCTTTGAGAGCATCCCCATTACTCTCTGAAGTGGCAGCTTCATTCGGATGTTTCGAGCTTGAGGCAATACCTGTGGCCATATCAGATCGTGGCTCCCGTAAGGATGAAGAACTAAGATTCTCTTCTGTTCCAGGTGTCTGGCTGAAAGCCTCTTCCTCCTGCCTCGGTTCCAGTTTTAGGGTACCTAAGGAAAAGCATGCAGAGTAATGTTTTACGCTGATAAATTTGGTTGGATAGTATTCACTGCATTTCATTTTGCTCGCGTATGCAGAAAAAAATTATATTGCATTACGTTAGTTCTGATACTAAAGCACTACAGGTAAAGTACCTCACTCGCATGAACCAGTAATCCTGGTTATAACTTTCATTGTCCACCGTTACCAAATAAATAAATAAAAGAAACGTCATGAAATGAAAATTTTAGAGCCGAATGAAAAATGCTCCACACCATGTGCTTTTTCATTAGATGCCGGAAAACTAAATATCAGTTTATGATAACCTTCTGAACGCCATTTTTTCTGTCACCAATGTATAAGTCTAAATGCAAGCTGTTTTTACTTCACCTAAGCACAGAAGTTTTATTTCCTAGAGCTGTGACCATAAAAGGGAAAGAACTACTGATGGAGAGGCATCACACAAGCTGCACAAAAGGCTAGAACTGCACAGAAAGTGAAAAATATAGAATGGATAAGGATAATGCTTGTTGTATGCAACATGACAGCAGACAGCAAAGAAAAATACACTACCTTTCATTGTGCGATTTTTGTGTCCATGTCGCAACTCAAAGCGTGCAGCATCTTCGAGCTTCTTACAAGGATCACATATCCGAACAGGTGCATCCCCTTGTCCACGCAAGGTCATCCTCTGCTGAGTACAACTGTTGCAAAATATTCCTCCACATCTGCGGCAGTGATGCTGAAGTGTAGATATTAACCAGAATGAAAAGGTCAGCAGATGAAAATTAGCTTCAACTATTGTAAAACTGGTTCTTCTAACCCATGTAGATTATCAAGCAAACTAATCGCACCCATGAGGAGGAATGGTCAGAAAAAAACATTATATTTTGCCAGACTTCGTTTGAGGTAAACCCGTTAATGATGCACTTTGTCCTAAACCCATTAGTGTTAACAGTAAATATTGTCTAAAGCCTTCATTGAAGAAGACGAGGGGAGTTCTATCCATGGAAAGTGTGACATTGAGTTCACGGTTTACTGTAAAGGGACTTCCTCATGAAGCCTAAGTACAAACTCCTACGCCCTTTCCACCTCAATGTGAATATTAACCACAGCTTAGGAAATTTGCCTTCACTCTGCGCCTATTCCAACTTCAACCACGCGGGACAATTCTACTCACAAAGGCAGCACTGACCAGCATTAAAGAATAGATCACTCCAATACTCTGTGACAACGTTGCCTTTCCAGGAGCATCTACAGGTTGTTTTCAATTCGAATTAGCGCAGTAAAACCCTCGCCAGAACACTATCTTACCCTTTTCCTTCTTTGAATTACCTCTTATCTATCCTGGCCACAATCAGTACATAAGCAATATAATGTTATCCTACATTGCCCATGCTTTCATCTTTTACACTGAATCAGTAGAGACACTCCAGTTTATGTTTCATTATTTCGGTAGGCCCTAATGTATCAATCAATATTCAACCGCACTCTTGAGCTCCCGCTCCCTAAGCATTTAGTTGCTCATAATACTTTGAACGTACGATGTTCTACAACATCTCCTCTTCTTCATTCAGATAGATAATACACTCCAATAAAACAGCAAACTTCTGAATTCCTCCACCAATCAGTATCGTCTTTTAGGCTTATAGCCGTGAGACGTGAATTGAAGATGAAGTCAAGGAACTAGTCCAACTTATGTCTCAAGCATTGGACCCCTCCCATATAAATTTACTCAGTACATACACATCCCTCAGTGAGGTGTTCTTCACATCTAAGTTCACGACTTACACTTACATTTGTTTACGTTCCTTTGAGTGAAAAAAAGAAAAAATGTACAAGTAAGATGACTTATGTGCCCTCCAAGTTGCCCAAAATGTTACATCGTCTACTGGTCTGCTAGTTTTCCCTCATTTGAAAGAACAGGGGCTTTACCCTATTCATGAGTAGAGTTTATCTTAACTTGGTTAAATAGGAAAGGTTATCGTGTTTCCTCATTAGAGGTGACCTATCAGATGAGACAAATCACATGTCTTCCCTGTTGACGTGTTTGACACTATAGACAGGTAGAGACAATTTTCTTCACGAATCCACTACCTTGGTAAACCTCCTCATCTAAACATCTTCCTCAAAGATCACCAATACAAACCAGAATGGAGGGTGAATCCCTTCCACTACTTCAAAGATCGATCCCCAAAGTGAAAACCTTTGGTCATCGATAAATTACAAAAACCCGGTAAACATGTCCTCCTGCAAAGCAAACGGATATATTCAGACTAAGCCCATCTAGATGGCTATAAAAATAACGCACGCCTAGTTTCCCATAATTTGTAAGGTAGAAAACGCTGGATTTCATCTAGATGGCTATAAAAATAACGAAGACGGAGGATGAAAAACGAAATGAATTTTTAGAGAGAGTGATGACCAACAGCACATCGGCACCTGGCTTCATGTGCATCAGATTCACACTGGGACTTGACGACGAGCCCACGTTTTTATGCTGCCTTCCAAGTGATGAGAAAGATACACATAAACTTCTTTCTTCTGATTTCTGAAGACATTGCTGTTGAGATCCACAAAAGGGGGCTCATCAATTGCTCAACGAGCCAAACAGAATCAACCCCAGAAGAGGTCGATCATATCGAATTCCGTACCATTGCCACGGACATCGTGAGAAAGTAGACAGAGCGGGCTTTCAGTCGATCGAAGAAAAGAGGCTAAGAATCTCGGTAGGAAGACCGTCCTCCATACCTCGAAAAAGCAAAAAGGGAAGAAGATCGCAAACCTTGCGACTGATGAAAGAAAACTGGGAGGAACACCCCTGGCAGTGCGACGCGTCGACGACCCAGCTCCCCCCACGCATCGAGGGCTTTGCCGGCAATCCAATCTTCTCCAGCATCCTTCCCCTTCCGATTGCTCCCCCTGATCAGAGATGATTGCAAAGGGAAGCGGAAACCCCGCAGTCCCGGGTAAGCCTTCTCTCAACGACGCCCAACAAATGAAATTCTCTCCCGGCGATTCTACTCTGTCTGGGGCTAACTACATTTAAGCCATTTATACGTACTTTTGTAACCAATATGCTCTAGGGTGTATATCTATACATACCCATCGGAAGAGCATATTGTAAATATACTTCTGAATGAAGTGGGCTGCAAGTTTCCAAGAAATCCCTTGTGTTGATCCTTCTCTTAAGGACTTTGACCTCATGCAAGGTTTAGTAGGTAAACTAAATAAATATGTCATAACTCTTGGCCTAAATTATTACGAATAGGCCATTTATTTTAGTAGGAAAATTCACAACCAAAAACTCTTTAATGAATTCCTAATTGATTTATTAAAATCATGATTTTATTTTATTTTATTTTAAGTTCATCATGCTCATAAATTCCTCATGTTACTTGTGCATGCACTCTTTGTGACTTTAAGCTTTCATTGTACACTCATTTTTGACTTTATAAGTGGCAATAATACTAAATAACTTGAGGGATGTGATCCACAAGATATTAAAACTGGGGTCACATCATCAAATTTATATGCTCTTTTGCTTGTTATGCTCTAAAATGGGAGAGGGCTCAAACCTTGTCATTCATAGGAGGTAAGAAAAAAACAGTGATTAATTCATGAAAATTTTGAGAGAGAGAATAAGAATATTAAGGTGGTCTAGTGAGCTATCATCTCTATTTCTCTAACCTCTCTTTAATCAAACTATTCATTATACTCTTATCTCTACCCTCCAGTTGAGAGAGAGAGAGAGAGAGAGTAAAAATAGTTAGGGTATCACTATCATATCTATTTCTCTAACCTCTCTTTAATCAAACTACCTCCACCATTCCATTATATTGTACCTCTACCCTCTACTAATTAGGTTATCACTTCTAAAAGAGGAAAAGGATTAAGAATGTTAAAGCATCCTCTCCCATTCTCTAAGACAAAGAAGAAAACTATGAGGAAACATATCAACATTACTTGAGCATTCTGTGAAGAGCACCATCCTTGTGGGAGTCACAAGTCAACCATTCCTACCTACACACAGCCTTGGCCTTTGAGATCTCTCACATGAAATCAAGTATAGTTTAATAATAGTCCAATATCATACTTTATTTGAAATTAACTCAAAAAATTATTTGGCAAGTATTAGATGATGTTAATGCGTTGACTTTATGATGCCCGTGATTTTATAGGGACCAGGATGAAGCTTAGCTCATGGTGTTTTATGAAAGTCTGATAAATAGATCCGCAAATTTAACGGGTTCTCGTCGGGCCAGACGTATTGTGCACTTGGATCCGATAATAATCCGACTAGTAACGCCTCTCCTCAAAGTCAAACGACGCTCAGAGTCTCGTCGTCCACCCCTCGGAGGCGCGCAGCATAGCAGACTTCAGAGTGCTAACATACGCGGGAGGCGCTCGATCTGTGCTGCTGCTGTGGAGGGAGGGCAGAACAAACCCCCTCCACCTTCCACTTTCCACCTCCACGGCCATCACGCCGTGCACGTTGGACTTCTGCGCGCATCGGGGGGCAGCGGAAGCCCCCATACCTTCCTCGTCTCCTTTTCTCTTCCGACTGGAAAACCCTATTTCCTCATCCCCTCTGCTCGTCGCTCTCTGCGTCCCTCGCTCCCTCTCCCAGCCATGTCCACGAATGGCACTCACGCGGTGAGCCGTCTTTTTCCGATATCGTGGAATGAATCTGAGGGGGAGCCGCGGCCATTTGTAGTGGAATGTTATCAGTTTATTCTCTGCAGAAGCTGGAGGACACGGAGAGCAGCTTGGAGAAGATCAAGAGGCAACTTACCTCGGGCTCAGGGAGGAACCTGCTACAGGGGCCGCTTCTCAAGCGATCTGAAACTGTAAGCTTGCAACCCCCTACCTGTCGTCCAATGCAATTCTAGATCTTTCTTTATCATCCGGATTTATCGAATTCCGTTTCTTTTTCGTTTTTTATTTACGTTTGCAAAAGCCCATTTTGTCCCCGGTAAATCAAATTGACTCCTTTATTTCTTGTCGAAATCATTGTTTTGTATTTTAATAGGGTTCTTACAGCGTCCAAACGTCTGCCTTTGAGTGAGAGTCATGATGTGAGGCGTATTCTGTCCTTGCTTTGGCCTGAAATCAAATTGTCATCCATACATAGTGATGCTTTTGAGAGGATGGTGGATTAGATATTTCGAATAATAAAAATATATGTGAAAACATTGCGTTTTAGTTTTTTTGATTGATGCTAAATATTATACCTGCTTGGATCTAGTGAAATCTGTAATATCAGTTTGGTTGTAAAAATTCCCTCCTCATTTAATCCCTACTCCAGTTTTAATACGTGCTTCCTTGACTAAAGTGAGCTTTGTTGCGCAATGAACTACATGATGTGAGCTACATCTTTTTTCACATCTGAAATATCAGACAATGGAATCTATGCTTCTTGACACAATTATTACATAGTATTAAGGGTGATAATCCCCTGTAAGATTGATAAAAATATGTTTGGATGACTCGAGTATGAAACAGTTAACCGCAGTAAAAATATGTCAATTTTTTTATTCAAGTTTTCTCTTTATGATGGAAGATCAAAGAATGAATGTGATATTTGGCAATAACCCTTTTTGCATCAAGTTGGGATATTACAGACAGTGTAGATTATATTTGGCCAACACCCATTCAATGTCTCTACGCGCGCTCTAGTTCTCTTTCCAAAGTAAATCATTTGAAGCCCTAAAACGTCAGCCCATGGCATTAAAATAATGATATTATTGAAATGCAGCTATATGTGACAGCTGGAAGTAAATAAAATGAATAGATAGATTCGAAGGGAAAATAAATGCAACATCAAGACGAAATAGGATGAGAAATTAGGAGGGAACAAAGAAGAATGCGTGGTAGGAGTACTTTGCCACTTTTACTATCATTACGGATGCTGTTTGCCCGTATTAGAGATTACTTTTTCAAAAGTGGACAGTACCACAGGTCATTAAATTTCAAAAGAAGCTATGTGGCGCATATGCACTCTCACTGTGATTACAAAAGCCTCTAGACAGCTATACAATGAACGGGAAAATGTTGAAGGTTATGCTGAGCATCTTACACCCAAAATAAAAGAGTTTTGTCCTCGTTCATTGCAAAAGATCCTGGTAACTTTATTTTAGCCCACGATGTCACTTTATTTTAGATGATGGTAATCTTCTTTGTTGAGTGGCTCAACTGTTTGACTATTCAACTGTGCACACCATTTCAGATGACCTAGGAGGTCATGCGGGATGAGCCACCGAAATTAATTTTCACCATTGAGTAGCTCTAGAAATATTTGCAGTAATCGTCTTTCAATGAAAGAAACCTTTTAATTTGGAGGTGATTCAACATGAAATATTTTATTTTTGTTCGTTCATGACATTTTTCCCCATAATGGTACGGATCTTCGAATTCAATGCGGAAAAGATGTTTTCAGACGTTATAATCCCAATGAAAATTTTCTTTAGTTTTCTGTGCCGATTACGATTTTAGATCTTGATCATTCTGAAGGTGAGAATGACGCATATCTAGATATTCTTTTGATATCCAACTGTAACAAGATAATTATTCTTCTTGTGCGCTGGGGATAAAACATGGGTTAATTAGTGCAAGAAAATTGGCTCTTGAGACATCAAAACAGATTAAAGGGCTGACTCTTACCAGCATGTGCATCCAGTATTGATTATAGCATCGTTTTGGGTACTTTAACCGTGATACGTCCTCTTGCTTTCCCTTACTCATTTTGGGGCTTCAAAAATTAAAAAATTCTGAATCTGATTAAGTTTTTCCCTCATATAATCTAACTGGCGTTTGATGATTTTTTTTGAGAAGTTCTCTCTTTCTCTTTCCTTTTCTGTTGAGTGTAAAGGCTTCTCTTGAATGGATTACAGAAATCACAATAGTTTTCCGTTTTTTGGGATATTGTTGCTGAGATGTTTTCTTTCTTCAGCTAAGGAAGTGGAATGAGCGCTGGGTGATCCTAGACCCAACGACTGGGAAAATGGAATACAAGTATGGTACTCAGTCAGGGTTTGGGCAATTAGAAATTCGCTAGTAGTCTCTTCTCGATTAGCTACGCCTTAATTGCACTTCCTATTTTTGGCATGTGTTAGGACGAAGAGAAATGAAGCAGTCATCAAGGGAACAATCGTATTTGACTCTGACAGCACTATCATTGTTTCCCCGGTGAATTTCCAGTAAGAAAAACATGTATTCAACGGAAAATACTCTTTTGCATCATAGAGCAGATTGTCCTTCGTAACTATGCTTTGATACCTGCTAAATATGGATAATCTACTTTTTTCAGGGGACTTCCAAAGTATGATGGCTGCTGTTTTTGTATCCAAATTTCTCATCAGTAATAATATGATAGTATGCATATAATGATTTTTCTGAAAGTTTTGGATGTTAAGTTGTGGTCGAGTTCGGTTGTTCTCATGTTATGATGTTCCATGACTACGGTTTTAGACATTGGAACCCCACAGAAGAAAGAGTACTTTCTTTGTGCAGAAACTCCGAGTGCTGCAAGTGCCTGGGTATCCACTTTACGGTAACCTCAATAAGCCCCACTCTGGATCCTAATATATTTTAACCTCAATATCCTATTGTTGCCACAAGTTTTAGAGAATCATGTGTATGAAATCTGCTTTTTTGATGTTTGGTTTTTCTTTTATCTATATTATGAAATGTTGCTCCCTTTTCCTTCGGAATAGATTGTTTCACCCAAAGCGTTTTTGGTGATGATAGCAAGAAACCTTCACGACTGGCGCTTCATTATCAACCATATTATATCAGATACTATCCTTCCAAATAGTAGGTATACATAACTAGGGAAATGCGATTGCCACAGACAATTTTATGAATATAAAGTGATGCGGATTCTTTCACTAGTACCATGCTTAAACCTTCAAACAGTGAGGGCACCCCCTGAAAGTGGCCTTGACTTTGTTCTTTTCTATTAAGCATAATGCCAAACTCTTGAGCAACTTTTGACAAAGGATTACATGACGATATCCAAGGACCCATCATTATTTCGTGTATGTTTTTATATAACGGTTGCAAAACCGGTGTAGAAAGAACTGATTCTGTGATAAGAACTGGTTCTGCTTAGAAACATAGACAAAAAGGGAATTTGAGTATAGTCCCTTCGGTCGGCTTGCTCTAGTGATCTTCATTTATCTTGCCTATAGCTCAGAGTTGTTCTGGTTTGAGAAAGGAGAACCACCAAATCCAAGAGGCTTCTTTTTGCTGGAAGGATAAGTATGTTTCCATCTTGTCTTGATTCGCAATGCCAATCTGGCCATTCAATTAATAAAATCAATACCCGCTTGTTAAATTGCCTGTTATGTGATCCTACTCTTTCAGCAAGGATCACTTTTTCATGTGTTTCTATTTTGCTAGTCAACCATGGTCACTGCCCCCACCAATCTGAGATTTGATTTTAGAGCAGTCACTGACTTCCATTTGACATTATCCACAATTTTGATGGATACATAAAATGGGGCCACTTGAAAAATTAAATGCACCCAGCTTAAGCGAAAAACGAAGAAACGCATAATTAAGTTCACAAGCTGATAGATCAAGTTCATATCAATGAATGGCCAAAGGGGCAAAGAAAGAGCTGAGTTGGTCCTTCTCTTTTGAACTTTTCTTTTGGTCATCATCTGTTTAATGAAAGGGCCTCAGACAACGGGAACAGTAGTTCTGATGGCATTCAAAGTACTTAAGTAAAGAAGGTCTTCGTGCTGAATCTGATTGCTGTCCTCCAAATTCAATGGCAATGCTTTGATGATGCCGTTCAATACCAAAGCCTGTTCAATTTCTATTCTTTGATTGCTTTGGCCAACTGAAATTTGGTTCTAAAAGTGACGCTTTTGCCACTAGGCCGGAGAGTTTGTTTTATCTGACTCTAGCTTTTATTCATCAGACTGATATGCATCTGCATATTTTCTTCTTCACTTAGAAGTTATCATTGAGGCAAACAGAAAAAAAACAATTACCCAGTTTTAGTAATGTTGATTGTTTGTCTATTGAACAGTGCAGCACAGTTGGTTCTAAAGGCTCATAAAGAGGCTGTCAATTCCTTAGGTGGGAGTAGCTCTGCAAAGCTAGGGACTGTTGCCACTGTTGTTGCGGCTGCCAATGCCACTGCAGCTGAAGCTTCTAAACAAATTGAAGCAGCGATGAAGATCTCCATGAGAGCTGCTTTGGGCAAGTTGACAGTTAAACCAAATGAAGGTCAATTTGATGACTTGACAATTATGAAGGTGAACTTTTTAGATGTTTTAGAGATTAATTTTTGCATGAGAGCTGCTCTGATGTTTTGTCTGTTATATTGCCCATCATGAAATGCTGATATTGGAGTTTATATGCTGGTTGACTCATTCATGATGTTGTAGTCTAGGACAACAGTTTATATTTTTTTGACCTTACAAATATTCACATGTCCCTGAAAAACTTCATTTCTCATGAAAAGCAAGTGCCTTTTTCACCAGTTGATGGTGAATGGAAGAGTGATATATTTGTTCGATGGATATATTTACTTCATTATCAGTAACGTGCTATAGTATCACATACTTAGCCATAGCTTTGAAGGAAAACATCAACCTTATCTCTTCTCTTTTTCACCCAAATGGGCAAAAAAGTCAACTTCGTATGGGAGGGCAAAAAGTCTAATGATAGTACTCCAAAAGAGGGGTTGCCAACGTTGTTTTGTTCATTGTTGGGCAATAAAGTTGTGCGATTTTTGCATGTAATTCATCGTAGCAGACTATCAAGTGAATCTGTAAATCTCAGAAACACTCTTGCTTATCATCGTAGTTGATCCACATGTGACAGAGTGTAGCATGGAAACCGTTTAAAACTACATTGAGCATTCCCAGGAAATCTGGATTTGGGTCTCCAATCTGCAGATAACCGTCTCATTAGTTTTCTCTTGATGAATCACTATGGATTTCTCTATTTCCTCGTTCATCTTCTGAATTTGAGACCAGACCCTTGAACCCTTGATCTTCTCAACACACTATAAGTGAGAAATCCCTTATCTTTGGTTTAGCCAGAAGAAATGTGGGAATATAGTGCCAAGGTGTCTTTACCAATGGTGTTCCCATAACTTATGCGATTGATCTTTCTCGTCTGAATATGAGTGGAACTTAGCTACTTTTTACAGCAGTATATCCAAGTATCAGTTTATTTGCCAAGTTTTTATTGTGAACTCATGTTAGCCATGTCTTGGTAGCAATTATTCAGCCTGTTTCCTCTTGATAGGGGGCAAACTTCCTTTACCTTTTTTTTTCTCACTGAAATCGTTGAAGGAGAGGATTCTCCAAAAGAATTTCGAATAAGTTTTATGTATAAAAGTATTGTTATTGTGGTCATCGTAAGTTATCCGAAGGAATCTGTAAAACGGGATGACATAGTAGAAATGGCTTTAAAAAGGCCTGCTATTTATTACCTTTGCTGATTTGTTGAAGTGGGTAATGTATAATTCTCAAGCAGGGATTCTTCTTATTGTTATGTTAGTACTCAAATTCTTATCCATATATGGACACTTCTACTTATAAAAATGAGAAGAATTTATTCAAAAAATATGAAATGAATGAGATCTTTTTCCCCCTCATTTGTGCTCAATAGGAGACGCTTCGCGTGAAGGATGAGGAACTGCAGCAGTTGGCTCGGGAACTTCGTGCTAGAGATTCTACTATAAAAGAACTAGCGGATAAGCTAACAGATACAGCTGAAGCTGCAGAAGCAGCAGCTTCTGCAGCTCATGCCATGGACGAAGAGAGGAGACTAGTATGCACGGAAATTGAGCGCCTAACTGTTGACGCAGAGAAACAGTCGGAGGCATTCATTCTTAAGGTGGTGGCCTTCTCTGATGCAAATCTACATTTTGTCGAGTTTCTCTCTACTGCCTGCTTAATTTACAGTTTTTTCAATTTCAAATAAATCCGAGGCCTGCCCAGTAAAATTCTTCACATCACCACAGAAGCCAATGATGAAGTGAGAAGAATTCCTAGGAAAAGAAACACACAGCTGGCCAAAGTTTTTGGGATGTCGAAGGATTTTATCAATATTTTTCCTATTTACAGGCTCTCCATCTGAGCCCCAGTCCACATGTGAAATAATTCTTAGAATCTTCAAGTTTTTGTGTCACCTCTGATCTCATCTTGTTCTTCCATATCCCACCGTCGGCCAGCAGTTACATCTCATGGTCACCGCAAGAAATACAATGATGATAAGAAGGGAAACATTCATTATTTAAACCGAAGCTTCTTGCTGAATTTGGTAAACTCCTTGGCTTTTTCTGATCCAGTTGAGGGAGGTTGAAGGGAAGGTGTCCCATCTGGACAAGGAGAGGGAGGCCCTGTTGAAGCAGAGAGACTCTGCCCTTCAGGAAGCTCAGCTGTGGCGTTCTGAGCTCGGCAAGGCCAGGGAGCACGCTGTCATCCTTGAAGCCGCAGTGCTCAGGGCTGAGGAGAGGGCTAGGGTTGCAGAGGCAGATGCAGAAGCCAAGCTGAGGGCCGCCGCAGGGAAGGAGCTGGCAGCTGCAAAGGAGAAGGAAGAACTCCTTGCTTACTTGGCCATGCTGGAATCACAAATCCAGAGGTCTGGGCGAACTTGTTGCGACTATTGTTCTAATTCTTGCCGCGCCAATTTCCTACTTTTCTGATTTTTTTTCTCCATCTGATTTGATTCCGAGGGGTGAATTCTGGCAGGCAAGAGACCAGCACGAAGCAAGTGGTGGCGGAGCCGCCGGAGCCCTGCTCAGGCTCTGCCCGGGCAGCGGCGGCTCCAATGACAAAGCACATGGATCTGTCGGAGGGCGACGTTGACAAGGCCTGCCTGAGCAACGATTCAAGGTCAACCCATGATCCCCCCGTTGACCGGGTCGACGCCTACTCGATGGGGGAGGATGTGGAGTGGGGGGACCTCCAGTCGGCGAGCGCGAGGATGGATGATGTCAAGGAGATCTCCGCAGAAGGAGAGGGCAGCAGCCTCGACATTCCGGTGGTGATCGCTGCTCCGCTGGGCGATCCACCGATTGGGGGGCCCTCATTCCAGCCTTGATGGGAGACCGCATCATACGCAGCCCTTCCCCCTCTGGATCAGGAGAAGGGGGCTGGGGTGGGGCGGGAGAGGAAATAATTTGCTGTGATATGTATACATGACGTTGAGGATGGGGGGAGAATAAATGATTTTCTTTGGGGTTTTTCGAAGGGAGACATGTGCGATCTGATCTCGAAGGGGATGCCTGGTGTTTGGCCTTGGTTTCTCACATCGATATGAAGAATAAGTTGGTGAGGCAAACCAGCCGTTGAAATGATAGGGAAGATTTTAGAACCGTGAGAAATGAGGAATTCAGCCTAGGGCTGCTTGCCTGGGTTTTACAGAAAACGTGTAGGAACTGGGCTTTTGGGGTAGGGTTGGTTTGTGCGTTGGGCTCACACGGTCTACTGTGAGCCAGGCCTAATCTTCTTCTTAGGTGGCGGGTCCACAAGCTAAGGCCTTGAGAGAGACCCAGAGAACGAAGCCACAGATAGCCTGGACCCTGCACGGACAGCCCTCCATGCATTGGGCGGGACCAGCGAGAGAGAGAGATCTTCAAAGATATTGATGAGCTCCAGCAGGACCCACCCTCAAAGATCACCGCTCATTTTTTGTATGACGTCCATTCCACGATTATACATATTGAAGATAAATTATATATACATATATATATACATATGCATATATATATATATATATATATGCATATGTATATATATGCAAATGTATGCGCGTGAAAGAAACTTTGGAAACATTATGGGGAATCTCCGAAGAAAATCATTTTTTTTTTTACAAAAAAGGAAGATTACTATCTACAGCGTGGCTTACCCAGGGAAAATTTTATGGGCTGTGCCAGCTCGAATGCATGCCCATCAACCTGTTTAGCATCTGTAGGGAGGAACCAGACAGAATTACCTGAGCAACCCCTGTTTCTGAACAGCTACTCATGTTGCAGCTGCAGCGTCTTTTTCCTCCCCTTCTTCATCGAACTTGATAGGTTTCCCGTTTGGGAGTTTCCTGCACAGTAATCACCCGTGAGAAGGAGAAAAGCTTCCAGGCCCACTTTCTAGAATGAGAGAGAAGAGAGAGAGAGAGAGAGAGAGAGAGAGAGAGAGAGAGAGAGAGAGAGAGAGAGAGAGAGAGAGAGAGAGAGAGAGAGAGAGAGAGAGAGACAGAGAGAGATAGAGAGAGAGAGACCTCTGGGGATAAAGTTTCTCGTCGGACAGAGCTTTCTCCAACCTCTCTTCAAATGGGGTGGCGTGCCAGCTGACCTTCTGATCCTGTTCACACATGGAGCACAGCTGGAGCATTAATAGGCAGACCCACCAGGCACATACATCGCCTTGAGACCAGCCCACCAGCTAAAATCAGTAATCAAGTTCATAGAAAAACGAAACGCTGTACCTCTTTATACTTATTTGTCGAATTGGGTATGCCATTTCCATCCCACAACTTGGGTGAGATGCCGGTGGTTTCGTCATCATTCCAATGGGCGGCGACCATTCCAATGATGGGTCTGTCGACAGGACTCTTACTGTTGGGGAATCTTTCCTTTAATGCGGCCCCGTTGTTGAGTCTTCTCCCATCAGGGCTTGCAAATGGGTCATCCGAACAGTTCATTATCGGCTTACTGCCAGCTTCTTCACTAACTCTATCCGATGAGGAGGCTTTGTCGTTCATCTGAGAGAATTCTGATTCCACCAAGACAAAACTCGGAGTGCCCTGCTGCCCTGTGCCAGCGTTGGCAGAGTCTGCACTTTGGCATGAATTATGTGAGCTCACCCTCAATAAAAGAGGGTTTCTGACCAGACAGAAGCGTTGTGTGTGGGTGAGGCCATTCGCATCAAGTCTACCATTCTCCACCTTTTCTAGAGACAGAGTGCCCGGGGTATCCATTTCTTTGGCCAACCTCAACGGAGCTGGACCAGGGGAATTCTGAGATGCAAGGCCATGGATCTGCCCGCCAGTTTGAGAAGAGAAATCCTTGGAGGCAGAATCTACTATAGATTCAACTTTCCTTCCCTCTTCAGTCAACTTGGTCAAAAGAGACAGACGTCTGTTTTCTGTAGGAATGCTCTGCGTTTCGGACATTTGTGAGCAGACAGCGCTGGAGCATGTGTCATCAGTCTGTTCTGTTCGAGTTGTACAGCTGCAAAAGCAAGTACAACATTAAATAATTAAGTCTGAGTAGCTAAAACCGAGTCAATCTCAGGAGAGGAATTAGGTACTTACTTGCCACACTTATTGCCTGCCAAACAATCATTAGCTGTGGGTGGTGCATTGGAAACCTGATCAGGTCTTTCAAGACGATTAAACTTCTTGAAAAACGTATCAGGTTTTACATCCTCTACACGAGTCTGATACTTTGCCTTCCCAGATCCCTTCCGGATATCTGTAGGGTTTTCTAGAACTGCTTCACATATTTTAAGGAATTTAGCCTGAAACAAAGTGATGAATGGTTATAGCACATCGTTATTGAGGAGTTCCATTCTAGTAGCTCAGGTGGATTAACGTATTTTCTGATGTATACTACCTATTGAAAAGAAAAAAAAATTAAAGTCTGTGTTAGTAGCGTATGCTAATCTAAACGACTGGAATATAATTCACAATATAAGAGTCAACAGTTTCAATAGGGAAGCAGTAACCTCCTGGAACACTCCCCCGTGACTGGCACAACTTTCAAAGCAACTTTCAAGAGTGGAAATCTATAAGTTAATGTATCCCGAACGATGACACGTTGAAAGAAGTCATCTATAGCAATTGAAAATCACAAACAAGCCAGGCACGAAAAACTAGTTTAAACCTGGGAATCATCAACAACCATTGACATTCATGTAATTCCCAGCATTATCAGTTTTCTGTTGAAAAATGAATCATATATAATAATGCATGTCCTTCAATTTAATCATGTTTCCCCAACTGAGTCGCAGAATTTCTGCAACAGGTATACTTTCAAAATGTTATGGAGAAATGTTCAAGTTCACAAAACAAAGATGTGCAGAGAGGCAGAATGAGAGTTTCCCAAAATTCCCAACTAAACTATAAGAGAATTGAATCATTTACTTGTTGACCATGCGTTCCCAGATCTCAACCTAGGTAATTCATAATCAGAGATCGATAACAAAAAGACATGAAGGAAAGAGAAAATAACTGAGACTGAGACTGACACGATTCGAGAAAGTAACTGAGGCACAATGAACGAGGTACTTTATATTGTTAAGTTAATCATCCTTTTATTTAATAACTGAAAAGATAAAGGAAACCACAAAGGTTACACAGATTTGGTTAATATGAGACAGAAGAAGATTAGAATTGTTTCAGAGATTCTGTAACACGAGAATTATGAAAATATGGACTGGGGTATGAAGCACGTTTTCTGAAATGAATAAAATAGGTAAAGGGTAAGAAGAACGAGAAATTGTCACAAATTTTTAATGAGGCTAAGAGAGAGTAATTCAAGCAAAATAAATTGATGGTAGGAGAAATGTATACTTTAAAACACTAACTAGACTCTCTACCTTTGTTCTGTAGGCAAATTATAACTGGACATCAACAAATGTGTCAGTAGCAAAATAATTTTTTGCATCAGAATAAACTCTTTCGGTGAAACATTGACGAAGACAATTCAATCTGCAAAGGAACATTGTTCCAAAATTTTCGAGGCCAGGTCTTCGCTCAGGTATTCTCTCGTCAGCTATTGCACTCACCAAGCAACAACGTAGAAGACCTTCCAAGGTAATCCATGATTTTTTATTGAATGTGCACGATCGGACCCAAAGTGATGAAAATTTCCAAAATGAATGCACAAATTTAACAATTTTGACTTTTACGAGACTGAAATGTTTCTCAATGTGCGATCAATTTGCAATCGAAGCATGGGAAACATAAAATTAAACCTTGAGAGTTGCACTGTGATTTTAACAACATCGTACGTAACAGAAAAAAAAACTCAAGTCGCTTCAGAGACGAATCTATATAAAGATTCACTTGACTTGCTAGTTCTCTCATTGATATCAAAACATTCCCTCAGTCAACATTTCTCTTATTTTGCAAGAGCTGTAATTGAACAGCGGTTGATATCAGTTCCAACAGACATTTAGTTGACATCACCATTTGCACATGAAAATTTCTTCAAAGTTATAAGATAATAACAAACTAATCAAATGATGAGAATATGAAACATATAGCTTATCAAGCACCTCATCTGTAAGCTCACTGCCGACATATCTTTGAACAACTTCACCGCCGAATTCAGAGGCTTTCCATTCAGAAAAATGAAAAAAAATAAATTACGGTTAAAATACAAACAATGCGAGTAATTGAACGGAATAAAAATTCACAAGGAAAACGACATCTGCCGTCACTATACCCACTACCTTCAGATAGAAGCAAGGCGGCAAGCTGATTTCGCCTCACCACGCGATCCTGACAGAGTCCATGAAAGATAACGAAATAAGTTGGATCAGGGAAGGACATGACATGACAAGCAAAGAATTATTATCCCAATGAGCAAAGCCAGTGGGAATTAATCCATTGACGAGTTCAGCGGACCCAACGAGGACAATGAGAGAAGGAGACAGAGAGAGAGAGGTTTCTTCTTACTCCGATAAGGGAAGGGACGGCTTCGACCGTAGACGGAGGAGAACTATCTTTGACGCGAAAGCAGGCAAAGAGGCACCCCATCCCCACCCCCCCCCCCTCTCCCCCTCCCCTCCCCCCCCCACCACACAGTCACGCTCTCTCTCCCCCAACCTTCTAAATCTCCTCGTCCCCACCCCGATCACCGACTAAACCTGCACAGCATTCATTCCACAGATCGAGAATCCAGCACCGCGGGGAAGAAAGGGAGAGGCGCAGATGGAGCTCGGGCTCCAGGAGAAGCGGAGGAGAAGCAGAGGAGAAGAGGAGAGGAGCAGAGAAGCTGCGGAGGCACGGCGGGAGAGGAGCGCGGGGTGGAGAGAGTGTTTGTTTTCTCACTCTAAAAGCAACCAAAAATGGGGTTCAGCAGGGGGCCCGACTGAACAGATGTCGTCGGGCTCGGGCCCAGCTGTTTTCATTAAATGCCGACGTGTGCTCGCATTAAAGACTCTGTACTTGGGGGGGCCCGGTTTCGGGCTTCGGGTTCGGGCTTTAAGGCTCGTGGGCCGAGTGGCCTTTCTGAAGTTTAAACTTGGTCAGGAGGGACGACAGTCTTGATGAAAGAGAGGGGGTGACGTCACCAGGTGGGAGGAATAGTCGTAGAGAGACGCTCCCTGTTGGGTGCGTATCACCTCCTTGTCGTCTTCCGTCATCGACAATGTCACACTATCGCTGATGCGCACAAGCCCGATGCGGATCGACGAAGACCAAATACGTCACGCGAGTGATGCCAAGTCAATATATTCAAATAAATTATAACATTCATAAAGGTTCGCACATTTATTTTAAAAAGAAAAATTACATATTTGGGGACTACTAAAATTTCACCATTTTTTGCATCAGTAAAGTGACGCTCAAAACAAGATATTTACTATGTGAGTAATATTCTAACAAGAAATAGATTTGTTGGGGACATCTAGGTGTCATCCTTGACCTAATATTGTTCATATCTTTGATTCTTGATTTACTATGGACATTCTGTAATAGTTTCATATGTTGACTTCTAGTTTTAATATTAACAAAATAGATAATGGTAAAATAATTAATTTACATTGTGATTTTTTGCTGTGTATAAAATTATAGGCAATATTTTTCTAACCCTACATAAATTCCCAAGCTTTCACCTTAGAAAACTTTCACTTTAGTTCCTAATATTATAAAAAACTAGAAATTAATTAAAGATGTGGAAAGGAAATTTTTGTCATTACATTAATGATATATTATTTTAACAATGTTCATACACTATGTTATCATCACTCATATGTTATGTTATTTTATGATTGTGATGTATTTTTATTGACATGCATGCACTATATTGTTCACATTTGTGATATATTATATCATCCATATTGGTATTTGGTGTTGTTTGTATTCCCACTATATGCAAATATTAAGGATAGGTATATACACTATTATTAGCAGCCTCGTATTTATTCATTTATATATCATGATATCTCAAGTTGTATGTTTTAAGATAGATTTACATCTTACATCCACTAACAAGTCATATGTAATCGCATGTGATGTTTACTGAAATACTATATTACCCACAACCATTTATCATGTTCTATGATCTTATATGAAATTTCATTGATACACTATGTTGATTCAAGTCATATGTTCTATGTTCATATGGTTTTCTGTATACATAATATTATTTGTAGTCATATACTATGTCATCTGGATCTACATGCCATTTTAAGAAGTAGATTATGTTATCTACACTTTTATTTATTACCTTATATAGTCACATGATGCTTATGAGACAATAACTTATTCATTCTCATAGATTGTGCTCATTAATCTATCCATTGTCAATAATCATTGGAACTTGATTCTTTTGATATGCTATAATATCTAAAAGTGATATACTAGATTATTTCACTCCACAAGTTAGGTACAAAATTGTTACTTCACTCTTCATAACTACCTTATATCTTAATTTCTATTATATATATGAGCATGTATAAACCTATTGTGTAAAGTTATTTTAAAGAAAAATAGTGGAGAAAATATGAAGAGAAATTAGGACAATTAAAATTTATATTTAATTTATAATATTAGTAAGTATGTTTTTTAGCATTTTCAAGTATATTGTGTCATGTGCTGTGCAATAGTCATATTAGAGTTATTTTATAACCATTAAAGAATAAAGTTGCTCATTTGATTTAAAGTTTATAAAAAATGAGGCTTTTTCAAAAGCTAGAATGGTAGGGAGCTACATCAATCAAGATACCAAATATAAGTAAATTTGTGAAATTGAGAGGGTGTTGATAAGTCTTCATTATCATAAGCTTATAATTAATTAATAATATAATTTAAGCCTTAACTCATGATAAATAGGCTTATATTTTTGTTAAATTATGAAAAGTAATTTTTAATTAATTAATGTAATTTTTTGACTAATTATGTGATTTTTTGTGAATTTTTATAATCATATTTTTAAGATAAATGAAGGGAAATAAAATAAAATAAACATATAGAAAAAGAGGGGGGGGAACCCATTAGCTAGTTAGGTCGACAAGTAGGTCAGAAGCATAGTCAAATAGAGTCGCAAGTAGAAGGCTCGAGCAACTAAGGATTGATAGAAGAGACACATGTGCATCACTCTCTTTTCATGTCACTAGTGGCTAGTCGGACGTAGGGCAAGAAGTGGTCATACACATGCGAGAGAGATGCTTATTAATCACAAAATATTGTGTTATTAAATATATACTTTAAAACTCAAAAAATAATTGATGTGGGACTAAATTGATGTCACATCTTCTTAAAAGATTTTTAATAATTTTAATACCTAAACTAACCCTTATTTATGAGAAGTAGACACCCTAATGACATCACTTTATAAAAATATTCGTGTACTTATTTCATTATCTCTCATATAGGTAGGTGATCGTCAATGATTCAAATCCTACTAGTACTAAAGTCATATTTTTATCTGATAAAATAGTGATTTTCTTGCATATTGTCTGTCAACAATTAAGTTGTTAGAATGACTCAATCATCGATGAAAATATTGTCAATAAAATTCACGAAGTATCATTATTAAAATTACCAAATAATTTTAGATATAAAGATCACAAATCTATTGAGTAAATTATCTCTGATTGATCGATGAACAAACTATTATCAAGAAGAAAGCGATCTCTCAAAAGATGAGTCACCACCTCTTAAGAACATATTAGATTCAATGAAGAGCCTCCTCTTACTATGCAAGCCTAAGGATGAAGTTTTTTAACACATGCCCCACCTCCATCTAGTTTATCTTCGTCAAGCGACAATCATCGGAAATCCATAAAGTTGCTATTTTTTATTATGCTAAGTGATAACTATTAGAGATGATTCATTGACCCACTTTATTGATTTTTAAACTTCACAAAAAGATCTAAAGATTTTTCACATTGTCCTTCTTAAACGAGAGCATTTGAGGCTATAGACATTACATGATAGTCTTTTTGAATGTTTATGATTCTAATATAACACTATCGCAATGTCGGAGCTTTATTTTACTATTTTTATTATTATTTTTTAGATTTCAAAAAGAGATCTAGTGAATGCCTAGGTCGTCCATGTCTAAAGAGAGTCTTTGAGGCCATGGACATCATTTTATAATCCTCTTGAACACATAATTTTGATGATCACTATCGCAAGGTTCAAACTTTACTTTTCCTACTTTAAATTTGTTTTTTACTTAATTTAGTGATATAATGTGTGATTTTAAGTTTCAAAACTCTTCTTCACTAAATTATACTTCTTTTGACTTTTATAGAACTTAATTTGGTCAATAAGTTATTTGTAATTGATTATATAAGAGTCTTTGGGCAGAACTCTATTTCCTCCTAATTCGTATTCATTAAGCTGCTGACATTATCATGACATCCACACTCTTATTTTTCTTTTTACGAATTTGAAATATATTTTATCTTCATTGCATAGTCTAAAATTCACAAAAAAAAATATATTTTTTAAAAAATTCTTAAATATTATCCGATATTATATTACATCTCTATGATCGACTTGAAAAATCTCTACTATTTTTAAAACATTTATTAAATTATAATTTATATATTTATTCAGAAATATTTTTAAATATTTAAAAATTAATATTTTCTAATTTTATAAATATTTAAATTTATGTGATTTATTATACAATAATTAAGTCACATCAGCTGTTAACGAATAAAAAATAATCATTATTTAACATAGTTAAGCCTTAGTGAATTGTTGAAGTGTTAGAGTTACTTAAGTCATCAATGAAATGAGCAAAGCTCTCACAATTAGATAAGCTTTTTAAATAAATCCTTAAGATGCCATTCAATGAATGATGATAAATTATGACAAATATTTTATATAATAACTTTATATAGTGCTTATATTGGTAACTGTACACAACATCATTATTAACACAATAAGTTAAATAGAGAAGTGTATTTGTACACCCAAGTGACCTTTTTTCTTTTCAACAAGACTAATAAGAATTCTTAAAATAATCTATAGGTTGAAATGCAGTCCAGGTTTGGTCCATCATATCTCTTTTCCATATGCTAAATTAGCCTTTGGATATGTCTCTAAACTCAAACTTAAGCTATGATGCAAGCCCTTTGAGTATTTCTCAATTTAAAGGAGATGAGATAAATATCTTAAAACTTTACTTATTTCATCCACTTATGACATTTCATAGCAATTGACTCCCTTCAGAAAATAAGGATTATATTCTCTCTCGCCTCCTATCATTCCTCATTGTCTAAAAAATAGAGCCACAAGACTCTTTTGAAATTAGATATCAAAATGGTGTTGGCATGAACAACATATATGATTCAACACACTTTTTACTAGGACTAGTTTGACAATTTAGTCCAATGTCTATTTATTTATAGACATAATATCAGTGAAAGAATATAAAGCTATGATAAACAACTTAGTAAGTTAGAACTAAGAACATTTGTAAGTAATCTAGTTACTAGTTTTATAGGAACAAGAGATAGTATTGATAATAATGTAGTGGCTAGATTTCTCTAGTGGTCATAATATTTTCTTAGATTAGT